ACTGAGTTGAGTTCACGAATTGTCTCAGTTTTCGCGCGTTGTTCCGTTTTTAACTTTTAAAAAATATATGCGAAAATTAACTTTGCTTTCATTAATTTAATGTGAAATTTGGTGAATTTAGGAAGTGAAATGCTATAAGGCAAGAGTACACGACGTTTTTTGAAGAGATAGAACCCTGGATTCTTTCATTTCCGACCTAATATATGGTGAAAAAGGGTTTTTGAGCCGTGCTACTAATAAAAAACTTGCTGAAGAACACCAAGCTCATCCATCTCATTAACAAACACTATAAACTATGATTTGTCTTCTCATTTGATCTGAAATATATTCGTTTCTGACTTTACATTTTTTGTAGTGCTGGGGGGCGATGAAGTTGTATAAACTACTTTAGGGGGGCGATGGTCAAAAAAGTTTGGGAACCACTGGTGTAGACAGTCTGTGCAACCGATATTGAGGTATTTTTCGAATATTTTTTATTATACCGGAAAAACAACCGGGGCATTGCCCCGGTTGGCCCTATTGACGCACCGCCACTGGTATGCCATATTTTTCGTAATCTACCTAATAAATTATGATTGCCTGAGGAAGTCCGATTTTGGTCAGACAAAACATTACAGGAATACATTTGTGTTAGTGTGCTGTAGGGCTCTCGAATTGCATAGTTCTTATGTATGTGTTGTGAACTTATGGTTATTGAATTTCCGGGAACCTCTTATATTCAATTTTGCATCAGGTTTGTGGAACAAGCTGTAATGCGTTCAGTATGTTCATTTTCACACAAAACTGAAGAATTTATTTAGTTACCAGATGTGCGCTACGAAACTCATTTTCTAGACGTTTTCAAGGCTTCGTCTCACAGCCCATATCCGTGGTAAGGATCTACAAGTGTTTAATAACTTACTTATACATTTTTAAACAACGTCCTAGCATAACTTAACTAATAATAACTAAACAGGGCTATGGAAAGGCTGCCCAACTCAACGCAAGGTCGAGCAGTAGTAACTAATATTCATCCGCTCGCTAACAGCTGATTCGATTCAATTGTTACGTCATGCAGAAGTCATTGTTCATTGCCGAAAATGTAGAGAATATAGGACAGATCGTAGCACATATTTATTGTAGTAAAAGCGTCTTTTCCGTGAAACGTGCAACTTTTGGAAGTGAGAACAAGGCAATATTTGTTACTAAATTTGTAAGGAACATTTTAAAATCATTTTCAGGTAGTTACCTGATGTGCGCTACGAAACTCACTTTCTAGGCGTTTTTCAGGGCCTCGGCTCGCGGCCTAATGGTAATTACAGACTTCAGTGAATCCTTTTTAATGCTCCCTAATAAGTCTGTGTTAAAATTCCTTTGTACATGTAGCATTTGTAACTTTGTATAGTTCATTTTGCCAATTATACTGTGTTTTGTGACAATGAAATCACTCGAATTTCATCTTCGCATGTAAATTTATTGCAATTTAACAATTGCTATTATTACTTAATTCAATATCCACCCAAATGATACCATCTAATGGTATATTTTGACATTCCATTAAAATTGGAAATTTTTTCATGCATTAATTTTCATCAAATGTCTGATTGCATCTGATATAATTGAAGATACTGAATTTGTTAATAAAACTAAATGACTGATTGGGATAATCATATTACTTTCAATTTGCCTTTCAGTAAACTCTTGAGTATTTGCTTATTTACAATTATGTTATATTATGGATAAGTTCCTCAACCCAATCATTTATAATATCTCCTTACTTTACATTTTACACAATTTTGCTGCCTCATTTACTGTACAAATATTGCGTCTGGCACACTCATGCCCTTCATGTCTTATAATGGTTCAGCTTTTGTCTCTAGCAAGTTACAGTGGAGATAAAAGTTATTTTTCATTTCTTTGTTAATGATTATCAATATTGCCCATAAATTCTTTTGAAATATTAGTGGCGATGTTTTTGTCTGTAATAGCCACATCTATCATACATAACACATGTACTGATGATCATCATTTTCTTTATATTGTATATTAGTTGCCCCAGATGCGAATATTTGAAAATGTCAAATATCTACCCTTTTTCAATTACCGTAGTCAAAAACTTTGATATCACTGTGTGCAAAAATGTATCAAGCATACAACCTCCCTGATTACACGATTGTTATTTATTAAAATTCCAGGAATAAAAATTGAGTATTCTGCAGTGGTTCGCCATATGGTTAAGCCATCTTATCGGCTTTCCCCCTCCCCCGGGATAAATATGTAAATCCTATCCTGTTTTTGATATTCTGGTGGAATCTTCAAACATTTGACAATGCTAATAAGGTTAAGAATTAAAGTCCAAAATGCCCCTTACACTGATCCCCTGTGTCCTTTTCTTTTTGATTGAATATAAATTTTGTGAAAAGTATTTTTTTATTTTAATTTCAATGATAAGAAGTTAGTTATATTACTAAGTTTCAATAACTTCTTAGCTTGGTTGCAAATTTTCGCCATGTTGTTTGAAGCGCTTGATCCGCTGTATATATATATTATTTTTTTATACATATATTTAAAATGTTTACATAAAGAATTATTTATTATAGTTTAAAGCCGACTGATATTATTAGTACAACTAAATTTCCAACTATATCTCATGTTGACTTCATTTTTCACCTTATTATTCTTACCCGTTCAGACTATATCGTGTTTATTTTGAGTCCCAATTCATTATTAGGTATAATCCGTTTACATTTATAGTATTTTTTGTTCCTAAAGTTTGTAAAAATATTACTGGTCTAACTTTTCATTAAGTCATCTTAAAATTTGAATCTCATTCATACAAGCGAAATGGGTGGGAGTTGACCTCGATGACCGCATGGTCGTATCGCTCCCTCCTGTCCATACCAAAACATTTTATTGTTGCTACTTATTTACTGTATTGATGACTGCAATTTTTTTGGTTGACAAATTAATAAATCTCTCTCTCTCTCTCTCTCTCTCTCACGTGTCCAATAGTTGGCTAACTAATCCCATACCTGACATGAACTGGCAACCTTACGAGACGTCGTAGTTCGCCATATGATTGAGCCGTATTATCGGTTTTCCCCCCAGGGATAAATATGTAAATTCTATTCTTTTTACAACAACGCCATGAATTCTAACAACGACATAATATCTAAAACGATCAAATTGTCCTTTTCGTGTCCAAAAATTCTAAAAACCAACCAGTTGCTCTTGGTACCCAAACCTCACCTAGTGTCAGCATAGCAGGAAAGTTCGAATTCGGGAGTCCTTGTTTCTGTGGGCGGAAATGCTAAAAAAAAAATTATGAGTTTGGCGTTATTTGCATTACGAAATTACCGTACATAAGTAAAGCAGTTGATGACAAGCATATAAATCAGGATGTTGGCATTGTGATTTAAATAATAAAACTTTTGTCTTTTAAATATATATCTGTCTATTGAGCTTTATTGGCAGGGCATGTCGCTGGTCTGCTGATACCAGGATACCGTACCGGTACCAATACAAACAATTATTGAAAAATTCATTACTGCTGCACTGGCATGGTACCGGTATCAGAGAAATATTAGAAATGTTGTCCGACAGACTTAGTCTAGTAATGAAGAATTGATCAATCATAGAGTGGAATACAGGAATAGAAGGGTCATAGCCGGGTCTGGTATAGTTTAGTACCACATCCACTTCTAGCTGGCCTGGCTCAAAGATTTTTGCATATGTTAATCCTAACCCCCACCTGACTACGTCACCGAAAAATTACGTCATTCTGACGTCACAGTGGCGTAATAAGGCTCACTGAGGTATGCGAATGGTCGTCCAAAACGCGCAGACGATAACTGAACCTGAATTCGAGCAAGCTATTTCTCTCGTTTTCTCGTCACAATGATCACGATAGGAGAGAGATCGCCGGCTTTAGCATCTTATTATCGGCGGCGCAGATGCCATTTCGCTGTTTCGGGCGATCGTAATTATACTTTGGCAATCCCTATGACGTGATGATGACGTCGTACGGTCGTAGGGACGTACCGGTAATTTTTGGATGGCATAGTCAGGTGAGGGTTAGGAATAACATATGCAAAAATCGTTATGCTACGCCCACTGGAAGTACTTGTGGTACTAAACTATACTAGACCCTCATAGCCTACAGTCATAGAATTTGAAAGTTTGAACCTACATCCTGACATCCCAGACTGGATTCCATGGCAGATGCACGCCCGAGGGCGCTAGCGCTCCACAAAAATGCACGCGAGCGAATTCATTTTTGCACGCCGAAAATTTGCAATTGCTCCTTAATGTAAATCGGTTTAAATAGTTTGTAAATCAATTATCTAGTAATATAAAGATGCCAAAAAATTATAACTTCACAATTGCCGACTAATACTAGATTGCAAGTTTGGCCTGAAAATGCAAAGCAAAAAACACCATATCGTGTTGAATGATAGGAATCCCGTGAGAAAGATCGCCTCCTCACCGACGCTGGCCAGTTATGGCTTTGATTCAGCGTATTTTTCATACAATAATTTTACACGGATGTACTGAACAGTACCGGTAACCAAAGTCGCACAACCACTCTCAAAATTAGCAACAAACTGTAGAAATAATGTTTGGGGGTCAAAGGTCAAACGTCCATATTTGCTATGATTTAACATATTTTTTATCCAATACCGGTAATTTTTAGCGGATGTATTGAGAGGTATCTTAGGTCGAAGTCAGTTTCACGCCGGCGCAGTTGTTTTGCACGCCGTGAGCTATAATTGCACGCCAGAAATTCTTATTTGCACGCGGGAATTTCTGATTGCACGCCCGATTTCTCGTTCAAAAAGGCCATGAAATCCAGACTGGCTGACATCTATCTGAGTTTAAGAAAAACATGGATACTACTGTTCTATGCTTAATATTTGTACTTTCTATTGATTCTATTCTATTGAATCAATTTATACCTATTCTAATTTATACTTCGATTTATCCTATTGATTTCTCCTGAGATAAATATCAAAATCATATCCTGTGCTATATTCTCAGCCATAGACAAGTAAATTCACTGCGTTATCAAGATTAAATCAGCCATGGTTGAAACATCGATTCGTTTCCGAGTCATGCTCGAGCCTCGTGGGTTCATAAAAGTTATCGAGTTTGTTCTAGCGATTGTCGCGTTTGGAACAACGGGAGGATATAACAGTCAAATGGAGTTGTCTTTAAAGTGCACTGGAGCGGAGGAAGTGAAGATTTTCCACCTCCCGGTTTCTTATCCGTTCAATTTTGAAAGTGAAGAAGTAACTGTAAGTTTAATTCTTGATCTGTGCATGCGACAGTACAGCACACTATCCAAATTCCAAGAATTTTCCCACCATTTGGTTCAATAAAACAAACACTCCATGTGTCTCACAAACGAGGGGCGTCTGGGACCACCTCAGATGCTTCATATCGTGCCATGCTGGTCTCAATAATAATCTAAATTAATCGCGGCCCTCACATGACCAAAATTACCCTTTTTTTGCTAAAAACTGGAATGCTACGGTAAATTATTATTTTTTTTTTGTTAATCGGATTATTTTTTCCCAAGGAATTAAATGATAACGTTACTACATTGCGCTTTTTTGTCGTATTTTGCGCAACTTCATTAAACTGTATTATTACCGATATTGAGGGACAACAATGTCCAGACGTCTCCCAAAGGAGAGGTGTCTGATCATCTGTGAAATGGGATTCACTGAAACCCGATTCAATGTCACCCGATTTGTATAGTGTGCCGTACTGTGAGATGCTTGTCAGTCTTTGTCTTTGCTCAATATAAATCTTCTTCACTTCTGAGTGATTGCATGTATTGTCCCACATTAATTCTATATAGTTGCAGCAGCGGAGTAATCAGGGTGTTAGGGATCGTAGCTTAAAGTGCTTTTCAAGTCCATGCTTCTGAAAACAAATAACTGGCCAACTAATCCCATACCCGACCTGGACTGGCAACCGGACGAGAGGCCATGGTTCACCATATGATTAAGCCGTCTCATCGGCTTTCCTCTCCCCCTGGGATAAATATGTAAATCCTATCCTATCCTGAGACTTTTAAAACCCATGTTTTTTGACCGGCCCTGCTAGCTGTTGCGATTGGAATTTTCCTTTTGAAAATCCCTGGCCCCTGAGTTATAGCAGCTTTTCGAGCGTCTCCTTAGTCCAGGGGTTCCTAAGCTTTTTTCAGGACGACCCCAAGAAGAACTTTCAAGCGTTCAGTGCGACCCCAGGTCAATATATTATTTTTTCAGGAAACTTCAGAGCTACTTTCATTGGACTTTTGAGTTTGGTCATGTGGTTGTATATAGTAAAACAAGAGAGCTATGCTCAAATATATGGACACGTAGCGCCACCCAGTGGCAATAATTTTGATGACGTCATAGCGAAAAAAAAAGTAATAGCCTTCTGGAGAAAAATAACAATAACAATAACAACAAAATTTTGAAACGATCGTTATGGCCACTAAACGTGTCCAAAAATTTTGAAACGATCGTTATGGCCACTAAACGTGTCCAATAAGCTAAAACCAAACAGTGATGTCACAATAAGCACATACATTTTCTATAGCTCAAGCATAGAGCGATGCTTATGAGCTTGTTTTACAGTAAGCCATGGTACAAACTGCTAAATCTAACACGGTTTGTCAAACCATCCTCTACGTCAACCATACCTCAGCGACCCCATGACCTGTTTGCGACCCTACCTACTTTTCACTCCGACCCAATTTGGGGTCGCGACCTCTGGTTTGGGAACCTCTGCCTTAGTCGATGTTTCATATTTTCATTCATTTTAACTTTTCTATAGCTAAGAGTCAATGTTGAAATAATTCTACAACATGGTTTCAATCACGCCCCAGGCATATTCAAGGGGGGGGGGGGTATTAAAATTTATAATTGTCAAGTCAGACCAATACAGTAACCATCCCCCTGGTTACATTTCAGAATTTTTTTAATCAAAGTCTAGATCATTTTTTTACTCAAGAACCGGCAGCGAAATATTCATTTTAAAATTTATTTTCAACCCAAATTACGCTACAGATTTTCCCAGACTCCTGGTTAATTGTCACAATCCAACTTATTTTTTCGTTTTCTTTAAATTGCGTCTTAGTCGCTTTTGGCATTTCAGTGCTTGCCTGTATCTTTACTTAGAAATGAGCATGTTAATTTACAAAATTAATTGAAGATATTTTTGGTTAATGTTCAGAATGATAATTTTTAAATAAACTATTCTAATTTACCCCTGGGTATTAGAATTTGGATTTATTTCAAAATCGAAATTATTTCACAGCCTTGAGTCCAGTTTCAAAAATTCCTTCAAATTGAAGTGAGAATCATAATTATTTTAATCAAAATTGGAGTCAACATCTTCAGCTCCCCGAATCTGATAAAATCTTATCCTGACTTCTCAGATCTTTGTAAATGGAACAACCTAACTTCTTAATTCTCTTTCTTTAAGGTGTGGACCTGCAATAAAACCAGTTATGTACCGGTCAAAACCACATTAGAAGGAGATTTCAGCCCTACGTCTCAGTGGTTTATGTTTGTCGGAGTCATGGCTTTCCTGATATGTTTGGCTGGTGTTGTTTTCTATGTTGCATTTGAAACTAACATTCGAGCAGTGAGTAATATTTTCCTAATTTTGGAATTGGAATTTGATCTTGGAAATGCATATTTCAGGCAGAGAAATACAGTATGGTCTCCGAACAAAATCTGTACATTCAGCAAATGTCACTAATTTAGTATGTTAGGCAATCCAAGAGACATTTGCATTTATGTTAGTGTGCAGCTGGACTCTTGAATTGCATAGTATAGTCATGTTTATTCCTGCTACAGCATCCTTGCATTATACGCAAAGGCAATGAGGAAGGATTGGAGTTAGTCTCGCGTAACCACTAATGATAGTTTAATTTGAAATGTGTTTGATTATTTATATATCAGTAGGGGTTACGCAAGACTAACTCCTGATCCTTCTCAATGACTTTGCGTCAGTGTATGTGTATAATGTAAGGATGCTGTAGCAGGAATAAACATGACCATACTATGCAATTCAAGAGAGTCAGTGGTTTATTTTTACACATGCCGAAAATACACGTTGTACTGTACATACGAAATAAGAAAAGATAAATAAGAATTTCATGTCTATATCAAGGGGAAGAAAAGTCAAACAAATAAATAATGCTATGCAATTCAAAGGTCCTGCTGAACACTAACACAAATGTATTTCTGTAACGACAATTTTGTTTTAAACTGCTTGTCTGAGAAAGTCTGATTTTGATCAGACGAAACGTTATGGAAATACATTTGTGTTAGTGTACAGCAGGACTCTCGAACTGCATAGGATTATTTGCCTGTTTCACCTTCCTTTTCCTTAATATAGACATGAAACTCCTATCCGAACCAGCAAAACCCAGACACTAATCTGTATTATTGTTGATTCAGAAAAACGAGAACCTTGTGACAGTGGGTGATCTGGCAGTCACCGTTCTCTGGACTTTTCTGTGGCTAACAGCTGCTGCCTCATGGGCTTGGGGAGTTAATCAGGTAGGTGCCACCTAGACCAGCGTTTCTCAAACTGTGTGCCAGATTCGTAGGTGTGCCGCGGATCTTTTAGAAAATAAGCTATTCGTATTACACATCTAGGCATGTATGCATTGGGCAAGCTTGTGAGACTTGAGTTTGCACTATCCATCACATAATATTATTGCGTTTGTCTTGTCAATGTAGAGGGTGATTGTCTTATTTAAAGCTATCTTTTCTCTTTTACAAGTGTGCCGAAAATTTTTTATTTGCTTAGTGCGCCGCAAGCGAAAAAAAGTTTGAGAACCACACCGTCTTAGAAGGTTTTCAAATTTTATGATTCGTGTTCACGTTGTGAAGAACGAGAGCTGCACTGTGGCCCCTAATTTGAGTTATGTTTGACAGAGAATGTGCGTCAATGTATATTCATTGAGCTTGCATTTGTTAAACTGAAATTATATAGTATTTTTTGTTGTATAGTCAGTACCGCGATACCATACAACAGGGTGACCAACCTGCTTTCGACCCCGATCGACTGAAATCTTTAAAATAGCTCGCGATCGATTTATTGATAACAAGGTCATACACAAAAACGAATGAGTATTGAATATGCAGATAACAGCACACACATCGCATGCATACATGAAATTCCACCGCTGGCATTAAGCTCGACTCTATGAGCTCATTTTTAATGAAATCGTCCCCAAAATAGGTATTTTTGATTTTCCATTTAATTTGGTTATGTATTTATACCCGGAGTGAATGTTTCATCATTTATCTAAGGCCTGCCTGATTTTTAGTTCTATGCAGTAGCTAGATATAATATAGCGGGAGTAGAACAGACAATCAGGCATTAGTTAGCACTGTCAGTAGGGCTGGGCATTTCAAATCAAAATTATTCGACTCGGCCCGAAGCAAAATTTTGAATCTCTGCCATCTTTTTTTCTTTCTTTCGAGGTCGAGGTGAATTCCCCAATTTTTTTTTCATTGGAGCCATATTTTTTCAACGCAATTCTGACATAATATGACTATTCTCTGTAGTGAGTTACTGATGAAAATGTGTTTCTTATTGTGTGTGAACGCTCAGCAATCTGCCTGAGTGATGTATACTATGTTTTCAGTGATTTATGTGTTGACAGGACCAATTACAAAAAAAAAAATGCATACAATTACATATTTCTCATTGACTTCCAAGTATTAAGATTCAATTCGAAAAAATATTCGATTCGATTCTGAAAATTTATATTTTGTCAGTAGATATGAGTAATACCCAAGCGCTTCAACTTAAAAAGGTGAAATTTAAAAAAATAACTGGTTTGAAAAAATGGGGGAAAATAGATATTTTTTATTTTTAAATTCTGTATTGAACTGCTTTGGTGAATATGCTATGAAAAGCAACCTTGTCTTTGTCGTTTTTTAAAATAAAAATTTCAACATTTCGAAACATCCTGAGTAAATACAAATAGCACAGTCAGCAATGCTAAGGATGCATTATGAGGTAATAGTGTATCTATGCAATAGTTGTCCTAGTCAGCAAATCACAATATGAATTGAGCGGGAACTTAGGACAGGAATTTCCATTACATTGGACTATGATATTGTAGTCATGAATCACCAAATATAGACTGGGAGCTTCCCGGTTTGCCATTTTCTCCTTTTTTATTCAATGTTTATTGCCTTTCACACGCAATTGCTGCATGGGACACTGCATTATATCATGGTTGCGTAACCTGCGTCCTACAAGAACAGATTGTGCGCCCCGCAAAGTGCTAAATTTGAAGCGTGTGAGGCCCGTATAACGAGCTTTTAATTTAGTTTAATCTGGTATATGCCAGTAATTCCACTTCTTTCCATTGCAAAGTCTATACCAAGAGTCCAATTCATTATCTATGTCTATTTTTGGGGGTCGCAATGTTATTATGTCTCACGCCTAAACCACTAAGCCAATAATTCAAATTGTATCTGAACATTCTCTGCCATCAAACTTTCATTTCTTCATGTCTGTTAGTTGAAATCAATATTTGAAAGAGAGCAATCAGTCAGCATATGTCAACTCGGCGAGGTTTCCCTCCCAAGAGTATTGAAAATCATATTGATGCACTGCAGAAATGGTTTATTACTGCTACTCTAGTAGTGTGTGTACCAGGTTAGGATTAGGCCATTATTTTAATCCTATCTTCCTTATTTTAGTTCTATTACCAGTTCGGGAACTGTCTGAGTGAGCCAAGTAAATATACCTCCTGCCGCAGGTTTACTTTACACAACTTGATGTAAGATAGGCGAACAAAATTAGTTACCTCCATATTGGTACACATACTTCTGGAGCGCCGCATGTTTGATATCATAAAAGGAAAGAGGAATGAAATGCATTACAATAACAGAATTAAACAAATCACTTAATTTAGTCTTTTGCAATTTCTTACTTTTTTATTTGCAATTTATAATTTACTCTTGATTATTGTGGTTATTGAGTGCAGGACATAGAGAAGGGCAATGACTTCGACATTATGCTTTGTGTCTCCCTAGAGAGCCATGGACCCACCTAGTTTGAAAAGCGTTTTTTTTTTTAGTTTTTGTAGAAATTTCAAATTTGTGTCAATCTGATATTAATGCATACTTTTACAGGTGAAAGCATATGGAGGGAAAGCTATTTCACAGGCACCAATGAAAGATGAATGTGCGGAAAACCAATGCAGTTATTTATCCGATCCTGATTACGGCCCTCTGAACGCATCGGTAGCGTTTGCATTTCTGAGTGTCCTGGTATGGGCTGGGAACGTCTGGTTTGTCTACAAAGAAACCCCGTATCACGATGATCAGGCTACTCTCACCCCCAACGAAGGAGTCCCAAGTCAAGAAGTTCCGAGCAATCAGAATTAAATATTAATATTAGAGAGACTATAAATTGTGGAGCGTCGAGTGAGTGTTTAAAGTGTGACTGTGGGGGCAGATGTTACTTTGTTTCCCCGAAAATGGGGGTATTATTCTAATTTTCTCTAGAAAAATTACACTAGAGATTATTTTTGGGGGAAGTCTTATATTTTCATTTATCAAAAACAAAATTACAAAGTAGAGAATTACGAGAATTTTCAAATATACAAAATATGAAAACCAATATCCATTTACTTATAAATAACAAGTTTTATTTAAAAAAAAAAACTGCTAAACAACTATCGACTAGGTCTCAATTTAAGGAAAGCCTTTAATAAAATCATTTTCAAAATTCAGGCTAAGTCTTATTTTCGGGGAAACACAGTAGCGTGTTTGTCGGGGTCGCTTTTTGAATATTTTTGTGTCTGACTTCAAGTTCATTAATTTAATTATCTGTTGAGAATGACAACTTGTTCCTTTTTAGTTACTTTCAGAGATTTTGACTTCGGTTTTCACCAGTCTTAACCTCTGACCACGAGTAATTCAAAATCTTGGGCTTGAGGGTTGAAAAATAGGGACATTTTTTAGTTATTCCCCCCTCACTAATATATGAATACTCACTTCATCCAGTTAGTGTTAGTAACACAGATTGCACTGAAAATTCTAATCATTTTTAATCTCAGCCAGAACTGGATTGTTGCTAATTTTTTGGTACTCCCGAAGTATGCGCACCAAGATGTCGCACAACTTGAACCCTAACCTGGTACACAACCTGAGTTCAGGTTGTGCGCCATCTTGGTGCGCATACTTCCGGAGGTCAAATTTTTTTTTGAAAACGTGGGGGTTTTTATTGCTGGAAAGGGTCTAAAAATTTGTCTCCAATAGACTTAAAACATTAAACAATAACATTGCCCCAACAAGCCTTCTCCAACTACCCATTAAGAATTCTAAGTTAATTTCAACGCTTTTTGAATTCCTTTCTAAATCCCGTCTCCATTATCACTGTCAGAAGCCGATTTTAAAAAATTCAAAATTTCAATTTTGAGAAAAAAAAATATAACTTGACTCAAATATCAATATAAACACGCAAAACCTTCAATTCCACATCCTGTTTGGATACATTTAAAATAGTGAATTGCTTATGAGTACACGGTAATAAGGCTTTTGGCTTCATAAAGGATTTTTTAATATATTGACACTCCAAGTCCTATTAACGATATCTATGAAGGTGAAAATAACGTTCCATTCAAATAAGTCAAATTTATCAATGAAAACACGTCGTACCCCTCGTTCCCGCAACCCTGTTTAGAATACTTTTGCTTTCTTCCTTATGAGTGAATGATATTTCAATAAGACTTGGATATTTTAATAAACTGACACTCCTATTAGTCATTTCTGTGTCATTTGTTTTATATAGAGCTGTCCCGTATATATATATATTACTGTCTTGTATTAGCATCCTTGAGGCAACGTTTACATATAAATGTGAAGTTGACAAGTAAAAGAACTTGCACACTATATCTGGCGCTCCAGAAGTATGTGCACCGAGATAGTGGACACTGGAACGTAGTATGTGTACCAGGTTGAGGGTTGGGCCATAATTTTATTTCAATTTTTAGTCTTATTAAGAGTCCAGGGACTAGCCATATGACTCCCGTAGTATATGTACCTAAATTTATGGCCTAACCCTAACCTTGTACACATACTACGTTCCGGTGTCTGGCATCTTGGTGCACATACTTCAGGAGGACCATATATCTTAGTACCCTTGTCTTGTTAGTTTCCTAAATAACAGTAACAGGATAATATGGCTAACTATGAGCTTTATCCGGCTACCAATTGCCAGATGATACCAAGCTCTAGCAAATTAAATTATTCGGATCATTGAATTGACATAAACCACGTAAACACCTGGAATGTGTACGAAGCAATTTAAAATTCAAAATCAGGGCGGCCCTTGTTGATTTTTATGCGGCCCACAAACTTTTTTTTCCTCTACTCTTGAGATGTTTGAGGAAATTTTCATCAAACCCAAACTCTGATAAACGACCTAAATACCTTCTTGTGTGGCCTGCGCAAACCGTTGTTCTTTTATTTTCCTCACTATTTTTTGCGAAGAAATTTTGGTTTTGCTGGTTAGAAACTGCAACCACCAAGTCTACTTCCGCAGTTCACATCCCAACAGATTGTAGTGTAATTTGGGGTACATAGGGAGCATCCTCTCCCTCAGAGATTTTCGAAAAAATTTGAAATCGGGGTGTCACTGGCATGCGGCTCGCGTATCCTTTTTTTACGTAAATTTTATTTTATACCACCGGGAGATGTAAGGAGTAATTTAAATCAGATTAGTTCGAACCCTGACACGTCAGCTCCAAAGCAAATTTGAAACCATATGTAGTTCCTTTTTTCACAAATCGAAATGATTAATTTTTTCTGTAAAATCTGTTATTTTTGCAGTAGTTGCTTATGTTGTTATTGTATACTTCCAATATCTTGTTTTAACTTGTTATGGTGGTCGTCGTAACCTTGCTCTTAAATGAGGGCCTACTTTTTGTTTTGTCATGAATATCTGAAACCTTGCTTATGTTCCTTCTAAAATTTGAAAAAAAGAAATTCCTTGCTCTGATTCCAAAACTACTTAAATCCAGATAGCTGAAAGAAACAAATAATTATCCATTGGCAGTGAATTCACAATGCCACAACTTGTTGCATTTTCTTCCAACCTGCTAAGTCAGAGGTTCCTAACCTTATATGGCCCATGGCCTTTTCGGGGGCTCTCAGCAATCATGCCACCCCCCCCTGTTTATCATTACAGTGATACCTATAGTGTTATTTTTGATCCCATTATGTTCAAACAATTAATGCGAAGTGAAAATGACACTATGTGATTATAACCTTGTCAAAAAATGAATCAGTTTTGCGCCACGATTGTGCCCCCCCCCACTATGCCCCTTTTGGGGGGGCGACAGGCCATCAGTTGGGAACCGCTGTGCTAGGTTATGCGAAAGTGCCGCCTTGTCTGGGCCCTGGTTTATAACTTTTGAATATTGTAGTGTTAATAGAACTGATAGTATAGCCCATGACTACTCAACTGGCAGACCGCGGTCCGAATCCGGACTTTTCAAGTATTCGATTAGGACCGTGCCTAATTATTTATTTTGGATCATTACCCCCACCTTTCAAGTTCCCGTTTATAAAATCACTTTCATAGATTTAAATATATATTAAAAAAACTACGGTATAATGCCATAATAAACAATCTTGTTTAGCTAATTATCATTAGTCGATCGAGAAAGTGCGCGTTCAAGGATGCCGAAATATAATTTCTGGAAAGACCTGACCCAAATAGTTTTTTACCCAAAGTTTTGTATGCGGATCTTCGGTAAAAATAGTTGAGTAGCCATTGAGCGGTCGCTCCTCTTATTTGTATTGTCAACTTTTATGAATCAAAAAGATTAATTTTTCTGTATATTCTATTATTACTGTAGTTGCTTATGTTGTAATACTTTCTTTTGACTTTTTTAACCCAGTTGAAGTTGGATTAATCATTAGGGAATAATTACGTCTGAGTGAGTTAATTACATCTGTGTGAAAGTGAGTGTAGCCTCACAACTCATGACATACTGTTGCTATTTGTTGTGAGCTTATAGATTTGTATAGACATGCAGTTGTAATAATAGAACTATCCTCTTATGCATTTTGTATGTGTCTTCGAATTTGATTTTAAATTTGCAGTTCTCCTCAAATTTCATAAAGGTAAAGTTTTTCGCTTGTGGACTATACAGTCCTGCTTTTGGGTTATACCGTCAAGGCACGCATTTTTGCATGTTGTCTGAATTGAATTTTAGGTACTTTCGTAGTATGTGTACCTGGCTAGGGTTAGGCCATTATTTTATTCAGATTTTTCTTATTTTAGTTCTATAACAAGTTCAGAGACTGTCTGTGTTGCTAACTTGATGTAAAATAGTCTAATAAAATTAGTTACCTCCGTATTGTTATACACACTTGTGGAGCGCTGTTAATTCTTATATGAACCTTTCATTACGAAAGAGACTGACTTTGTAGCCCAGTTTTTTGGTCATATTATCATTGCATGTATTTCAATTCTGAAATCAATTTTCATTTTATAGTTTATAAATTCTGATTTCATGAAGAAAGCTGAGCAAGTAGATGACACATCAGTGCTTAAGTCAATTTTCATATAAAACTTTCATTTCAATAAAATGAAGTATATTATTTTTTGTGAAGCTCAACCCCCCCCACCCTCACTCTTTAAATATTGGATTTACATATTTGATGGTATTGTTAGTCTCAGTGAATAATTATTCTTCAATTCCCGACGCACTTTATTATTTCTCTGCACAGTGGGGGTAAAAGTGAAGCTTTAAGACTTTTTTCCTAGCAATGTATTAATCTGTACGTACCGGTTCATATGTCATCACAAACTGATTATCCGAACATTTTTTATTGGCATGTTTTTTTTTTAAAGAATCGCTGATAATCCTACATGTATATTTTCATATTTCAAATTTCATGTTATTACAGTTTTGCTCATTTCTGCTTATCATGTTGTTGAGGCCTCCCAAATTTGCATATGCAACCAGTTTGCACATACAGCCCACTTGCTTATACAACCCCCTTGCATATGGAACCCATTTTTATACAAAAACAATCAATTTTGAACATGTGTCCCTAAAAAAGGTGATTCCCCTATGCACAACTCCCAACCACATGAAAATTAATTCAAGTCAATGTCACCCATTTATTTTTACAAATAAAGGACTTTTGAGCGGATCGAAAAATTTTGGCGCATATGAGCCTGAAATGAATGCTTTGTTGAGTTTCGGTACAAAATTTTCGCCATGTGATATCACAATTAAAATTTCGACTCTCAAGGAATTTATTCAGAATTCTGACATTGGGGAGTTTAAAAATACGACCGGTTAAAAACATGCGAATCCCCCACTCCCCCTCCCTAGCTCTGTATATCCAAAAAGTTGACATTTTTTTATTACTAATTATAGTAACTTGTTATTTCTAGTTAAATTTGCGTAATTTATTAAAGCTAGATCATGTGTAGCATGCCTATATGTCGTCATAATAAACCGTAGGTGTTTTACTTGGTTTGTTTATTACCCTAAAATGGTAGCATAAATGGTATGGATTTATTAAGTATCGGGTGTGGTTGATGATTTGCTCTTCCGACAGCGTGTCGCTACTTTAAAAAAAAAAAAAAAAACTTTCGAGTTGGGCTGTACTACGCGCGGAATTAGGGAAGCCCTGGGCGAACCTCATGCTATCTGGCACATGATATGTACAGTAGCCCAGGGCGGAAGTTGTGCTGTGCCCTGCATTGCATGGACAGAAGCCCCGGGAAAACGTTGTGCTGTGACAGCATGTACCGAACCCCGGGGTGGAAGTCTGTGCCGTGCTACGGCGCAGCTGATACCATAGCCTTCTTAATTGTATGACTGCTGCTTACGCAGTGGCATGCTAACGAAGCGTTATACCGATAAGACTCGAATATGACGTGTCTTTTAAACACTGATTCGAAACTTGTAAAGTTCTGATCCGTAAAAAAAAAGTGTCGCTACTTTCGAGTGTACAGATAAAAAAATTGGAACGATACAGATAAAATTGGCGTGGCCCCTCCGCAGGGATGACATGCACAATCGTGAAGCGTTCCTCTATTTTGTGGAAAATCTCTAATTTTAGTAAATTTCACGAAAGTGAAATATTACTAACAGTTCAATCTTTGCTAAATTACACCAGTGAAAAAGTTTGGCTATTTGTTAAAAAGTATGAATCGATGAGTGAAAAACATAACGCTTTGTTTCTTCTCTTAAACAGACACATCGTATCTAGATTAAGTACCTTCAACCAGTGGTAATTTCAAAGGAAACATTTTTCTACTACTATTACAGCCACCATAATAGATATTTGACTTCTAATTACTACGTACACATACAACCACTGGGAGTGTGTGGAGTGTACTACTTTCGAGTGTACATATGAAAAAATTGGAACGATACAGAGAAGATTAGCATGGCCCATTTGCAAGGATGACATGCACAATCGTGAAGCGTGTCGCTATGTTTCGTGATTAACGAACTAAGACCACTGATGTCTGACACTTTTATTAATGTCGCCAAGAATTTTTTGAGTTGTTCGAAAAGGGGAAGCGCAGTTCTTACCACTTCATGGCAGCTCCTGCCACGAACGTACCGGGGCGTCTCTTGCCATGGTTTTATCGCGCCATTACCGGTATATTTACAAAGTCGTGTACATTATTTTAGTTTATCATGCGGAATTATATCTACTTAAACCTAACCCCAAATACATCAAAACTGTATTCATAAGAAAAGCGTTCCAACTTACCCAATATTTATCACCATCAGGGGCAGCCTTGCTATTACAGCCAACCTGCCGTGGTTACGGAAGGAAAATTGGTGATATTCCGATTTGCTGCCGTAACGACGGCCGCTCGCTATTGGTTTGTGGCAGCTAAAAAGTCAGTCGCCGTGGGTTCGGTCAAAGCGGCCATGGTTTTGCGGCAGCTCTAGAGTCTAGACGCCACAAAATACTTGAAACTGCACTTGAAAAAGGGAGCACCTTATTCCGTAATGAAAAAAGGGCCGTGCGAAGTGGGTTGTGATTGAGGACTGCTGGACTTTCTGTTATCATATTGGCCTGTCACAAGGCGGTCAAACCCCTGGCCCGACACGGGACTGGCAAATCCACACGAAGCCGTGGATCGCTATTTTATATTCTCGTATTGTTGGATTTTTTCCGATCGCCGCTTAGCCGCCGGTCGAGCGATGTTTCCGCTTTTCATCACTATCTCGATACGCGGATCTGGGGCGACTAAGTTGTTTACTATTCCCACACCTGGACGAGATGCCGTAGTTCGCTAATAAATTGTTTTTACAATTTCCTTTCGCTTTAAGATAGATGTGAAAATCCCATTACATAAATCAGATAGACAGATATGAAGCATACCGCATACATATATGAAACGAATAACTTACTGGTTATCCAGTCACCATATGACTGAAACAGTTGTTTTCAAACTCGCTGCACATTAAAAAGAAAATCCAATTTTGCTGACATTGACTTAGACAAGGACGATTTTTTTCTGATACACGCGCATTTAATCAATGTCAAATACGTGAACTCGCTTTTGTGCGTATGAACGACAATAGGGGCCGAATTTTCAAAACACAGAATTTTGTGGAAGGTATGTAAGAAAGGAAAGATATTTCTTGAGTACCCGAACTTATATTGCAATATGCTGTTCATCCACTGGATTAAAGCGTTTTATCGACTTTTCGCTCACCGTAATAAATATTAATAAAAATCGAATCCTATTAACCAAACTAAAGCAACATACGTAGGCAGATAATTTCAGGAAAAGGTCATGGCAGTTCTAACTCCATGACAAAGCATGTTCTAAATTTATCGACATTGTTTCCAGACTTCTATTTATTATTAGTTGAAGCTCATGGTTCCTTGACGCGGACTAAACTTTCACGGAATTATCAGAAAGACGAGTTTGACCTCGATGGTCAGTTCACGACTCATAGCGTTAGGGACACGCTTGCCATCGCAATTTTGATTTTCCTGATTTGGCGCGGCGGTGTGACTCATCGTGCTAAGCGTTAGGAATACACTGGCCACCGCATCTCTGATTACTCTGCTTGGGTTCGTAGGTTCGAATCCCATGCGGGGATGATCATATGCGAGAGAATTGCTGGACTCCTCGTCACCGTAGGGTGGTTCACGTAAACTCTGGTCGGTATCGGCTTCCTCCACCATCAAGTCCATGCTTCCGAAAACAAATATTTTACCCGACATGGAATGGTAATCGGACGAGAGGCCGTGGTTCGCCATATGACTTCGCTAATGGCTTCCACTGCTACAATTAATCCTCCCTTTACCTGTCTGTGCGAGAGGATTGCTAGACTCCTTCGTCGCCGTAGGGTGGTTCACGTAACCGTTGGTCGGTTACAGCTTCCTCCACCATCAAGGGTGCTCCCGAAGTATTCGTACCCAGATGACGCACAACCTGAATATAGTCTGTGTACCAGGTTAGGGTTGTTCAGGTTGTGAGTCATCTTGGTGCGAATATTTCCGGAGCGCCCCATCAAGTCCACGCATCTGAAACAAATAACTAGATAACTAATCCCATACCCGACATGGACTGGTAACCGTCCAAGAGTCAGATGATTAAACCGTGCTATGCGCCGAGCTCAAAGATGTGTCTCGTTTACTTCTGAGCGAGTGCCCACAACATTGCCCAGAGACAAGTCTCTTTCACCTCTGGGTGAATGCCCTTAACTCGGCTCAGAGATGAGTTTCATTTACCTCTGAATAAGTACGCGTCACCTTTGAGCTGAGTTCATTGGAAAAAACATACTTCATACTATTCGCGTTAGCGCTAACACCTTTGTCACACATTTATACAAAGAATACTTTTCTATTAAAATCTCAATTCTAATAATTTTCTCACGCAACATGTAATCAATTACAGGACTAATTGGAAGGCTTCGCGCAATTAAAACGTCTCTGACGCATTTCTGACGCTAATTTACGCATTTCAAATAAATCAGTAAATCCACGCTAAATTAACTCTCTATTTTACATGGCCCAATCTTAAAGCGTGCATTTCCAATTATAATGTCTCTTTGAGCGAAACCGCGAAATTAAAAAATGACAGTAAAGGCGACTGGTTTTTGTTAACAGTACCTTGTCACGATTGTTTACAAATATGGAATTTCATTATCTCTCGCTTAATCACGGATTATGTCTGGGTTAAGCTCGATGATGTGAGAATGTTTTGAATTCTTGGTAGTAATTATATTTAACCTCAAATTATATAAAAGTTAAAGATTTTGTTGCTTTGTGTATTTTAGGGCCGTGGTAAGCCATTTCGCAATTTAGTCCAGGGTTGCTGAGCCGAAATTTATCGCTGTTTTGGTACTCACGTAGTGTGTGTTGTGTACCAGGTTAGGGTTAGGGCACAATTTTATTCCGATTTTCCTTATTTTAGTTCTATTACGAGTTGGGGGACTGTCTGTTAGCCAAGTGAATATACCTCCTGCCTATAGGTTTCAGTCCCTTCACACAACTTTAATGTAAAATAGGCGAACAAAATTAGTTACCGCCATAATGGTACAGACACTTCTGCTAAGGCCGCCCGGTACCGATGCCGAAGTTTATCGCCGTTTTGCGTGAGTTGAGACTTGTGTAGAATTTGGAAGTTCTGCGGAGTGATTTTTTATTTGCCTGAATGTAGTATGTGTACCAGGTTAGGGTTAGGCCATAATTTCAGGTACAAATACTGGAGTCACTTGGATAGTCCCCGAACTCGTAATAGAACTAAAATTAGAATAAAATTATGTCCTAACTCTAACCTGGTACACACACATACTACGTTCCGGTGTCCGGTTCACATACTTCAGGAGTACCAAATTTAGTCCAGGGTTGCTGAGCCGGAGTTTATCTCTTTATTTTCCAATGTTGAGACTTATATTGGGTCGTAATTTGGAGTTCTGTGGGGCTGAATATTTCTGATTTTCCAAGTGTACTATGTTATTGCATCGCTCCTACTTTTCTGACCACTTTCTTTGATTTATTTTGGTTTATACTAGGATAACTTAAAATGCGGGCAATAACCTAAATTCGCCTAACCTAACATGATTGTTGTAAGAACAGATCAGTGAAGAGTTGATCTCTAACACCTAACCTAAATTAAAGAGGAATAAATAGAGTGGTGGCGGCAAAATAAGATAGTACCTCACGCACACCGTTTAACTGAAGTTCTATCAAAACGACCGTTCCATTCAGTTTCTACCAGAACTTAGAGCAGAGGCGGGCAGTTACTTTTCTAAGTTGACCAGATAATAGACTTGGTTACTGAGACAGAGGTTCAAAACTCATTATGAACTATGAATAAAACAGTTTATTTACGAATAACTAGCGTCGATAACAAACTCATGCCTGCTCGTTTCACTGATTAGATGCAATAGGAATTTGCTGCAGGAACTAACATTGGAAGATTAGCAGGTTACGTGAGTGTACTGTAGACAGTATAATTGAATTTAATTAAGTGCTGAAATTAATGCACGGGCCGAAGGAGAAAACAAGTGTTACAGTATTCACGGCCGCACGAAAGAAGTCCTTGAAGCTCTCTAAAAAAACGTAATGCTAGAAACCTCTGACACGAAGCCACGAGTCGTGAAAGGTTGGGAATCATAGCCTTAGAGCACGTTGGGTCCAACTAGTTAGTTATTCAGGTTGAAGATCTCGAATTCGAGTAACATGATTACCAAGAATGGTCGGATAAATCGGTTATATTAGGTCAAACTGGAAACATCCTTGTTCTCAAGAGGACAGGGTTAGGCCATAATTTTATTCCAATTTTCCCTATTTTAGTTCTATTCCGAGTTCAGGGACTGTCTGTGTTAGCCACGTGAATATACCCGCTGCCCATAGGTTTCAGTCTCTTTACACAACTTGATGTAAAATGGGCGAACAAAATTAGTTACCTAAATATTGGTATACACACTTCTGGAGCGCCTCTCGAGATATGGCAGATTTGGTTTATTGTCGCCAAATCCATATTTGATGTTGCGAAACGCGTTTCAACGTGAAAGCATCGCTCAAATAACTTAAAAGAGTGCGAAGGTTAAACGAGAAACGACTGATAAGGCCACTGCAATGTCAGCAAAATTGCAGACTGTTAAATAATTTGTTCTCAATGCGATAAACTAATGGCCTCCTCGTGTCAGCACTGAAAATTGGAAATTAATAATCCCGGAGAAGAACGACTTTTCACAATAACAGGAATTTTGCGAAAACGTGTCAGACTTTTTTTTATGTGAGCCGCTGCTCGATAACCTGTACTGATTTTCCGCATCAGCCTGCACTCTGACATATGGCATATTTATGATTTATTGCAATTTGTATGTCTGTGTCTATTTTGAGTAATGTGAAAAATAAACTGCTGGTTACTGATTGCAAAACGATCATTAGGTTCGCGTCATGCCAGAAAGTGAATACGATGAAATTATTGTTTCTCGACACGAAATTTAAAATTCTTGCTGCTGTGAAAATCGATTTTCGCAATGGATCAAATGATTTATAATTTTCAGTACACAACGATAGAAGTAATCGATGGAAGGTTATTACTTTTATTTTATTTTTCAAGATTTCCTCGGTCCCCGATAATTCACCAATAATTTTTGTTTTTTAATTAATTAGAGCAGACCATTTTTTTACTTCTCACCATGATGCTTGTCTGATAATTTCAACAAACTCGATACTCGACTTTTTATTTTTTTGTTTCAATTTTTTGAGGGGATTTTTATAAAATAAAACAGTATCGCAATAAACAATACATCAAAAAACAATACATCATGGCAATAGGATAGGATTTACATATTTATCCCGGCTTAATCATATGACGAACCACGGCCTCTAGCTCGGTTACCATTCCATGTCGGGTATGGGATTAGTTAGTTATTTGTTTTCGGAAGCGTGGACTTGATGGTGGAGGAAACACTGAAAATACCTAAAAGGGCGTGGAAGGCATATACATACATACAATACATAACAATGTCATTCTATACATGTTTTTTCTTAATTTTTACAAAATAAAACTTGCCAGCTAAGGCCGTACCGGTACCGACCGATGCGCGACCTTGCTGTCTATATCTTTATTCAACATTGCTCTGTTGTTTGTTTGTCAGCATAATGTCCGTAATCCTTAAATCCTCGGGCGTTTTTTGTGTTTGTACGTGATGCAGCAATGTCGGGAATTTTACGACTTGAGAAGAATTTCATTGTCAACTCAAATTGGTGGAATATGAACTTTATATTAGGCACGTACGATATCTAGATTACTGAACAGAATCTTAGTTTGAAAATATAAATTTTTGAAGTTTCATACAAGAATTTTATATCATCTAGTCTAGTTTAGCCTTTCTGATTCCAGCTACCGTATCCTTATGAACTCATTTACGAAAAAGGGTGCTCCAGAAGTATGTGTACCAATATGGAGGTAACTAATTTTGTGCGCCTATTTTACAACAAGCTGTGTAAAGGGACTGAAACCTATTCGCAGGTGGTATATTTACTTGGATAACACAGACAGTCCCCGAACTCGTAATAGAGCTAAAATTAGGGACATCGGAATAAAATTATTGCCTAACCCTTACCTGGTACAAACATCACGGGAATACACAAAAAAGCGTATTAAGCACGTTAGTTTAAATTAGCAGATGCGGGCAATAACCTAACCTTTGCATATATATAAGTACTATATACTTATTGCCCCACATGTACTTTATTTAGTCTGGTTAAACAATTTAGGCATATGTCATTCCTAACCCCCCATGACTACGTCATCCAAAAATTACTTCACTACGACGTCACAGCGACGTGATGACGCCCTCAAAAGTATACGGTCTTAATTTTTGAATGACATTGTCTGGTGGGAATTACGAATGACATATTCGAAAATGATTATGTCGAACCCACTATGAGTACTTGTGATACAAAACTACACGAGACTCGCTTTCTATACCTCAAGTTTCTGTTTTCCGACCTGTTTTCGAAAATTTTGAATCCCCATTGTTCTGTCACGTGTATTGCACGTGATCTTTAGTCATTTATTTCGTTCATTTTGTCACCGGAAAGAAAAAAGAAAGCTGATATAAATTACATTTATATTTCTAACGAGTGAAATAAGAGCAGAATCTCATAGCCTGATCGGAAAGGAAAAATTGTGTGGTATGTTTCGTCGAGGTACAATCGTTGGTTGGTCTCTCTCCGCTGTTTCTGATCTTACCGTGTTTTTCTGAAAATAGACCTAGAACGTTAAAAATGATTTTATTAGAAGCCCTCCATTTAAAATAAGAGCTAAACAACAACGCGGAATTTTTTTAACCTAATCAATATGATTAATATTCTATGTTTTACAGTTATTTCAAATAAAAGCGTGCTATTTATAAGTAAATAAATATCGGTTTTCGTATTTTGTATATTTGAAAATCTCGTAATTCTCCACTTTGTTTTTAATAAATGAAAACAAAAGACATCCCCCAAAATAAGTCCTAGTGTTAACTTTTGGAAGAAACTTTAAATAAGACCCTGTCCTATTTTTGGAGAAACACGGTAGCAGTGTTTGCATGTCTGCGATCCTTTGACTTAAATCTATATATTATCACAACTCGCTATATCACCAGAATAAACAAATATACCATGGAATATTAAAAAGCACCGCGGTCTATCTTCTCAGTAGATAACTGACTTATGGGCAACTCCAGGAAACATCTATTAGAATACGAGGTACTACTGAAGTATACGCACCAAGATGTCTTAATAAATAATGTCTTGACTCCTTGAAGTATGCGCACTGAAACCTAACCTGGTACACAACCTGAGTTCAGGTAGTGCGCCATCTTGGTGCGCATACTCCAGGAGGTCCGAATACGAAAGCAGAAACTGGTTGAAGTGTTGATGTTTTTTCGTTTGTTTCCCTAAGTTATTTACCCTGACTAATTTAGTCACTTTTTTCCTGGTTGACTCTCACTATATTTAATTAATGTTTTCTAAATTGGATTAATTCAGCAAGTCATAATGAAATAATCTAATTATTTTTTAATGTTTTCCCTCTGCTTTTCAACTCAGCAAACAAGGTGTCGCTGATACGATGACTTTGGTAGTCTTTTGCGGCCCCTCGTCAATTGCGGAAAGATTGTATATTTGTTTATTCAAATTGATCGTTTATTATTTTACTTGTTCACTTGTCTCGTTACAAGATTTCTTGCACGACGAAATAAATATCTGAATCTATACACACCCAACAGAAATGCGTAAACAAAGCGTGTGCGAACACTTGCCATCCTAAATAAAACTAAACATTTACTGCAATTGGAAAAATTGCGTATGACTCTGGATGACGAAATAGTGCCAAAAATTTTGCATGTTCACTGAACGCCCTGAGTTCTTCTAGTTGGCACGGCGTTGTAGTGACATAATTTTTGGATGACGTAGTCATGTGTAGGTTAGAAATGACATACCGGTATGCGAAAATGGTCATGCCAAGCCAACTAGTAGTACCTGACGGCGTTTAGTAAACTAGCCCCGAAGTTTTAAGGTCTTGGAAGGCACAGATGATATACGTGCGTAATAGTCTAGATTTTCAAATGTTTTGTTAAAGCTTTATACCGTGTTTCCCCCAAAATAAGACATGGTCTTATTCAATTTTTTTTTTCGAAAAATAACACTTGGGCCTATTTTCTGGGGATGTCTGTTATTTTCATTTATCAAAAACAAAATTACAAAGTAGAGAATTACGAGATTTTTAAATATACAAAGTATGAAAACCGATATCCATTTACTTATAAATAACACGTTTTTATTTAAAATAACTGCTAAACATAGATTATTAATCATTTAAAACGTGTAGGAGAGATTTCTTGCTATCAACAAGGTCCAAATAAAATTTCGCGCTATCGACCAGGTTTTATTTCAAAGGTAGGGCTTATATTAAAATCATTTTCAAAATTCAGGCTAGGTCTTATTTTCGGGGAAACACGGTATTAATTAGTTATCTGCTCTCAGTTTCGGGACAAAATGCAATATATTGCTTTTTCTCTGCTCTCCGATGGCATGTGAGTTTTTGTTAGGGCAGAATTATCATATCCAGGAGGAAAAGAAAGCCGATGTTGTGGTCTAAATTCCTAACATTATTTTCATTACAGCATTATAGTTACGTTCAGTTCATCTCCTTTACATAATGCGAGACCTTGCTCTCTCCATCGCCATCTTGTGTTGGTTATCTTTTGCGAACGCACAGCAATCGTTGGACTGCAAAGTGAAGGAAGGATGCACGGCTGAGAAATGCTTTGACGGCACGGAGTTCCCGATACTATGCAAGGTGAGATTTTGAGGATTAATTTGTATGATACCTGCCATTGGCTGTAGTGGGATTCAGAATGTTTAGAACAGTGGTTCCCAACCTTTTTTCTTCCGTAGCCCACGTTTTTGACCAAAAAATGCCCATTTACTTACTCATGCAAGGGAAACACCAAAGAGAAAACAGAAAAAAAATCTTTTTAGAAAGTTAGACACTTCCACTTTAATAATTAAAATGAGAATTACCACTCAGTTGCAAAAACAGCATCATCATTCATTGCTGCTACAATTCAAGTTTAACAGATTTTCTGCAGCAATTTATGAAAGCTTTGTGGCTCACTTGAAAATGTTTCTGTGGGCTGTGGCCCAGAAGTGGGCCATTTCCCACTAGTTAAGAACCGGTGGTTTAGAACAAATCTTTCGTGTAGAACTCACTACAACAGATTCCATCATTTCAGTAACCCCCACTGTGAGAGTTTTTATTCGATTCTTCATTAAAACTTTTTTAAGAACTTAACGGGAGAAATTTTACGGGCATCAGATATGAAGCGTAACTAAAATGTCGTGCATATAAAAATCTGGGCACTTCCGTAGTATTTGTACCAAGGTGGCTCACATCCTGAACATAGTATGTGTATCAGGTTGGGGTTAGCAGGTTGTGCGCCATCTTGGTACGAATAATACGGAAGCGGCAAAATCTGACCCTATACATAAAATATTATGTTTTCGACCACTTCATGAACTTACTTTTCCAGGGCAAAGGAAACCAGGCGGAATTCTTCAGGTTGTTTGTCATGTTGGCTGGACATCGTAAACAAATGGAGAATATAAAAACAGGTAATGACGTGGCTGCCTAGCTCGTAGGTTTTTAAAGTGCTCCATCGGAGACTCAGGTCTCCGCGAGAGAAACCATATAGTACTATAAAGATAATTAAAAATAGAATAACTTTTTTTCACGAAATAGCAAGTACATTTGTAAGCATTCGTTAGATCAAAGTCTAACTTCATACCTAACCCACCCATCTCTGATACTTTCGAAAGTCATAATGATAAGTTTATTTCACCATTGGTCTTTCATATTTGCAGCGATATCTTATTTTGTTTGAAGGAGTTAGGCTATGATCCAATGAAAGCTCATAAATACAATTGCTATTTCATGCGGAATATTATTACGTTATTCCTGTTTATTATTATTCATTGACTCTTATTTTCAGAGTTGGGAGAACTGAAAGAAGTCGACAAAGTCAAAGACAACATTACAGACGACATTTTAGCAGGTAAAGCCATACGTGAGGACCTAAGTGCCTACTATTTCGTCGCCGAAATGTGTTTTCTGAATGAAATGGGCATTAGATTCTTATTGCTGTGAGAGTGATTGTCTTTAGAGAAGACGCCCTCGGTTCATCTTTTGATGAAAGTGACCAAAGCTATCAGCAAATACGCGAACATGCATGAACAAGGGAACACCAATGCGTATTGACGTTTCACCGACCTTAACCCCTGAAAGACTCTGAAAGAATATTGTGACTGAACTAAAGGTCCCCGGAAGACATCAAGACAAATAATTTATTTTATTTACAACTATTTTTTTTGGAAGCAACTGAAACTGACTAATAACAAGTAAAACTACCAAAAAGAGGCAACGATTTGTGACGTTTTTTTGAACAGCTATTGTCGGTCACGGGTAGGTTTTTTCGAAGAAAACAACCTTATATGCGGACCTCTATATTTGGATTTTTTCGCTTCATTGAAATACATTATTTTTATTTTACCTCACTGTCTGCATACTTTCATATTTTCGGCTTGTGTAAAAATAAACTACTGACTGACTGGCCAAGCTGGCGCTGAAACGGGGGCGCGCGGTAGCCACATCCGCTAATTCGCCATAATTCTCGCTTTCATAGCTCACTCTGGCCATTTGTATAATTTTTTGTCGATTCTAACTGATGAAAGACAAAACCAATTGATCACTTCTTACATTCCAGAACTTGAAAAAATTGAGAAAACAAACAAAAACCAGACTGAAATCAACCAATCACTTAGAAATGGTAAGTTTCACATTTGAACAAAGTAAGAATCAATTCTGATAACGAAGCTAAAATAACGCACATGAGGCGGCCATTTTGTGTTCGTCATTTAATATTTTACTTCTTGAACACCGGTCTAGATTTTAGCCTTCCGGGAACTTCTTTCATTTTGAACGATTACGAGTTTCTATATGTTCAGTTCATGTGTAATAACGCCCTATGATACTAGACTAAGATTCAGCATACGCATCCCTCCCATCTACCGGTAAATACTTTCAATACTTGGCAGTTTCAATTGTTTGTTTATAAATTCACAGAAACAAAAGAACTTCGAGAAGAAAATGAAAAACTCTCTGAAGCATTGAAGAAACTAAGACAGGAATTCGATGAATGTAAGTCTGGATACGATGTATTATAGTAATCCAGTCAGTAGCCAGACTCTTAAATAACTTAGGATAGTTATCTTTATTCCTGCCATAGTGTCCCTGTATTATATTCATACGGATCAACCGGCACAGAGGCAGCGTGGGCGACACATCTCGCGTTCAAATTCCATGCCCGTCACATCACCCAGTGTGTAATATGCTGGGTTGGCGAAAAGAATCTGGCCCTTACAAACATAGTATTCTATACCACATCAGTGACTTTGGGACTTGCTCGTATCGAAAGATGTGAATAAGCGCCACATAAAAAAGGATAAGTGGTTCGACCCGCAAATCAAACTCGACCTATAATAACCCTCAATTTCAGTGAAACAGATAGTATCCGGTTCAAACCTGAATATTCCGGATTTGGAGACAGAGCAGGATGCAACCCCTAATATAACCAACAGTACACAAGCAACTCCGAATACTACAACTACGACTCCGACCACCACAACTACCACACCCGAACCAGAGCCAGGTTTGTGATACTTGAAGAATTTTCATAATTACCTCCGTGGGCGTTCCAGAAGTATGTGTACTAATATGGAGGTAACCAATTTTGTTCGTCTACTTCACATCGAGTTGTGTAAAAGGAACTGAAATCTATAGGCAGCGGATATATTCACTTGGCTAACACAGACAGTCCCTGAACTCGTAATAGAACTAAAATATGGAAAAATAAATAAAATTATGGTTAGGGTTAGGTCATAATTTTATTTCGATTTTCCTTCTTTTAGTTCTATTACGAGTTCGGGGACTGTCTGTGTTAACCAAGTGAAAATATCTCCCCCATAGGTTCCCTTTACACAACTTGATGTAAAATAGGCGAACAAAATTAGTTACCTCCATATTGGTACACATACTTCCGGAGCGCCACTTAACGTGCAATAGCGACACCGTGGTGTACGCAGTACATTGCACTAGAAAAGCATATTCTTATTCTTCTGCAGAAAATCTTTGCGAATACAGAAACAAAGATGGAACTTGTTACTGGATGAAATTCCACCAGAAGTCTTTCATTAATTACACTGAAGCCGTGCAAGAGTGCGAGGCCGTGGGTTCGAATATTGCTCAGGTTATGTCAGAGGAGGATTATGAAGCAATAATGAAACAACTCCGATTTGAGATGGAATATTGGAAAGAGGTCGCGGGTGCTTGGATCGGGCTAACGATTGATCCATTGGTAAGTGTTAATGCCGTTTCATTGTGTTGAATCACTGGGAATAACATAATGTCTTTCCACAAAATAGCCGGCGTTGGGAAGGCTTGGCTTATCGTCTAGTCTCTAATTCGTCAATATTGGATTTCCTAATCAGACAAGAAATTTTTTATCTCCCGTCTTTTGCCCAAAAAAACTGGGTACCCCCGTAGTATGTGAACCAAGATGACACCGGAACATAGTATGTGTACCAGGTTAGGGTTAGGCCATAATTTCAGGTACAAATACTACGGGAGTCACTTGGCTAGTCCCCGAACTCGTAATAGAACTAAAATGAGGAAAATTGGAATCAAATTATGGCAGTCCTAATCTGGTACGCATACTACGTTCCGGTGTCCGCCATCTTGGTTCGCATACTATAGGAGAACCAAAAACTGACTCGACTCGGATACCCGTGACTCGACTTGACATAGGAACTCTTATCCAACACCTGGTCAAGGAAACTCATTTAAAAAATAATTTTTTTATCCTTTTTCTCAGACGAGCGAAGTCTCGCCTCAAGGAGCCTATCAACAATGGTATCGATGGTTTTACCCCCGCACAGGTCGGTCCTACTCACACTGGACCCATGTCAACCTGCTAGTGGACCGAAATCCTCTCTCTTACCAAGGCATGACCAACGACCCACCCACTGCTACGGTCAATGGTGTCGTCTGCCAAGACAATCATGGCGCGCAAATACCGGAAGTGACGGATGAGAATACTCAAGACGGGAAATTAGAGGAAATGACGAATGAGGAATTGAAAAAGAGCGGATAAAGAAATGATAACTTTAAATTTTTTCAATTTTTGTATCTATTAGCACTTATTCAAGTTCTCACTTAATTCTGCGAGCATATGAGCTAAATCTGAATAACTTACTTTTTAAAAATTTTATTTTTTTGTTTATAACTACAAAGCGAGCAATTTATTTTAGTAAGTAGAGCAAATCTATTTTTGTTTCAACATTCCTTTTTACAAGATATAAAATGTTTGCCTATTTTTTGAGAATTCCGCTTTTGCGACTGCATTATCAGTATTTGTATTCCTAAATTTAGTTCTGCATTAATATGCTCAATGATTTATTACAGTTCCATTGTTTTATTTTTTTGGTGAAGTTTAATAAATGTTTATCCGTAGTAATAAGTATTTTATACATTGTATATACTGAATGGAGAATAGATCGAGAATGCCAATGTAGGATGGAAAGGGACAAGGTAAAACAATACTTCACGGCTTCCTGCACCGGAGAAAGAGAGAGAGAGAGAGATTTATTTCGTTAACTAAAAAAAACACAGTCATAACAATAAAAAAAAAGCCACAAAATCATCTTTTTCTGTATAGAATGGAGTGATCGATACAGTCATGCGGTCATCGGAGTCAGCCAAGTTTACGCTGATAAGTTCACAGTAAATTATGATTATTAGGAGTGGTTAAAGTTCACGAAACAAAATTTGAAAAGACAAACAAAAAAATGGACTAAGCAATTGTTCAGGATGTTAACATCTATTTATACAAATGCAACCATCAAGTCCATGCATCTGAAACAAAAAACTGGCTAACTATTACTATACCCGAAATGTTAGGTGGGCGAGAGGCCGTGGTTTGCCATATGATTAGGCCGTCGTAACGGCTTTCCTCTCTCCCGGGATAGATGTGTAAATCTTATACTATACGTTAGTCAATGAAACTAAACATCCGAATGCGAACCAATGATCTTAGAATGGAGGTAAATACAGGGCCGGTGCTAAGAACTGCGAGGCCCAATTAGAAAATATGAAGGCGGGCCGCCTACTCTTCATAGTAAAATTTAAGGGTTCTCATATTTCATAAAAGAAACTACATAAAAACCAAAAAATAGACATTTAATAACATGTTAATCTGAATTTCGGAAATAAAGCAAAACAGAAGAATTTAATTGTTTATTTCATAATACAGAAAAAGACCTCCCCTAGCGCGGGGCTTTTTTAAGGTGCAGGACCCAATTTGATAAAATCGGTCAAATCGGCTTGAAACTGGCCCTGGGTAAACATATCAATATATTAATGTAAATTATCGGGTTCATGGTTAGGTTGACGTGATACAACTACAGTGCAGTTCCCTAGAATATTAGCAGCAGATACTGCATTGTATTTAATGGAATCATAAAAAATAATTTTGCGTTGCCGATTCTGTCGAGTGTAGTTTAACTAGAACAAACCGGCTTCGCTCTCGTAAAACTACATTCTCACAAAAGTCCGTCACCGCAAAACTATATTGTTGCGAAAGTCAGTTTTCACAAAACTACATTTTCGGTAAAGACCATTTTCGCGAAAGAACTTTCAGAGCAAAGTCTTCTCGTAAATATATATTCTCGCAAAAGTTTTTTTCCCCACAAACCTGCCTTAGGTCGTGACCTCTTCTGCAAAGTTCTTTATGTTTTCGAGTAGCGTATCTTCATTTTTTAATGTCAGAATGTCCACTCGTTTTTTATATCAGGCGTTGTTTTTAGGCAAATAAAGACAAAGAAATTCAGCGTTCGTTTTCTACTTGGCACAATTCAGTAATTGGCAGATTACGATACACGTTAGTCACTTTTGGTCGGAGCCAGTAAGCTTCGCCAGTACCAAGTCAAGTCAGAGTCCGCCCACTGGAAGTACTTGTAGTACCAAACTATACAAGACCCAACTAATCAATGTTAATTTTTTTTCCCTCTAATTATTTGGCTGAAATGTGTGGTAGCCCACTTCGATGATATTCGTTCCTATCACCATCTTTATACAACTACACTACAACATAATTTATTTGCTAATACCATCAATTTCATAGTTTTCAGTTCTTGTGCTGTATAGATTAGTTTGTAATATATCTCCCAAGATATTCTCATAGAAGTTGTGTTTCCTGCCGACAGACAAAATGTCTTGTTAGGCCCTTTCCCGAAAACTTTCAGCTTAATTAACGAAGAATTGCTGAGGGAAAATGGAAGACCAAGGAAGGGGTCGCAAGGAGCAGGAACACGTTCCCGGGAACTGGTTTAGTACTTGGGAGGAACAGTTGCTAGTCGAGGTTGGTCTGCTGGTTTATTGTATAAGTCAAGTTTTGAACATAGGAACAAAAGTTGAAATTGTTAGCTTAAAAAATGTTTATTATATTGTGTATCCAGAAAAGTTGATGTTCTTTTTATGTAAAGATTAATCAAATCATATTTTTTAACCTAGTTGGCTGTTTTTAACCTCGTTTGGATAACCTGGGAAGAATAAAAAGCATTTTCTCAGCATTTGAGAGTTTTTAGCAAAAAAACACAATTTTGGTCACATGACGGCCGACACACCTCACGTTTGATTTAAAATATTATCGAGACGTGCATGACGCAGTGTGGGGCATTAGCCCTTTGTGTCAGACGCCCTTGTTTTTCAAAGACAAATAGTGTTTGTTTTTGAACTAAATGTCGAGACATCTAGGAATCGGAGAACTTTGCTCTACCGATATTGAAATCGAATTGCAAGATGGGATTCTAGAATATCAAATCTTCGGTATATATCCAACGGATAAAAAAACACTTTTTTGTTTCAGGCTGACAATGATCCGTCATTCGAAGCCCAGTTCAACAATTATCAACGCCATACCGACCAAAGGTTATGGATCTCGTTCCAGAATACGGCGTCGTCCATCGCACAGTTATATAAAGGTTTGTATTCAAGGCTGGTCATAGATGAAATTTAATTATTGAAAATGAATAACTAAGAAATGAGAGAGCAGTGCTCAAATATATGGACACGTTAATCAGAGAGAAGCAGTCCCTACCTTTGACGCTACCGGTACCAACGGCGCTGTTCGCCATTTCCTGTTAAGAAAGCAAGAACTTCGTTGCACACCACCGATGTTCAATGAGCACTAGATCAAAAGAACAAGAAAAAGAGTGCCAGCATAGAAGCGACTTTTTAGGTTTTCCACTAGATGTCCAAAAAAAAAAGTAAAACAATCCATAAGTCCACGATCCACTTGTGTCCAATAATAAAAAATAAAAGTAATAGCCTTCTGGCAAAAAGTCAATCTTTAATAACCACTGTAAATTTCAAAGCAATTCGTCCAGTAATAAAAGAGAAAAGCGACTTTTTCATAACGTGTCAAAGAACAACAACAACATAATATTGAAACAATCCATAGGCCCACTAACGTGTTCAATAGCTTCATAAAAGTTTTCTGCCATCAACTCGGTTGCTTGTGAGCTCTCACAAGTTCACTCTCAATTTACCTAAGTTATTTTCCAAGAATTTCAGATATTTTGAATCCACTGCCTCGTAGCTGTTTTCTTGATTGTATTTGCATGAACTTTTTCCATAACTTCCTCATAGATGAGACACGCTTTACTTGTGAGTGAGTGCCCGTAACTAACTTAGCTCAGAGATGAGTCTTCTCTATTCCTGAGTTAATGCATGTGGACTTGGTTTGTATGACTCGCCGCATAAAAACATCGATATCACACACACACATATATGCCTATATATACACCAGCACAGAAATACACATTCTAAAATAACACTCTGAATGTCGAATATATTCTCATATAGGTTATGTTTAACAAAGAGCGCATAGGAGTTGATATATAGTGCCAATTTACTACTTCGTCTCTGTAGCGAGGGACTGTAACCTTCCTTTGAGCAAGTAATATAAGTTTCCCGTTTTTGCTTACAGAACGACTCCAGGATCGGGATTCAGGTTGGATACCGTTCCAAACTGCTGCAGCATCTGCCACCAATCTGTATAAAGGTAAGTGCTTTTCCGAAGCCTTGCTCTGAGCAAATATGTGATACACTTGGTAAAAAATGGCCCAGTGCTAGAGTGCTGTACCCAACCATTATAGATTTAAGATATTCGGCTCAAAACTGTTTTCAGCACCACACTTGGAGGGTTTGTATTGAGGATGTGAAATTTGAAAGTATTACCCAGCTGTTCCAGTTTTGCAAACTCTAACAGTGTGGGGACCGATGATGGCCCTGATTGGTATATTTATACTTATTGAGGTGCACAGGTTGTGACCCAAATCTAAAATATTATTTCTCTGGCGCTCAGAAGTGTGTGTACCAATATGGAGGTAACTAATTTTCTTGCCTACTTTTTTGCCTAAGTTGTGTAAAGCGACTGAAACCTATGGGCAGGGGGTATATTCACTTGGCGAACACAGACAGTCCCCGAACTTGGCTAGTCCCCAAACTCGTAATAGAATTAAATTGGGGAAAATCTGAATAAAATTATTGCCTAACACTTCCTGGTACACATACTACAGGTGTACCATTTTTCTTTTGTTAATATAGGGCAGAAAAACGAGTGATCTCAATTAAAAATGCTGTTGGTAAATAATGTCAAAATTCAGAAATTCCAATATTCTGTAATATATTATTTTTTGGGCGTAAAAATGTTAATACATCATTTTCTATGACGCATTAAACATTACATTTTCAATCAATCAATTTTGACTATCTCCGCATGGTTGAGTATTTGATTAATTTATCGGTATTGTGGCATTGAATGCATGAAATATGTGTCAAAAGTCTCCCCGGAAACAGGTTGAAATAAAATGGCTTATTCATTTGGTCAACTTACCTCAGTTTGCTGCCAAATTGATTATGTATTCTTATTATTTATGTTAATGAGTAGAAAGAGGCTTAAGGTCAAAAAGTTTGGAAATTGTGTTGAGTCTAGGAAATAGAGGGGGGGGGCAAGGTTTTGGAACCAGGGGCCAAAAATGTTGCCCATCTTGACTGGCGGGCCATGTAAGTGTGGCGTAAAAGTTACATTCCATAAACAATATTTGCAGTGTTACAAAAGATGTGGACAACAATAATCTTCGTGCCAAAACTAAATTTAATTGCAATTTCAACAAATTCCTTCAGATAATTTTTAGCTAAAACATCAAAATTTGGTTTAAGTTTGGTTGTGGCAGCATCAGGCGAGCCAAATTCAATTTTCCAATAGACCGGATATGGCCCACAGGTCCTAGTTTGCCCATGTTAGAGCCAAAGGTACTATTCTAATGACTTGGATTCAGAGTGCGCATCACATGTTAATTATCCCCCGACTTACCCCTGCTGATTACAGTGAGCTTTCTTATAATTACATTTGGAACAACAGGATTAATTTCTGACAGAATATCTACACTTGCATATAACTTATTTTATTCTGTCAACTCGGGAATCTTCACAGCCCTACAGTTCATTTCTTCGAATGACACAACAAGATTGATCTTTGACAGAATATCTACACTCACATATAATCTATTCTATTCTGTCTAGAATCTGCAGAAGCATCCAAAACCAACCGAGATCTGGCGATACAGTGTGGATACCAGAGGAGGAATAAAGAACTGTTGGCCTGGGTTAGAAAAAAGAAAAGAAATATCAGGTTTGTGGCTGAGAATGGTGAAATAATTTATTGCCTTGCATTTTGCAATTAAGATATATTATTAGAATATATTTGGCGAACCGGCAAGGAAGGTTGACACGGTTGAGAAACACTGGTTTAGATCATTCGACATCTTACGGTCTGATGAAAGTCAACTTAGTTTTACTCCTGACACTATAAAAAGAGAATATTCCCATTGGATTGTAATAATTTCTGCATTATCATCTGTTGAACATGACACTTTAGAACATATTTGATATTCAGAATGTAAATAAAATACACTTTACGGTCTTAACTGTTTTGCATTTTAAATCCAGACTTGTTGAATAAACATTAACTGTATGTATATTCTTCGTTGAATATATTTCATATCCCATATTTCAAAATATCATTTTGATGGTGAATTGTTTGATTTTGGCCATCCCTGATTATAATATGGAATAAAGTGGCAAATTTTATCGTCTCGTTTGGTTAATAGCTAGGTTTGGGTATGGGGTCAGGACTCAGGTGACCAATTATTTCGGGGTGGAACTATTAGGTGTTCCATGTTTGGAACCACGCAAAGCCAAATTTTAAAACTTTTATTAAATTGTTAAATTAATTAAAAAATATTTTGATGTTTGTAAATATATCTAGAATCATTAAAAAATCATATGAGTATCTGAATATATTTGTCTAAATAAGACCAGCTGTATCCCAAGTACATGGATTTCTGAGATGAGCAAATAAAGTTATGAATTGATCATATTTTTGCTTTCGTTGGACGCAATGAAAAAGCTTGGAGATTTTCTTGTTGTTATTCGACCAAAAATGCAGTTTCAAAATGAGCTGAGGCCAAATGGATGTGTCAAAACAAACCACTTTTTAGTTTCATTTTCTTAACGACTCTAAAACAATCCCATTATCCCCAGGAGAGAAGATCTAATAAGCTTTCTATGTGGGAAATCCCCTCCTCATCGATCAAGTGTATCGTCACGGTCCAGTAGGCCTTCGTCCTCAGCAAGTGTTAGCAAGACAGATGTAGTGACCCATGACAGTGACCTTCAACAGTTCCAGGAAGCTCTTTCTATGCAAGGTGGGCAATTTATTTTATATTGGACATGAAGTGCCCATTTGGATCCTTAATAATTGCTTTTATGCAACTGCAGAACCAATCTATTTTACTCCAAATTTTTGCTGTTTTAAAAATAATAGAACATTGCAGTGATATAGTATTGTATATTATACAGTTTTGCTGAATTCTAAATTTTTCCAGTGTTGTTAAAAATCGCTTTTCTCAAATTTTCGGTACTTGATTAAAATTGGAAGCCGTTACTAGAAGACTATTACTCTGTATTTCACCCCAAATCTGCTGTTTCATTCATGGGCGCACCTTGATATGACATTCAGATAGGATTGCTAAATTGTAGTTCTTGTTTGGAGAAATCGCTTTCCTCCCAACTGTGAGACAATTGTTGTCCAATGCTTAGCACTTAAAGTTGGTTTAACCAGCTGGTATGCTATTGCTTTCATTTTTTTTTAAAATTATTCTAATTCTTCACGAGGCTTGATTCTCTTCAATATTACCTCTGTATATATTTGTTATCAAGATTATTTCCCTATTAGAACATAATAAAATGCTTTAACTTATTTGTACAATTCAAATACAATTCAGGTTTAAATGGAGCTATGGCAGGGATAAGTGTACGCAGCCATCCAGGGTCCCCCAATACAAGAGGACACAGAGCATCACCCAACCATTCAGGTATTTAGTGCTTGTGTGTAGTCACTTGGCTGGTCCCCAAACTCGTAATAGAACTAAAATAAGGAAAATTGGAATAAAATTACTACGTTCCGGTGTCTGCTATCTTGGTGCACATACTTGGGGAGTATGATAGGTACCTCAAGCCTAGTCTATCGCAGCTTTCTCAGAACTAATATTTGAGTAGTGGATTTAATTTTTGGAATAATTTCTTCTTATATTTCTTTTCTGTTGAATTTTTTTTTCAATTTAAAATCCCACGCTACCTGACCGAGCTACACTATGCCCTGGTGAAATCTTGGAGAAATTTTGAAAAAAAGGTCATTTTCAAATAATATTCATTTTTAATCACGCTTGAACTAAATTTCATTGAACACCCTCAGCTGTAGGACCAATAATCAGTGCATAATAAGCGATTTAATCTTGTACTCTGCTCTGAAAATATCTGTGTAAAATCATATGAAACTACGTCTCCATAATTTTCAGAGTACAAGCAAACTTCTTATGTCTATTTTTTACATTTATTCTCATTCCAGGAGTCCCTCCCGATCTTACCAACTTCATTGCAGAAGAGTTTCGTCGCCGTAGAAACAACCCTTCACCACCATCCACATCCACAACAAGTGCCACTAGAGGTCGCTCTAACTCTCCATCTGTTCCTCCCACAAGAAAACGTCATCCGTCTTCCGAATCCAATTCCGATTGTCCGTCGGTTTCTAAGAAATCACGGAAATAACAAACTGAGAGTTCAAATCAGTGACTTCCTGACTAACTTCCACTTCATGAGGTCAAAGGTTGCCACGGTTCAGTTGTTTTATTACAAATTCTGATTAACTTCGTAACTATAAAGCATTCTCTGCCATAGATTTGTCATTCAATTGCCGTCCTGGAATCAGGCTCTCGACAAACCCATCTATAGGATCAAATCCATACATTTGAAACGAATACCGGGCTGCCTATTCCCATACTCGACATGGACTAGTAATTTGACAAAGGCAGTTGTATGGCTAAGTCGTCTTATCAGTTTTCCCTCCTCCGGAAATTAAATATGAAAATCTCATTCTATTTCTTAGATACAAGTCCATACATTTGAAAAGAATGACAGGCAGCCTATTCCCATACTCAAAAAAACTAGTAATTGGACAAAGGCTGTCGTTGCATGGCTAAGTCCTCTTATCAATTTTCCCTCCTGGAAATAAAATATGAAAATCCTTTTCTATTTCTTAGATTCAAGTCCACACATCTGAAACTAATATACAATTAACTATCCTAGTATCCAACATTAGTTTATAGCCAAAGGAAATGCATCGTTTGCCATATGATTAACCCATCTTATTAGTTCCCCTTTCACTGGGATGAATAGGAAAAAGGATTGCCTCAAGATACTAACCCCTGTATCATGATTGCCTATTCCCATGTCCAACATAGGCTAATGACCAAACAATGTCGTTTACTATATGATTAAGTTGTCTGATCAACTTGCCTCTTACTGGGTCAAATATGAAAATCCATTTTAGAAATGCCTCAAGATATTTACCCCGACTCAGACAACTGCTTGCACAACCCTGAAACACTTTGTTTGAGTCTATGCCTCAGATGTGGGCAACTGTTTGACTATTCCCATCCCAACATGAACTAATATCCAAACAATGTGTTTTCTGTATGATTAAGCCGTCTAATCAGCCTCTCAGTGGTATATAATGAAAAATTGATTCCAGAAATGCCTTAAGATACTTACCCCGGTTTAGACGATCGTTTTTTACATGATTGCCTTACCTTGGAAGACTGTTTTCAAATCCATGCCTGGGAAATGGACAACTGTTTAACAATTCCCATACATAACCAAATAAGATTCACCTCGTGTTAAAGTTGTTACTGTCCTTTCTTGGGTTAAATATGATTCCAGACTGCTTTTTGCATGATTGCCTAACCGAGCGGTTCTCTGTGGAGGTCACAAAGCAGATGTGGGTGGGCCACAATGCTGGGCACAAAAATCATTTTACTTTTCACTTCACAAACAAACTTGTTCTTCCTAGTTTTATTTCTTGATAGGGTTGTTTCAGTTTGTTTTCACTTCGTTGAGCGTGAATTGTTTGAACATAATCGGATTTGGAATCAAAATAACACTATAAGCACCACACGAATGATAAACTGGGGTCATGATTGCCAAAATCCTTTGGAACGGGGGGCCATGACCCATCAAAGTTTGGGAACCCCTGGTTTAACCGATCAGCCTTGTTATCATTATTGACTCTGATGGCAAACATGACACCATTTATTTGTGAAAAATTTCTTTTATTTTTATCCGTTTTTTTTTTGCCTTTTGTTATCGCTTGAAATTATATTAATACTTCTAGTGGCCTATCTTGGCAAATAAATTGATTTGGCTACAAATGTTGCAGAATTTATTTTTCTTTGTGGGATGAAATATTGACTTTGAACATGGCTACAAATGTTGCAGAATTTATTTTTCTGTGTGGGATGAAATATTGACTTTGAACATGGCTACAAATGTTGCAGAATTTATTTTTCTGTGTAGGATGAAATATTGACTTTGAACATGGCTACAAATGTTGCAGAATTTATTTTTCTGTGTGGGATGAAATATTGACTTTGAACATGGCTACAAATGTTGCAGAATTTATTTTTCTGTGTGGGATGAAATATTGACTTTGAACATATTTTTTTTCTGTGTAGGATGAAATATTGACTTTGAACATGGCTACAAATATTGCAGAATTTATTTTTCTGTGTGGGATGAAATATTGACTTTGAACATGGCTACAAATGTTGCAGAATTTATTTTTCTGTGTAGGATGAAATATTGACTTTGAACATGGCTACAAATGTTGCAGAATTTATTTTTCTGTGTGGGATGAAATATTGACTTTGAACATGGCTACAAATGTTGCAGAATTTATTTTTCTGTGTGGGATGAAATATTGACTTTGAACATGGCTACAAATGTTGCAGAATTTTTTTTTCTGTGTAGGATGAAATATTGACTTTGAACATGGCTACAAATGTTGCAGAATTTATTTTTTTGTGTGGGATGAAATATTGACTTAGAACGTGGCTACAAATGTTGCAGAATTTATTTCTCTGTGTGGGATGAAAAATTTCCTCCAATCAGCCATGCGTGGATGCAAATGTGGTTAATCTTATTTTTCTGTGTAGGATGAAGTTATTGACTTAAATCAGGGGCAGAATTCATTTGTCTGTGTTTGATGATATATCGATCAGCCATGCCTGGCCACAAATGTGGCAGAATTCGTCCTGCTGTGTAAAATGAAGCAAAACGTTTCATGATTCCAGAATTGCACTGAATTGGGCCAGACAGATATAGATCGTCTGGTTGTAATAACACGTCCTTTAAAGTTCGACAATTTCAAGTAATATTGTCTCCGTCCAGACTCACTGGGAGACGAATGACATCTGAGGACTGAAATGCTTCGAGTTTAAGCTTCATCGTTCGGTATGCAATGAGGATCTGTTTGGCCACAGCAGCGTAATGATAAACAGAAGAGCGATGCCCAAATATATGGACACAAAAGCCAGAACGAAGTTGTTCGGGTGTGCAATCAATCACAATGGAGTAGACTACCGGTAGAGCAGTGCTCACAACTTTGACTGACTAAAAAGCAACCAGTGCTAACGCGGAACCGCCACAAGGTGCACGATTTTTAATTTGGATGACGTCATCGCACACGAAAAACGTATCCCATGGAGACCACGGAATTTTTTGAACTTAACAAAAGTAATAGCCTTCTAGTCAAAAATAAAATCTTCAATCTCTGAAATTTCAAGCAACTGGTCCTCTAGTTAAAGACAAAAACAATTTTTTCATAACAAGAATACCACCAACAACAACATAATAACAAAATGGTCTATATGCCCACTACTTGTCCCAAAAACATAAATAATAAAAAAAAATGAGACGACAATCCATTTATTGCATGAAATTCAATACAGTAGGTTGAGAAGTTGTTAGGCCCGGAAACAAACTTTATTTTTACCAGCGCCTCAAAACACCCTTTCTTGAAATTGTTGATGCTTGGATATGATTTGCCGAACGTGAGCCAGGGGGACTCTATTGATTATTCTCAATGGTACCTTATTTATTTTTTTATTTGAGTTTCCCAAACACGCAAGACAAAAAAAACAAGACCGAAGCTCAGTGGAGATTTACTAAAATTTCAAATGAAGTTTTAACTTGCGACATACCGTAAATGCTCGTTTTAACGCCCGGTCTTGATTAAGGGCCCGTTTGAATAGCCGCCCGTGTGAACAGGACATAAAAATAAATAAGGGCCGGTGCTTGAATACCCGCCCGGTGTACAAGTTTTTTTTTTTGCGGATTTGTACCTGCGGTGCGTAGAAAAAATTAAAATTTTCATTATTCTCGTTTAAATCAGCACGAAGCGAAAGGTTGCATGGATGGTGCGATATGCAATGAACCATCTTGTCATAGCACCGTTGGTCATTGGTCACATTGCACGGTTTCGCAGGTTATAATCACACGAGGGAAACTCTCTTCCCCTTCGGTACGAGTTAAATATGAAAATCTATCGTATCGTAATTCCAGAATTATGTAGATGAATACAATTCTCGTAACTTTAGCAAGCAACTAACAGCGGGAAAGTTGTTGTCGTGCTATTTGGCTTGATTGACAAAATGTATTTAGCTTGGTGGACAGAATCATTCAGAAATTTGACAAGCAGTTATGCGCTAATCACTTCTGGAATGATAAAGGGCTGAATGGCGTGAAGAATAGAGGACTTGCACGGGTCACGTGACTTTGTTACTGGACGGCAATAAAACAAAAACGTCCATTTGGCTCCTGTCAGTTGCAAGTCGGATTATACGTTTCCGTTTTGTTTGGCTGTTGAAAATGGTTATTTCGTACTGTTCCGTTGGCTGTACGTATAGTATAGACTATAGACAACGAAATGGATCTTCAGTTATATTCCACTGATTTCAAAAGATCCGGAACGTCGCGCAATGTGGATATCATCTAATGCCTATTGGCAGAACTGCTTGGTGTCAAGTCCAGAAGCCATCTTACCTGTGTTTCACTGTTTGCGGACAGCACTTCGTTGATGGTGAGTGATAATGTGGTGATAGTGTGCAGTTATCAATTTCTTTAAATATTCACAAGCTCCCTCATTTCAATGAAAAGCAGATGACAAACTACTGTTATTAGTAGGCCTAGGCGTGGGCCTACTTGCAGTTGCAGACTTGACTTGTGTAAGACAGTAAGGAATTAATAATCAATTGCTGTAAGGTATTGTTTTTCTAATTAGCAGGTAATCTATTACTAAGTGTGAAAGGTTGAATAGATAACTAAAGTTTAACACCAGTGGTCATGCAAAAAATAACCAGAATTCAATTGAATTCGCCATCTAGGAATACGCTCGCCACCGCATCTCTGATCACCCTGGTAGTTTCACAGGTTTCAATCCCAGAGAGGATTGCAGCTCTACTCCCACATGACCGCTGATCGGTTACGACCATTCCCCACCATCCTAGTCCATGCTTCTGAAAACATCCCCCCCCCCCCCCCCCCCATCCAAAATGTCTTTTTTTATTGTCATTGGTAAAAAAGATATGCTACCCGGAATCAAATTCATTTACGACTAGCGGCTGTGGTGGGATATGGACCTAAATTTCACACTCCTTGATCGTTAGATTTTATGAAAACTCTATTTGTATCCATTATCTTACAGATATGGGTGCGACCATGGAATAGATGAATGGCAAAGTATAAGTTGCAACAAGACCACAGTGGCACAAGACCTCAGCTTGCGTGACTTGATAATACATCCTCAGTATCCATTTATTGATGCTTATCGTAATGACAAAGTAACTTGTGATTACTGTGGATTGGTGAAGATAAAGTGTCCATTGTGCTTTAACGAAAGATTGTGCTTTAACGAAAGCAACTTCAAGACGACCCTATCAAGAAAAAAAATTGTTTCGGTGGGTCTGATAGTGAAGGTTTCAGTCTAAAGTTGGACACCGATACTACAACCAGATACAGTTGCAAATGAAACTTAGCGAGGCGTAATATTGCGACTTTGTGATCTGAAAGGAAATTCTGATGGGTAGTCGGCTAGCCGCAACCTTAAGAGTCTAAACTTTTATTTGAGAAGGGTGTAACCTAAGCTAATTTGCAAATGGTATTCATGGTACCAAATATATCACACACTTTACAGTAATTATAAATTATATTTGAAAAATAAAGCACATCAAAAATGTATTTTTAAAAAACAATTGGTTTTATCTGCAGATACTAGGTTGATATTGAGATTGACCATTTCAATGCTGAATTTTCTTTAGTCAAAAGGCACACTTGATTCGCAAAGATTTGTGAATGAGCACAGTACACCAATTTGTCTAATGTTTTGATTCCATAGGCAGGAGGTTGTGGATCGGTGCTGCTCAGGATGGGATATTACGTGTTTCAAATGAATCCATCGTGCTCAGATTCGACTGTTTTCAAGGTCTGAAGGCTCCAACAGCCTTATTTTATGGGTACATAAGAGAATTTTCAGTGTGGCATGCATAGTAAAAAATGTATCTTCCTCCACAGCCCTTTCAAATGAAAGATATGATGCCTCGGGGGTAATTTATATCAAATATTTTACAGTATTATGGTTCTAGGCGGCTTTTTTATAGTGTGGTAGGTCTAGTCGAAAGGCACATTAAATGTTTATTCTAACAACTGCAAATTAATATTGCAACGCATACAAGTTAACAGAATTTGTTGAAATGGTCCTGCCTTTTGCCTTTCTTCAAAATCCCCCTTTTTCTAACTATTCTCTTCCTCTCTGGGGATGGCGAAAATTCAAATATCGATGGGACATATAAGCAGCTGATAATGGGTTATCTTCCCTTTTTCCTGAAAATAAATTTTACACTAATCATCATTTGACAGTGCCAAGTTTGTGTATGAGATCAGTAATGAATTACTTGCTAACTAACAAAACAATCAGACAACACCTTCAAAACGCAACTATGCCTACCAATGTGGGTAGTTTTTAGGATAGAATTTATCTGTGGTTGGGGTCAGATTGCAAGGTGCAACATCGTACGATTACCATTCTATGTTGGGATTAGTTAGCCAGTTATTTGTTTTAGAAGCATGGACTTGATGGTGGGGGATGTCGTAATCGACCAGCGGTCGTGTGAACCACCCTCAGTGGGAGGAGAGCTGCAATCCCCTCGCACATAACTATCCCTGCATGGGATTGGAACCTGTGAAACTCCCAGGGGGATCAGAGATGCGGTGGCGAGCGTATTCTTAGATGGAGAATTCAATTGAATTCTGGTTATTTTTTGCATTAGCACTGGCGTTAAACTTTAGTTATCTATTCAACTTTTCACACTTACTAATAGATTACCTGCTAACTAGGGAAACAATACCTTATGGCAATTATTGATTAATACGCGCGGGGGTGTGGCTCAACGGGCTAAGCGTTAGGAATACACTCGCCACCGCACCTCTAATTACTCTGCGTGGGTTCGCAGGTTCGAATCCCATGCAGGGATGGTCATGTGCGAGATGATTGCTGGACTCCTCGCCGTCGTTGGGTGGTTCACGTAACCGCTGGTCGGTTACGGCTTCCTCCACCACCAAGTCCATGCTTCCGAAAACAAACAATATATAACTAATCCCATACCCGACTTGGAATGGTAACAGGACGAGAGGCCGTGGTTCGCCATATGAATAAGCCGTCTTATCGGCTTTCCTCTCCCCGGGATAAATATGTAAATCCTAATCCTAATCCTACCTTACACGAGTCAAGTCTGCAAGTAGGCCTACGCCTAGGCATACCAATAACAGTAGTTTGTCATCTGCTTTCCATTGGAATGAGGGAGCTTATGAATATTTAAAAAATTGATAACGGCACATTATGACTCACCATCAACGAAGTGGTGTCCGCAAACAGTGAAACACAAGTGAGATGGCTTCTGGACTTGACACCAAGCAGTCCTGCCAATAGATGATATCCACATTGCGCGACGTTCCGGAACTTTTGAAAACAGTGGAATATAACTGAAGATCCATTTCGTTGTCTATACTATACGTAAAGCCAACGGAACAATACGAAATAACCATTTTCAACAGCCAAATAAAACGGAAACGTATAATCCGACTTGCAACTGACAGGAGCCAAATGGACGTTTTTGTTTTATTGCCGTCCAGTAACAAAGTCACGTGACCCGTGCAAGTCCTCTATAGGTTCCCTTCAAGTTTCATGCACTGTTTCCACCCCCGTTGGAGATTAGCGGGACACCTCGTTTTTATAAGGCTGTTCACGTGACTGCGGCCAGTTGGGGCTTTCTTGACCATGAAGTCCACCACGCATCTAAAACTGATTAACGGCTTTCCTGTCGCTGTTGGATAGCACGGTCTATCGCCAGGGTCTCGCCCTAAAATTGAGTCGTTTTATCACCTTTCCTTTCCGTAGAATAAGAATATTATTCAAAGATATTAACAAGTAAACCACTTTCTGAAATTTCGTCATGCGCTAATGATTCAATTTATTCATGTGACCGACGTCATAAAGCAAACTTGTCAGCTGGGGAGCGATGCCAATTTCTTACGAAACAGTGTAGGTTGGAAGCGGGGGCTTGTTTTTGTAAAAAAAATCACAAATTAATGTGTTTTTATACATTTGTGAGGTTAAACATAAATGGTATCTACTAATTTTCCGCATTTATTGTGTATGTTATGTAAATAAAAGACATGAGCTAACCATGTAACCGGAACAGGATGTTGTCATATTTACGCACAGGTAATCGTATGATTGTCTTTTCACTTTTAACTTTCCTGACTTTCATTGTTTGGTTTTGAGTTCTGCCCTGTTTCAGCTCATCTCTGTAAAGTGGATAAATACTATTCAAGATTTTTAGTAATATTTAATAAAATACGGTACCTATACTGTAATACAGTACGGTGAACAGATACCGGTAATGCTGTAATGTGACACAGCCAGACGGCGGGTCTGCCTGTAGACGTTGTAGAAGTCAGACGTCAGATCGTTAATAGAACATTGCACAGGACAGTTAACTGACATAATTATGATATTAAATTGAATGAAGCAGAAATTAATTTGGTTTATGATAAGTCTATTGATAATAAAAAGCACAGCTCAGACAGCTCGGAATCTGAAAATCTCGTTTTTATGTTTTATGACATAACAGAAATTTATTTATGCATTAAGATTTGTCAGTCAGTACCGGTAGTAGTAGTTTGCTATCGAGAGAGAGATTAATTATTTGTCAACAATAAAAAACATAAATACAGAAATATGATGATAATAATAATAAATATAAAGCAGTAGAAACATTGTTTCTCGGTATGAATTGGCTGACTGGAGGAAGCGATACGACCATGCGGTCATCAGAGTCAGCTCTCTCCATGTTCGCACCAATTGAAATAAGTTCACAGTAAAAATATTTATTAATATAAAGTGGTTATAAATTCTAGAATTATATGTGTAGCTATTTGTAACCCTGAATATAAATTTTTTATTTTTTTTTCTCAATTCTACTAGCTTTTCTCTTTTTCCTTTCTACAACAAAATTGATCAAGACAAGAATTGAGATAAAAATCACAGTATGGCACAATCTACAGATCGAGCAACATTTCAGTTTCAGAAGATTTCATTTTAGCAATGAATACTGACCCTTCCTTTCAGGAACGTCGGACTCCTCCTTTCAGGAATGTCAGACCTCTCCTTTTGGGAATAAACTATAAAGAAATGCAATTTAAAACCACCACCATTGGATTTATCGGAAATAACAATCCGATCTGCTGAAGGAAAAAAATTACCGAAGCTTTCGAGAGAAATGCAAAAACGATCGACGTGTAATCGAGCTCCGATGTTGTCACCGAATTTTAATCGACGCATCCAATCTCATATCTGGCTCCCATCGTTGCACAACCTTGGCCTGGCTTGTTCCTCGTGTCTACGAGCTTTTATTTTCATTATAGACAGGTGTTTATAATACATGGATGAAAGATAATAAAAATTACATTTTGATCAACACAATATAGGCCTCTTATCACATGAAATAAACATAATAAAAAATATACATTACTGCAATATGTGACGCTAAAGTTAAAAATTACTCAGGTCAACAATTTATCGTACATCAAAACGAAGCACGGAATCAATGATATGTTCGTCAGTCTGTCCATACATGATAACAATTGAACAATTCATCTTCGGGTTTTTTTCATGATAGAAACTCACAACGGATTATGATACCATCTGTCATGGCGATTTTTATTTAAATTTTGACACGAACAATCTATACTAAAATATCAAAGTGAATGCCTCGATGCGAGAGTCGTTCTATATGTGACATTCTGTGATGTATATCCAGGCACGCATCAAGCTCTCTGCACACTCGAAGCTCCCTGTTTTAAAGACGTGCATGCATTTTACATCTCACGCATTAAGTTTTCTGCCACTCGAAGCCCCCTGTTTTAAAGACGTGCATGCATTTTTTGATGTTCCAAATTATAGCCGCTAGTATGGAATCGGAGAACTATGTTTAACCATATGGCAAACCATGTTAATGTTGGGTATAGGATTAGTTAGCTAGTTATTTGTTTCATACTCGTGGACTTGATGGCAACAGAAGTCGTAACCGTACGTGAACCACCCTACGACGGTGAGGAGTCCAGCAATCCTTTGCAGACGTAATCATCCCCCGAGAGATTTGGACCTGCGAAATCACACATGTAGACAGTGAACGTATTCCTAATGGTCAGCACAACATACTATAATATGTTCAGTCTGTATTTTCTTCGCTCTTTTCAATTAACTTCATGGTTTTTACAGATAACTTAATTAAGTGGAATGAATCTAAAATATGTAAGATACCAAAATGAATGAAACGCCAGGCTGAAAACAACCACAGTATCAAAGAGGTGTTGTGACATCATAATAAACAATAACTATGCAGACTAACGGACCTCAAGCGTCACTTTCACAACTTCAAGTGACAGGTATGATTGATTTTTTTAAATTTTTCGTTATACTTTTTATATCTAAGGCATGCTTTCAAACACTCAGTACGAAGCAGAGCTGGGGAACTGGTTCGAAATCACTGGCTCTAGTTCTGAAGTCAGATTATATTCAAACTGTAGCTATGTCGAAGCTGTAGCTATGTCAGAGCTGGGCTACAGCTTTGGTTCCATACCCATTAAAGTTTTTAAGAGTAACCACCGCCAGGAAATCTCGACCCAAATTTAGTTTTGTGAAATCGGGACTCGACTATGAGAAGGGTTTTAAAACTCAAATTGAAACTTCAAATTAATGTTATATGTTGAAATTAAAATGGGTCGTAACCAATTTAACCCTGTTGCCAAAAAATAATAGCATGTATTATTAACAAACTGGTAATAATATGTTAATAAATCGTCGCTAAAAGTAGAGAAGCGTTATGTGCAGATATCACAGGAATTTAAATTCGCGACGAATTCACTTTCAGTAATATATTTAACGGCGCATTGAAATGTAAAGTTGATTATTCTTGACCAAAGAGAATGGTCGACGATTGCTGAAGTAGGACATGCAAAGAAAGGCTAATGAGACACAGCGCCGCACATGTTGTTTTGCCATCATCGGAACATCTTTTTAAAGACTTATAAACGAGTTCTTATTTCACTGTGACCCCCCCCCCCCCCCCTCCCCCCTTGAAAAAATCCTGGCTGAGCCCCTGCATGTACCCTTATTCATCAGGGGGTGGCTTGACGGATCAAGTTACTAATAGGGTTTGTTGGTTGGAGTGGTCCCGCTTTCTGAAATTATTCAACTCTGAAACTTAGTGAATGTTGTTGTTGCATGCCATCCTGTTGACTGACTTGTAAAAATAAATTTTGGGTTGAAGCATCTTTGTGGAAATTATGAACCTTTTTTTAAACTGTGTCTTTTCTGACTGATTTCAGTGTTTGATGTTAGCAAACATTTGTAGGTGACTGTGGTCTACCGATATCCGTATTTCGAGCGATGTACCACCTGATATTAAATCTTTATTTACTCTGGCATTTTAATATTACAAGTGAAATACAAAAATCGAATATTTCAAATTTTTTTTATGTGCATTCATTAAAATTGCATCTGGTAAAGCCTTCATTACACCTACTTCTACATATTCAGGAGTTGTTTCTGTGTATGGGCACAGAGTCTTCTGTTGTCAAAAATGATTCCTACCCCCACTCCCCCTCTAACCAACTTGTACTATTCATTATTTAAAATTTTCAGTGAAAAGCGGGGTCCTTCATCCAAAAGGATGGTTTGGTACGATCAAAGTAGTGGATTCGTACGTTACCGTACGTCTCGATGGGGAACCTCCCAAGAAAACACAGATCATCAGTAAATCTAACAATCCGCAATGGAATGAACCGTTTACCTTGTAAGTATGCCTATATCCAAAAACTCATTTTATTTTATGAAAGAAACTCTAGAAGCCACGTTTATGCAGCTAGAGCTAATGAAATACAAGTAAAAAATAGACATATTCTCTGGTCTAGATCAGTGTTTCCCAACCTATGAGTCGCCTGAAAATTTTCTCGCTTCGTTTGTATTTTCTACAAAAACCTAGAAGTTACTGCTTTTATTTTCTAGTGAATTTTATTGTTTATTTTATTTTTTCATTGAAGTGTTGCTCGATAGTAATTGTATATGGAGAAATTTCACATCATGTGCTGTTATTAGTCGGTCAAATAATTTAGTGACAGATGAAAGCATAAGCATTATACACGGCCTAGTATTTAAGCATACTCATGAGTTGTGAGATTTTATGGAATTTTTAAAAAATTTGACTTGCCTGAAAAAAACTTAGGAACCAGGATTCCATGGAATCCTATAGTTCCTATATCCTATAGTGAAATCCTATCCCACGAAACATTTATTTGAAAGTTTCTTATGTATGAGTGGATGCATTTATGTGTGTCAATTTTTCAAACCTTTTTATATGTTTTGCATCAACAATAATTAGGAATAAAAACACAAGTCTTGTGAGTAGTGTGTATGAGACCATAAGGATTGCATTGTGCAACATGAAGCCACGAGGTTAAAATGCTTGGGAGCAGTGTTAACTCTAAGCAAATTATGAGTGCGAAAGTGCTTCGCAGTCCAAAAAAAAAGTGCGAAAGTGCTTTTGCCGGTTTTAACAAGTTAGGTGCCCTAGCCTTTCATATAACCCATTTAAAACGGCATAGATACTCGCTCCTCCGGTTAATATTATGAATTAAAGAGAAGCCTTTTCGTTAACCGAGTTCCCTTTAAGCGAATTCATGTTTAATTAAAACAAGCGAATTCATCGGCAACGAAATGATATCTGCTAACACCTGCCGCGGACAAAACTTTCATGCAATGTATCACGGTGTCAGTTGCTTACTCGCGTAAACAGCAAAGACTTTCACATTTGTTACTCCTTCCATCTAACAGACACGCGGTCGGCTGGAAACCATATTAGTTACAGGGTGGATCGTTTGTACAAATCCGGTGCAAAATAACCCCCCCCCCAAATATAAATAGCAATCAATTAATTAGGGTTAGGTGCGCTGGAAATTCAACTTTTCGATTCATCCCTAAACCTAATCTGATAATTATTAATTTGTGATTTTGAACCACTTTGAAAGTCGCCACCCGCTGTTTTAAAAGATAGGTTAACCTACGTTCCCTCCGAAATATTATGCAGGATACTCCCCTGTTTTAGGGGATAGGTTGACCTACTTTCCTTTCAAACTTTTTTCTCCGAAATATTACACAAGATCACTTTGAAAATCCTCCCGTTTCGTGAGCTAGCGTGACCTAATTTCTCATTTACATTTATATTATACTATTTCAGAGCTTACCCAAAGACAAGTAATTTTTAAATGTCCACATGCCTTGGTTTGCGTGCGAGTTAGTTTAAATCGGGCAGAAAACATCATATATTGGCAAAATGTTTAGTAATGTCATGTACTTTCAGCATTCATAAATAGCACTCTTTGTAATGCTGCTGACCTAGTATCAAATATTCGCATCACAACGCCACTTGCGAGGTTTCCATATATTTCAATTACACTAATAGGAACGATGACATCAAAGAGTTTTCTTTTGCGAAGGTACACTAAATATACCGAGGGTGATCCTTGAGAAAAACATGAATATAAAAAATAAACGAATGATATGATAATGGATCCCAAATAATTTTGAGAGTGTCTCGAAATACCAATTCATTTGATAAATAATTTTTATTCGACCACATGAACGCTGATATCCTGAAAATTAATGTTGAAAGAGAATTACGCATTCTCAGATATCGGACATCCAGTCGCGATATTCAATCGTTCATATGCACAAATCTCACATTATTAGTAATTGCTACCCAAGTTTGTAAAGTTTAGAAACCAACAAACAGAAAATAACTAAAATTCAGTCGGCAATAAATTCGTCGCCAAGACGATGCCATACAAAACAAAAAATATTTGGTCGCGAGAGTTACGTGAAATGACTGCCGTTGTTTTTTAAGCAGAATGTAAAAAAATTTATAATTAATAAACGGGAGTTACGACGCCCTTTACACATCGTGAGTATTAAACTTCCCTGGTAAGTACTATTATTATTGTACCTATACACCTGTTGGAGTATTTCGGACAATTTCGAATTTAAAATAAATGAAAACCAGACATATAATAAAGACGCAAAAGTAAAATGAACATTTATTGAAAAAGTTATTATTTAAGAAAGACAACATGATCGTACAATTCCGCCAAAACCTCGATGTTCGCAAGTGAGATGATAAATAAATACTTCCCTGTATTCGATCAATTAACTTTAGCGTATCGTTGTTCTGCCAACAAACAGCCGGGTGCAAAATATTTCCGTCCTGTGATATGCTCACAAATATTCTCGATATTAATATCATACCCTCGAGTATGTACTTTCTATTAGCTCTGTAGTGATCCCTTCCATCCTTGGCCAAGTCATGTTTCGAATATGTGAACATTTTATTCGACCATACGTGGCCGGCGGGATGTTAAAATTGTAAACAAGAGAGAGGTAAAATCAATCGCGAATTTCGTTACAACGTCTCGTTTACGAATTGTTGCGCCTGTTATCGTCGAAAATGATTACATTTGTTGTATTTTGAGGCATTTAAGCAGTAATAATTAGGGCATGAAATCATCAAAATAGTCAAGTGAGATCTTGAAATTGCAAATTCCGTAAATAGAATTGTGAATTATTCGGTAACGAAATCAGCTTTAATCACCGTCGGGGTATTGTTTTGTTGAAAATTATTATTAATGTGTGAGCGCCAAAAACATACAGTCCATACCGATGCGACTGCAATTTTTTATGGTCGCAATTGGTCTGGCGCGTTTATTAATAGTGTAAAATAAATTAAACGAATATCAATTATAACCAAGCCTGTCAGCGTGTTTATTTTCTGTTGGCAGGAATCGTAAAATACCATCTTGAGACAAATTCACTTCTATTATAAAATCTTAATTTTCAGTTATTATCGTTATACAAATAACATATGACAACTTTTTAATTTATCGTCGACCAAAAAACCGCCCCACACTCGTCCAAACGTGTGTCCAGCTTGAACGACAGGAACAGATTCATCGACGACCTTAATTAGGGAAAATATGTATTTTATTGGGAATGCAAAATAAATGTAACCAAACGCATTTTTTCGTGATATAACTTTGTATTTTCGGAAACGGGTTGCCGTGAAAGGTAAAATTTGATCTAAATTTATCGCAAAAATGTTTTATTTTAAATGTAACAAAACACATTTTGCGATATAACCTTGTATTTTCGAAAACGGGTGTCCTGAAAAGTAAAATATGATCTAAATTAATCGCAAAAATGTTTTATTTTAAATGTAACAAAACACATTTTCGCGATATAACCTTGTATTTTCGGAAACGGGTGTCCTGAAAAGTAAAATATGATCTAAATTAATCGCAAAAATGTTTTATTTTAAAAGTAACATAACACATTTTTCGAGATACAACTGTATTTTCGGATACCGGGTGTCATGAAGAGTAAAATATGATCTGAATTAACCGTAAATAATGATTCATTCCAAATGTATCATAACGCATTTTTTGCGATATAACTTTGTATTTTCGAAAACGGGGCGTCACGAAAATTATTAATCTAATGTTTTATCTATCGTCTAACTAACGCCTGGAACACATCATTTCCGGGGAGAACTCTAGCCCGCGAAACGTCATTTAATTTAAAATAGAGAATGTTTCACGCATTTTAAAACGGAAAATCACCAGTAAGTAAGTGGACAGGGATTCAACCCTCCGGATTCAGTATTCTATATCCCCGTGTCAGAACTTTCTGAAGATTGGAACAAAGAACCCGTCAAACCGCCGCGGAAGAAGGGGAGTATTTTTTGCACTAATAATTAGGGCGTGACAATATCAAAATCGTCAAGAAACTGGTGAATTTGCAAATTCCATAAATAAAATTGTGAATTGCTCGGTAACATTTTAGCTATATTTATCGCCGGGGTATTGTTTTGTTGAAAACAGTTGAAACCTGAGGGAATTAGTTACAATTAGCGCCTGACCTCTATTAGGCACTCCAGCATTCGAAAAAAAAAGCACTCGAGCCCAATCTTTTTAGCATTAAGTCGCATACGTAAAATATCCTGTAAAAGAAGTGCTGTTCATTAACGTCATCTCGTCTTATGACCACGCAGAAATGCCTTTATTGCCGAATTATTCAATCACTATTTTAAATCAACATTCAGGATTGGCACAATTTCAGATTTGCAAAGTTTATCACCATAGAAATACATGAGAAAGTTAATTATCGTCTTAATAAATATCTGCATCACGGTATGGACAATAATATTACCATTCGCATAAAATTGGGACGGTAAATATACAAATCTTGATAGGTAATATTAAGGCCAACGCAAATGTTAATTTGAGTCCTCAATGTCTTCAACAGCTGTTGCCGATGTGAACGAACCGGTAAACCCGAAATATAAAACTTCGATGTCCGCCAACCCACAAGAATTCATATTTGTAAAAAAGAGAGGGCGGGAATATAGATTACCCAAAACCTGGATATCGCCGCCAAAACGATCGGTGACAAGAACAATTAGCGATTACAAGGCTTTGTTGCCGATTTTTTAATGTTTCCAACGTTTATTCGGTACTCCTTAAAAATATTCGATTCAAAAAAATATTGAATTTTGCCCACCCGTCCTCGCATATCAATGAGAAATAGTTGTGTAAATATTGCAAAATTACGGAAAATGCCACTCCTTTCAACATTGTGATTACAATAAAATGGCACTTAATGGTATTTTGTGAATTTGGTGATTTTGCAAATCTGTGACATGCTGCTAAAAGTTTCGTCTGATTTGAAAATCGTGCAGTTTGGTCAGAATTCATCCAAAGTGACTATAACACATAACACTTTTATAGTCATTTTGAATTCATCGATATCATTGATAGTCACATGACCACTCTCTTCAAAGAAACGCACTGCGTATTATTCCAACATCTGGTTTCAATCACCCGGGAGCGTTTTTTGCGGGAGAAGCGGAATCGGTGTGCTTGTATAATAATCATATTATAAACAAGAATTTTGCCGTTTATGCAAAAGCTTTATCTCCTATGTCTGCATCTCATAGGTTAGAATTCCGGTAAATATCGTTATGATATGCAGAATTGAGTTACAAAAGTACTAGTATGTTACTTATTTGTCAACTTAATACTCGAAAATATTTGTTAACTTTGAATTTTTATTCCATTCAAAATCGGAAAAAAGTGCTATTTCTCTTCAAAAGCGGAAAAAAGTGCTATTTCGCAGTCCCTAAAAAAAGTTGCGAAAGTGCTTCGCAATTTTCGCAAAAAAGTGCGCTAATAGTGAACACTGCTTGGGAGAGAGATCCAAGAGCAGGAGGGTCATTGAATTTCTTGCATTTTATCATGTTGGAGCGTTCAACACCGAAATATTTGACTTCATAATAGATATTGGGGTTTTTTGATAAAAGGGGATCCCACGCTAAGTCCAATTGCATGTCATGTGTACCACAAGACTTTAAAAATATTGAAGGGCACTTCTTTTGATAACAGAAATTTTGCTGATACTAACTTGTCTAATCAGGGGTGCAGCCATAGAGGGTTGCAATCCCTCCCCCTTTTTTTAAAATTTAAAAAAAAGATATTTTTCTGTATCATACATAGGGCACTGATATAGACCAAATTTCATTGTTATTCATTTCTATTCCTAGACTAGTGAAGCCAACATCAATGATAGAATTCAAAGTATTCAGCTACAGTTCATTGAAGACCGACACAATCTTAGGATCGGCGACGCTGAGTGTGTTGGATGTATTAAAAGAGAACGGAGGCAAATGTACGTTTGAGAAATTTATTTTATATGATTTAAGAGTCTTGCGGCGTACTAACACAAATGTACTTCTGTTATTTTACAGAACTGGCTTAACATTTGACACTCCTGTAGTGTGTGTAGCCTATCAGGTTAGGGTTAGGCCATATTTTTATTCAGAAATTCTTTATTTTAGTTCTATTACGAGTTCGGAGAATGTCTGTGTTAGCCAAGTGAATATCCCTCTGTCCATTGGCTTCCGTCCCCTTATACAACTTGATATAAAGTAGGCAAACATAATTAGCTGCTCCCATATTGGTACACGTACTTCTGGAGCACCTGAGATTTCGCTTAGGTTAAGACATGTTCATTATGGTCTAGTGCAGTTCTCAACCTTTTTAGTGTTATTGCCAAATTTTAAACCCTAAAGTTGTAAGGAGCCGCATAAAAAACAACGCGAATCAAATTAGCAACAAAACAAAACTCAAGTTTGTATTTTAAAATAACAACATCAACAAAACTCGCTCTAAAAACCAATTCAACGCTAAAATGGAGATCAGCTTTAGTAACTTTTAAATTCTAAAGTCTGAAAAGCGAGTCGCAGTTTTGATGAATTTTTCGAAAATACCTAAGTTTTGCACAGAGTAAGGGGCACAGCGTTTGACTACTGGAAACAATGAAATCAGTGTACTGAAACATGGCTAAACATTGTGGGAAAACACTATGACATCATAATAAAAAGTTGCACACCCGAAACGACCTAACAGCAACAATGACATCAATTCAACTACTGTACTTCAGTCTTTCAGTTAAAATGACTCATTTTTGAAGTATAATGAGAGCCGCAGGAATAATAGTTAGAGCCGTGGTTGAGAATCACCCGTCCAGTGCATCTCAACTTTTTTTCTTTGTTGGCCCATTTTCATTGCCTAAAATTTCGGTGGTCGGTTAACTTTTTCATGCAAGGTAAAAAGTGCAAGATAAACAAAACTTTTTTTAAAAATAAATACTTTCACTTTAATGATTATAATGTAAAGCATCATCATCATTTATTGATACTACAATGAAAATTTAACTTGAACTACCAGACCACTATTTTTCAACCAGTGGACTGATGACCCAGCGCTCCAGAACTATGTGTACCAATATGGAGTTAACTAATTTTGTTTGCCTACTTTATATCAAGTTGTGTAAAGGAACTGAAGCCTATGGGTAGCAGTATATTCACTTGGTTAACACAGACAGTCCCCGAACTTGTAATAGAAATAAAATGCGGAGAATCGGAATAAAATTGTTGCCTGACCCTAACCTGGTACACATACTACGGGAGTACCGTTGGCCCACCTGGTCTATTGGTTGAGGCATTAGATGTTGATGTAGCATGTTAAATGTCTCTCTCTCGGTTTCAGCCATGTGTTGAAAGGTATTTACATGTTGGGCATCTATGACAAATGGCTGTATATATGATGAACACTCAAAAGGGCAATTTGAGAGATAAACTTGCTTTTAATTTAATGATGTTCTATGTCTTCTCTAAAAACAAACCCTTTTTACAAATCATCATAATTGATTAGATGTAACTTGACCATGAGCCAACAAACTCAGTATTGATTTATTTGGGTGATTGATTGTTGCTCTAATTGAAATGCTAAGTACAAGCACAACCGGTAGTAAACAATATACCGTAATTCCTGGCGAATAAGTCTACTCAGTGAATAAGACGAGGCCCGTTTTTAAGCCTGAAAAAATGGCTTTTCGCATATAACTGCTAATAAGACGAGTAGTAAAATCGCATCAACATCGGAATCTCAAATTACCATGCAGAGGCTTTTGAGCGGTCGCCCCCTTTAGCATTGGTTAAAATAGCCTATAAATGACTCTTTCTTGTAGAGTAATATTCAATCCATAACAACTACGAGAATTCAAACTGTCTTTCAATTTCAATCTAATTGTGTTCAACCTAACTCGCGATTGCATCCACCATATAAGAACATTACCGATATAAAACAACACGGCAGTGATAAAAACGTGGGGATGCTATCGTCGAAGGTATTTGGTATTTTATGGTACGAATTGAATAATAAGGCGACACCAAAAAAATTAACATACTCGCCTAATAAGACTTTACAAGACTCTGTCGGAAGGTGGAGATGAACATTTCATTATGTTTCATTAACTATTTCATTCTTGTTCCTTAGATTGTATTTTACTCAGATAGCATTACTTTATTCCAATTGATCTAAATATAGTACAAGGTCAAGCAAGTTAACCTCCAACCCTAACAGATGGAAAAAGTTGAAAGCAAAAATAGGTGCTTTTATAGAAAAGCTGGGGCCACAATTGTTAAGTTTTTGCGAAGGACCTCAAAAATTTGAGAACTACTACACCAGGCTATAAGGCACACAAACTACCAGTGATTTCCAAACCATATCCCCTGGGTCAATTACAGGCAATGATTTTAATAGGGCTTGCCGAACTTGAGTGAAATAGTTTGAACACTTTGCTTTTTCTTTTCTTTGTTTCAGATACCCCCAATTGTTATATCATTATCACAGTTTAATCATGTGTATATTCAATTATACCGATATCTTAATTATATGTACCGAGGTTGGCTCCTTTCGGACGCTCCCTTCTTTTGACCCGTGATTATCCTTCCGCTACTAATTTTAGCCCTCGGTCAATCAACTTCGTAACCACTGTTGTAGTCAATCCTTGCTTTAAATAATCTCTCATAAATAACTCTTCACTTTTCCAGTATCAAACATTGAAGCAAAGCTCGTCTTGAAACCGGATTCAAAATCAAACTCAACGGATTCTATGGGAGAAGTCGTCGTTATTCTAGACGGAATGAGAGTAACGAAAGAACAGATGGGAATTGTTGCCAATGGTGACGCAGCATGTAAGTCTGTTTTATTGATAGGCTTGTTGTGCCCCTCGGCCTTGGTCTTTATTGATTTTTTGAAATCCTAATATGTGTTTGCATCAGTCCTTTGCATCTTGCATGCTCTTTTTATGTTGTATTGAATGCGAAATGGAACTTCTTTGCTCAATTTTTGTTGGAAAAAAATCGAGTTTCTCCTCAATTAATGGACCAATTCCTTTTAAATGCAGATGTTTCTAGCCGCTGGAAGGCTGTATTGCTTACAACTTTTTTCAAATTATCTTCTATGAAATTTTACCCCAAATTTCTATGAATATTGATTGCTTCACCACCACACTTGAGTCCCCCTGATACTGTATGCAGGCCAGTCTTTAATAGGTCATTAAAACCCCTTGGAAGTTTATACATCTAAATTTCAATCATAGGATACCGGACTAATGATGAAATAAAAGAAAAAAATTTTCTCTGCAAGTTTTTTGTAATTGTTTTTTTTCTATTTTTTCATTATCATATTGAATGAGTCATCATTTTTTTATTTTTATTTAGTCATCATATCATGCATGTTTTGTTTGTCATGTTCAGTTGTTTTTCATTTTTTTTGTTTTAGTGCGGACTCCTCCCCCAGTTCCTCCCCGGAGCCCCCAACTTGGGGGTGCGCCCCCACTACCACCTCGTCCTCCAGGTGAGTGTCAGCTTTGTTTTTTTCCTTATGTTTTGATGCTGAATGGGTCTTGATAATAACTTCATACAAATCAATTTCTCAAAAAATCTGAATTGTTAATTTTGCAATGTATTGTTTAGTATTGCTATAATTGAGTCGAAGAAATTTTATAGTTGACTACCTATTCTGGGTTGATGGAAATTATGACTCGTTTTGATTACAAAAATTTTGCTGATACTAACTTGTCTAATCAGGGGTGACGCCAGGGGGAGGGGTAGTTTGAGGGTCTAAAGTCAGAAACCCCTCCTTTGAAATGTAAATGAAATGTTCCCGTATCGTACATTGCAATTTTTCGTAGCTTGGAGCGTTTTTTAGATCTTTACAGGTTTTGAAAATCCATGTTTTCTGGACCTGCTAGCTTTTGCAGTCTAACTTGAAAATTAAGAAATCTCAGCGCCCCTTCATTTGAAAATATCTGTATATGCTGTGTCTAATATGCTTTGTCCAGAGCAGTGGATGATTTTTATATGAAATTAGATTGATTTTGTTCAAATTTATCTGTTGAGAAAATTAGTTAACGATAACAGGATAGCACCTAACAGAGAATGTATTCAGAGTAGGTCATTACTAAATTTTTCCTATCTCTGCGTGCCATCATCCTTGGCCATATATACCTCATCATTGTAAAGGTACAAACAAAGCTGTAAGTTAATTATAAACTTATTCTTTGTGCATTGATTTGCGTAATGTTTGAATGGCTCCACTTTGTAAAACAAACAAACACTCAAATTTCAGGCCCGTCATGGGTCGACCAATTATTTGCCGTTTCTAATCCTGTGTGGCTATTTATGTGCGAGAGGATTGCTGGACTCCATGCCACCGTAGGGTGGTTTACGTAACTTCTGGTCGGTTACGACTTCCTCCACCATCAAGTCCATGCTTCCGAAAACAAATAACTAGCTAACTAATCCTATGCAGACATTGATTGGTAACCTGACAAGAGGCTGTGGTTCGCATATGATTACGTTGCCGTATTGCTTTTCTTCTAACCCGGGATAAATATGCAAATCCTATCCTAAATTTTATCTCTCTACTTTAAACAAGGCCTTAGACAAGTCACAGTTTTTCTTAACCCAGAGTTGTATTGAAATTTTTGTAACCACTTGATGTCAGGGTTGATTTTGAACTCCACACCCTTAAACATCTTCACAGAATTCGACGTCACAACAATGGGCGTCTATAGCAATGGCTATAGCATCCAAAGATCATTTTTAATTAATCATTGCAAAGAACTGAATATATCCGGCGTAACTATTATTAATTACTAACAAATCCCAGAATTATAGCTTTCATTAGAATACGTCTTCATAACAGGTAGAACAATTTGAACACGGAACACGTAATATCATAGTCCTGGTGCATAAAACTGTGATAGTTATAAGAACCATTGAAAATTATAATAATAAAAATTCCTCCTATTACATAAAAGCCTTCACTCAAATTTTGGAATTTGTTTTTAGTTGCATCTGGGACAAGTTTCGGTTCATCAGAACCAAGTTCAGAAGTCAATTCCACAGAAAGTGACTCACAACCTTCCACGAATGGACCTACGGTACCCACCCCAATCCCACCACCTCGGAATAGCATAAGGTAAATGAATGGGCGTAGGAGGTTAATAAAAAATTAATCTTTGCTCGGAACAAGGCTTTGCAACCAAATATATTTTGGAAGTATCAGAATATTTTCTCTTCCATGTTTTATACATGTTTTTGGTGCTCCAGAAGTAAATGTACCAACAGTTCGCCTACTTTACATCAAGTTGTGTGAAGGGGCTGAAATCTATGGGCAGGGGGTAAATTCACTTGGCTAACACAGACAGCCCCCGAACTGGTAATAAATATGGCTTAACCCTAACCTGATACACATACTACGGGAGTACCGACACCTTAATGTAATGTGGAGCGTATTATGACTGAACAGTTGCCTCCAAATCATTAAGGATTGCCTTCTTTGTGTATAATTTTTCTTCATATTTTCAGCGGAGCAAGGAAGAAAACAACGCGGCCTGCACCTCCTAGACCTAATGCTCCACCCAGTGGTTCAGGTACATTTCTTACTTTAGTTCATCAATTAGTTCACGAGCAAGACAAGTTTTATTTTTTTTCTGCTGTTTTGTTTTCATGTATGCAAACAAATGTAAAGCTCTTATCTATGAATGTAAAGCTCTTATCTGTATCTAACTTGGCAACCGGATGAGTGACCAGGTTGGCGGCATTGGCACCTGAAATCTTCAGCAGAGATGGCAATGACAAAATTTTCAGAACCAACACTCCACCTCTGGCTAAATTCGGACCATTTGGCAGCTCAATCTGGCCCGTCTGATGCTGCCACAGCCAAACTAAAGACAAATTTTGATTATTTAGCTAAAAAATATGAGGAATTTGTTGAGGTTGTAATTAAATTTAGTTTTGGCTCGAGATTATTGTTTTCCACTTTTGTTTTTTTGTAACATTGATATTGTTCATATACCGTATATGCTCGTTTTACCGCCCGATCTTGATTAAGGGCCGGTTTGAATAAGGGCTTGGTTAGTGAGTTGGTTGAAAAATTATGGGCCCGGGCTACAAAACGAGCAAATACGGTAATATACCTTTTCATCACACACTTACGTGGCGCCCGGTCCAAACTCCAACCACTTGACTGTTATCCACATTTAACACGATTTTATTTTTCTCGTTGTCTCTCTTTCTTAAATAAAAAACTTTATCACAGGGTCATCTGGCAACACTACTCCGACACCTTCGATACGTAACAATGCAGTGGCGCCTGCAACTACTAATGGGGGTCCACCATCTGGGAATCCCCCTGTACCTGCAGTGGTGAGTATGCTTTTTTGTCAGAAGGTCTGGACAAGTCTTTGAAAAGTCCAAGTTCACTTAAATATGGAATGATGAGATGCCAACTATCCTCATATGTGGCGATGGTGAATCAACTCTCTTTGTTCTTGAGGGTCTGCATTGAACTATGTGTTGGAATAGCTGTGTTCGTGTCCGTAAATTTGCCACAGGATATTTTGCATAAGAAATCTTGCTGCATGAAATTTTGCCGTAATAGTCACAAACTATCGTCCTACGGGCCGCAATTGGCCCTGTGCTGCAAGTTTGAGGGCCCCTGTGTTACTGTATTATTCTCACTCAGGGAGTGGTAAATCGAAGCGTGTCGGTAATTTTTTCAAAATGAATAATAAATGTTCTGTTATAAATTTCAGACGAATTTTCAATTTTTTCACAGATTGGAGGTGGAGCTGTAGGGGGTTACCCTCATTCCACTCCTACCACAGGTGGGAACAAAGCACACAGTCAACCTCCCCCACAGAATCAACACCCACCCCTGCCACAAGGGTAAGTTTTATGCTTCTGCTTTGATTTATTTCTCCCTCATCCGTTGTCTTTGACTGAAATAATGATTGATATGACTTATTTAATGTTGATTAGATTAGGGGTAGATTAGACCCTTGCTTTTGATTGACTGCCACACCATTTGCTTTGATATTTATAAAACAATTTCGATTATTCTCTTGTGTATTCAGAATTTTTTGTATGTTTTCTGATCGATTTATCGGATCAACTAATTTTTAAATCTTTTCATATATCTGTTTCCGACATCTCTGGTGAAACCTGTATAACTGACATGGTCCAAAAGCCCTGCCCACCTCTGCTATATAGTGTTATGTGCTTATTTATTCATTTTCACCAATTATTCCGCAGTTGGGAATCTCGCATCGATCCGATGGGAAGAGTATATTACGTCGACCACAACACCAGGACGACAACGTGGGAGCGACCGGAACCCCTACCACAAGGGTGAGTAGAGAGTAGCGTTAACGTGAATCGCACTACGATAATAAGAAGTCCAACAACACTTTCATGTATATTAACACTCTTTAGATTTAAATTTTGAACCGGACGAGTAATCAGTCATTCAATGGCAAGCGTGTTTCTAAAGCAGCATGACCTGCTGATCAAAGTAAAGATCCATGCATTGCATGGCGCTTCCAGTAACTCTTAGTGAGAAAGTTAATGAATAAAATTGTTCTGCTCTGATAATCATTTCCTCGCAGGCTTTGAACCTCTGAACGCGAACAGAATAATCAGTTGGTTTCTTATCGTTAGCAAAATTATCTCTTCAGTCGAAAAGCCTTATCAGGAATTAATTATCTTATCTCAGGCAGGGTAATCATAGGTGGCGTGGCAAGCACTTAGCAAATATGTCATTCAACCAGCCATTCTTATCACTGATCGTAGTTTAATATTTTATCTTGATCTCTATCCGTAGTCATTGATAGAGTATTTTCATCCACTAGGTGGGAGAGGCGAGTCGATGCACGTAAGCGAGTATATTACGTTGACCACAACACTCGAACGACCACCTGGCAGAGACCGACAGTACAGAGGGTGCAGGATTACACTCAATGGATGAACCAGAGGAATAACTTACAGAACCAACAGCAGGTATTATTGGTGTTGCACGCTGAATAAAGGATGTGGGGTTGCAGTTTGGCATGTTCTCGACAGAGTTGGAATCACAGACCATTATTTTTAAAGTCAGAAGTCTCTCCAAAGAATTTCAGACTTTTATTGATAAATTTTATACAAAAACCCCAAAAAATTAAGTTTTCTAAGAGTTTTTAACAGTCAATTAAGAAGGTCGCAAATATTTCTAAAATGTTCCTTTTCGATTTGCATGACAAATTCCGAATTCATTTTATATTGTTTACATAAGTCAGTGTTCCTTTGATCATAAGGGGATTGTAAAACAATTTCAGCACAACAAATCCCATTTCATGTCCAATTGTCACGTCTAAACGTTCCCTTTTTGTTTTTCTTCAGGCTTACAACCAGAGATTCATGGTGGGTGGCCAACAGCCAACACCCCAACCCCCAGAATCAGACTCATTGGGGTCAATGCCCAAAGGATGGGGTGAGTATTTGGGAGGGGGACTTCCCTTCTGTAATCATAATATAATTCAAATATTTTTTGGCGAGGAAATTTGAAGTGAATCAAATATCCAAATACACTGGTTATATTCCATGTAGTAAATTCTTGATTTTAGAATATTTTCATTAGTAATTTGAAATTTTATGCATTTGAAAATTGATAGGCAATGCGAAATTGAAAAGATTTTTGTCCCTCTGAAAATAACGACTCGTTAAGTAGCTGCCTGTACAGAGCCTTGCCCGGAGTGCGGGTGTTGAAACGCGATAAAAAATAAAATTTTCAATTGCGATTTTAATCAGGGTGTAATAAATTGGGTGGACAATACGGAATTGGGGAGATTTTATTTCAGGGTTGGGCAATTACTTTTCCGATTGGGCCACTTACAGATAATAGACTTGATTTCTAGGCCGGAAGCTCAAAACTTAAAATGAAAAACTATGAATCAACAATCAATGTAACAGTCGGGGTCATTATGACGTAATTTTCAACATGAATTTGTATCCATAAAAACTATAGTCGTGATTTCAGCAGACACAAGTGAGCCATATTAAACACATCGGTGATTTGGATCTGGCTCACGGGCCATAATTTACCAACCCGTTCTAGTTCTTCAAAAAAAAATGGTAGCTTTTTACGTACAAGGCTGCTCATACGGAGATTATTAGTGAAAGTGTGAAATGTTTTTTCCTTATTTCAGAGAAACGAATGGATGAAAATGGCCGAGTATATTTTGTGAATCATAATACAAGGACAACGCAGTGGGAGGATCCCAGGACGCAGGGGTGAGTTCTCTAATATTATCGTATACACTGGCATATAAGCCGAGTTCAAAACTCAAAAAATAATTTGTTAATCCAGGGGAAGCCTTATACACTTATCACACTCTGATCACACAAAAATTTGGCCTATATTTGGCCACTAAGAGGTTGACTTATATGTGCATAACTCTGATCGCACTCAAACCAAATGACATTACGCTAACTCAATTCCGACAGCTACGACTCAAATTTTCTGTGATAGGTGCGTGCGACGTGTTGCAATTTGTAGGATCAGCTTATATGCAAATATTGATAAATTCAACGTTTTAGGGCTGATTTTAGAGGGTCAACGTATATGCGAGGATATAGGGTAAAAGTTGTGTGATGTCTCTGCCATAGGCTTCGTGCATTTTCCCTTTTAAGCCTCTTTGAAATCAGCACACTCATTCTACCATTGCTGAAAGATTATATTTTAAGACGGTGCTCCCGAAGTATGCGAACCAAGATGGCGGACATCGTAACGTAACATGGGTAACAGGTTAGGGTTAGGCGATAATTTTTTTCCAATTTTCCTTATTTTAGTCCTATTATCAGTTCGAAGACTAGCCAAGAGCCTCCCGTAGTATTTATACCTAAAATTATGGCCTAACCCTAACCTAGTACACATATTACATTCCGATGTCCGCCATCTTGGTTCGCATACTTCGGGAGCCCCTTTAAGACTCATATGTGAATAGCAACCTTTTTTTCAAATTTTCAATAAATATCTTTCCAGAATGGTGAACGAGGAACCTCTGCCTCCAGGATGGGAGATTCGTTTTACACCGGAGGGCGTTAGATACTTTGTTGATCACAATAAGAAAGAAACAACATTCACAGATCCAAGGCCTGGGAATAAAGGGTGAGGAGTAGAGCTAAGATCTGAAGCCCGACTCGACCTGAAATTTGGGTCGGGTTGGGCCTAAAATGTCAATCATTTAGTTCGGGTCGGGTCGGGCTTCTCTATTGCTGACTTTTTTCTTAAATAAATATATGTTTATAAAAAATATACTAAAACTATATGCGAATACTAAACTAAGGAATACTTGTAATAAAACATACTGTACTAAATAAACTCTTGCAATGACAACTCAAAGAACTCTTAAATAAAATATGAAATTTCAGGTTTGCTTGGGGCTCGGGCCTGCAAATCCAGTTAATTAGTCGGGCTGGGATGGAATCTTTGGGCCCGATCTTACCTCTATTGAGGAGAGAGCAACAACTATTCTTGAAAACTCTAAATCCTTTTTCATGTCCACCCAATTTGTCATTCCATGAGTGGGGTGGTGTGCCAGGGTTGAACCCCAGATTTTCTCCAACCCACAATGCCAAGATAGCTAAATCTAACTTCCTGACCCTGACATGGGCAAACTATGGTGATTCCATCTGGCCCACCTGATGCTGTCACAACAAAACTAAAACCAAATTTTGATGTTTAAGCTGAAAAATAAGGCTTTTGCCATTGTAACACTGTAAATTTTTTTCATAAAAAGGAAATTTTTATGTCACACTTACATGGCCGGCCAGTCTAGATGGGCTAAATTTTTGGCCCCTGGTTCATCAACCTTGCTCACCCCTGCACTAGGCCACCTTAAATTTTTATAAAAATATAATTTGTATTTTTTCCACAATAACTGGGAACTTAGGTATAACCAGCACTCTCTCATTGATCAACTACGTTCATAACCAACAGTTTCTGATTCAATAATCTTAATTCTTTATTACAGCACGATTGGATCGTACGGAGTCCCTGTTGCCTATGAAAGAAGCTTTAAATGGAAACTTGGACAATTCAGGTATCTTTGCCAGGTAAGTGTGAAGACCTAAGTTAGAAATAAGTTTTTTCAGTCTTGTGTCGGGTTCCCAGACTTCTGATCGAATTGCGCAATTTCAATCATTTTTCAAATATGGCTTCTCACTTGCCCATGTTTCAAACTTGTTGTAAAAAAGTGAAATATTTTAAAATGAACATTGAAATAGAAGTACAACTGGCTTTTCTGGGCATTCATCACTTTTTGATCATTTATGACCACAAAAACAGGTGTATTGTGCATGGATGCTTAATATATTGCATATCAAAAAATTTATTTTATTATTTCAAGCTTTTGCTTGTAATTTAAGGCTAAGGAAGTCAAATTTTTCTTTCAATGTGCCACAGTTTGTGTTATTGGAAGTAAATGCGGCGAGAATTCGGGAACCTATGCATTGGGATACTCCATTAAATTTCTGCTTTTCCATTTTCTGTTATTTAGGGCACGGATTTTTGCCATCACATGGAAATATTTTCCAATGTTGTATATTTAATGAAAAATACTTTTTTTTCGCACAGTCTAATGCGCTACCAAGCCATGTGAAGATCAACGTAACACGAGAAAATATTTTTGAGAATTCGTTCCAACAAATCATGCATTTCCAGCCTTTCGATCTAAGGAGGAGATTATACATTATATTCAGGGGCGAAGAGGGGCTGGACTATGGTGGGGTTGCAAGGTGGGTACATATGGGTGATATTTGGGGGACATATGAGTGATATTTGGGGGACATATGGAGGTGCATATGGGCGATATTTGGGGGACATATTGAAGTACATATAGGTGATATTAGGGGGACATATGGAAGTGCATATGGGCGATATTTGGGGGACATATCGAAGTACATATGGGTGATATTTTGGGGACATATTGAAGTACATATAGGTGATATTAGGGGGACATATGGAAGTGCATATAGGTGATATTAGGGGGACATATTGAAGTGCATATGGGTGATATTTGGGGGACATATGGAAGTGCATATGGGTGATATTCGGGGGACATATGGAAGTCCATATGGGTGATATTCGGGGACATATGGAAGTGCATATGAGTGATATTTGGGGGACATATGAAAGTGCATATGGGTGATATTTGGGGGCATATGGAAGTGCATATGGGTGATATTTGGGGACATATGGAAGTGCATATGGGTGATATTTGGGGGACATATAGAAGTGCATATGGGTGATATTTGGGGGACATTTTAAAGTGCATATGGGTGATATTTGGGGGACATATAAGTGCATATGGGTGATATTTGGGGGACATATGGAAGTGCATATGGGTGATACTTGGGGGAGATACGGAAGTGCATATGGGTGATACTTGGGGGACATATGGGAGTGCATATGGGTGATATTTGGGGGACATATGGAAGTGCATATGGGTGATATTTGGGGGACATATTGAAGTGCATATGGGTGATATTTGGGGGACATATGGAAGTGCATATGGGTGATACTTGGGGGACATATGGAAGTGCATATGGGTGATACTTGGGGGACATATGGAAGTGCATATGAGTGGTATTCGGGGGACATATGGAAGTGCATATGAGTGATATTTGGGGGACATATTGGAGTGCATATGGGTGATATTTGGGGGACATATGGAAGTGCATATGGGTGATATTCGGGGGACATATGAAAGTGCATGAGTGATATTTGGGGGACATATTGGAGTGCATATGGGTGATATTCGGGGGACATATGAAAGTGCATATGAGTGATATTTGGGGGACATATGGAAGTGCATATGGGTGATACTTGGGGGACATATGGAAGTGCATATGGGTGATATTCGGGGACATATGGAAGTGCATATGGGTGATATTTGGGGGACATATTGGAGTGCATATGGGTGATATTCGGGGGACATATTGAAGTGCATATGGGTGATATTTGGGGGACATATGGAAGTGCATATGAGTGATATTTGGGGGACATATTGGAGTGCATATGGGTGATATTTGGGGGACATATGGAAGTGCAATGGGTGATACTTGGGGGACATATGGAAGTGCATATGGGTGATATTCGGGGACATATGGAAGTGCATATGAGTGATATTCGGGGGACATATTGGAGTGCATATGGGTGATATTTGGGGGACATATTGGAGTGCATATGGGTGATATTTGGGGGACATATGGAAGTGCATATGGGTGATATTTGGGGGACATATGGAAGTGCATATGAGTGATATTTGGGGGACATATTGGAGTGCATATGGGTGATATTTGGGGGACATATGGAAGTGCATATGAGTGATATTTGGGGGACATATTGGAGTGCATATGGGTGATATTTGGGGCCATATGGAAGTGCATATGGGTGATACTTGGGGGACATATGGAAGTGCATATGGGTGATATTCGGGGACATATGGAAGTGCATATGAGAGATATTCGGGGGACATATTGGAGTGCATATGGTTGATATTTGGGGGACATATTGGAGTGCATATGGTGATATTTGGGGGACATATTGGAAGTGCATATGGGTGATATTTGGGGGACATATGGAAGTGCATATGAGTGATATTTGGGGGACATATTGGAGTGCATATGGGTGATATTTGGGGGACATATGTGGAAGTGCATATGAGTGATATTTGGGGGCCATATTGGAGTGCATATGGGTGATATTTGGGGGACATATGTGGAAGTGCATATGAGTGATATTTGGGGGCCATATTGGAGTGCATATGGGTGATATTTGGGGGACATATGTGGAAGTGCATATGAGTGATATTTGGGGGACATATGGAGTGCATATGGGTGATATTTGGGGGACATATGTGGAAGTGCATATGAGTGATATTTGGGGGCCATATTGGAGTGCATATGGGTGATATTTGGGGGACATATGTGGAAGTGCATATGAGTGATATTTGGGGGACATTTGGAAGTGCATATGGTGATATTTGGGGGACATATGGAAGTGCATATGGGTGATATTTGGGGGACATATGGAAGTGCATATGAGTGATTTGGGGGACATATTGGAGTGCATATGGGTGATATTTGGGGGCCATATGGAAGTGCATATGGGTGATACTTGGGGGACATATGGAAGTGCATATGGGTGATATTCGGGGACATATGGAAGTGCATATGAGAGATATTCGGGGGACATATTGGAGTGCATATGGGTGATATTTGGGGACATTGGAAGTGCATATGGGTGATATTTGGGGGACATATGGAAGTGCATATGGGTGATATTTGGGGGACATATGTGGAAGTGCATATGAGTGATATTTGGGGGACATATTGGAGTGCATATGGGTGATATTTGGGGACATATGTGGAAGTGCATATGAGTGATATTTGGGGGACATATTGGAGTGCATATGGGTGATATTTGGGGGACATATGTGGAAGTGCATATGAGTGATATTTGGGGGCCATATTGGAGTGCATATGGGTGATATTTGGGGGACATATGTGGAAGTGCATATGAGTGATATTTGGGGGCCATATTGGAGTGCATATGGGTGATATTTGGGGGACATATGTGGAAGTGCATATGAGTGATATTTGGGGGACATATTGGAGTGCATATGGGTGATATTTGGGGGACATATGTGGAAGTGCATATGAGTGATATTTGGGGGCCATATTGGAGTGCATATGGGTGATATTTGGGGGACATATGTGGAAGTGCATATGAGTGATATTTGGGGGCCATATTGGAGTGCATATGGGTGATATTTGGGGGACATATGTGGAAGTGCATATGAGTGATATTTGGGGGCCATATTGGAGTGCATATGGGTGATATTTGGGGGACATATGTGGAAGTGCATATGAGTGATATTTGGGGGCCATATTGGAGTGCATATGGGTGATATTTGGGGGACATATGTGGAAGTGCATATGAGTGATATTTGGGGGCCATATTGGAGTGCATATGGGTGATATTTGGGGGACATATGTGGAAGTGCATATGAGTGATATTTGGGGGCCATATTGGAGTGCATATGGGTGATATTTGGGGGACATATGTGGAAGTGCATATGAGTGATATTTGGGGGACATATTGAAGTGCATATGGGTGATATTTGGGGACATATTTGCATATGGTGATATTTGGGGGACATATTGGAAGTGCATATGGGTGATATTTGGGGGACATATGGAAGTGCATTGGATGACATTTACAAGTACATAATTATGGGGGATATTCATGGAGGTTCATATGAAAGTTTATATAGGGTACATATGGGTGGTATTTGGGGAGGATATACAAGTACGAGTAACATACGAGTACATATAGAAAATATATGATGGGTCAATTGAGTTGACCTGTGGGGGTTTATAATATATTCGTGCTGAAACGGGTTCAACTCTAGGAGGGTTGCCAGGTGGGTATGTTTGTGATTTACATATATAATGGACTCAGAGGGGTTCGAGAAATTAGACTCATGCTCCAACATCAATGATAACATGACAAACTCCGATGTTCCAGAAGTATGTGTACCAATATGGAGGTAACTAATTTTGTTCGCCTACTTTACATCTAGTTGTGTAAAGGGACTGAAACCTATGGACACGAGGTATATTCACTGGCTAAGACAGACAGTTCCCGAACTAAAATAGAACTAAAATAAGAAAAATCGGTGTAAAATTATGGCTTACCCTAACCTGGTACACATACTATGGGTGTACCCAAACCTCAACCCAGTCTTGCCCAGCTAACAATCTCTTTTCTTTTTTACAGGGAATGGTTTTTCCTGGTCTCACACGAAGTCTTGAATCCGATGTATTGTTTGTTCGAATATGCAGGGAGTGAGAATTACACGATGCAAATTAACCCTGCGTCCAAGATTAACCCAGATCATCTTCTTTACTTCAGATTTGTTGGGAGATTCATTGCAATGGTACAGTTTTTATATCTTAATACAGCGATTTCAAAACCCCAGCCTTCGGGCCAATTAAGGCCCACAAAACGACCTAATAGGGCCCGCTGAACCAAAGTGAAATAGTTCAACACCACATTTTTTTTGTTGTTTCTGCGTTCTAGATATCGTCAATTGTTACATCATTATCACAGTTAAACATGTGTATATTTGTTACAATTCAATCATATGTACCGGTCGGTGCATTGCCAGCGTTCCCTCTTATTTTGGTCCCCAGTCAATCAACTTTGGGAACCACTGTCTTCATATAACCAAATATCGGAATTCACTTCTGTCATCTGCTTTTAATTTCTGATTTGGAAATTCATTTCTATTGTACAATTCTTAGTCTTTCATGAAACAAACAAATAGAGAAATCCATTGAATCCGTACATTCTCTCTCGTTTTATATCTTAATACAACCAAATACTCCAATGTTATTTTCATTCCAGGCTCTCTACCACGGCAAATTCATCGATACCGGTTTCTCTCTCCCGTTTTATAAACGAATGTTGAACAGGAAATTAACGATTAAAGACATTGAATCTGTCGACGAGGAATTCTATAATTCTCTTGTATGGACAAGGTCAGTGTTCTTGTTTTTTGAGCCTCTGTTATTTATGCAGGGGTTTCTCAAACTGTGTTCTGCGGGCACTGCTTTTCCGTGATCTTCTTTTAGAGTGTTCTGCAGAACACGAATCAAAATTGTGACTAAATTGGTCACCATGGCGATCTTGGTCATACTTTGGCAACACTAGGATGTTACTTTATCTCTCAAGTGTCGACAAATATGCGCCCTTGTGTCAGCCTGGAACGCATGGCGTTTTCGGTAACTTTTCAATATCTTTTATCGTTGGACTAATTTTTCAACTGCCAAGTTTACACCCAATTTTACCTTGGTGTTCCGCGAGACAAGATAAAAAGTGTAGGTGTTCCGGGGCAAAAAAGTTTCAGAAGCGCTCCATAAAGTTGCAACCAGTTCATTAACCAGCAGAACTATATTTTCAGGGACAACAACATAGAAGAATGCGGACTCGAACTTTTCTTCACTATGGATCAAGAAATCTTAGGAAAGATTGAATCACATGAGTTGAAGGAGGGGGGGAAAGACATACAAGTAACTGAAGAAAACAAAGAAGAATATATACGGTTAGTACCTACTAATCCATAAATATGTAAAGAGTTAACTATATCTTGAAGGGCAAGAATTCTGGTTCGACATTGCCTCCCCAATTGATTACACCCTGGGTGAGACAATGGGCATGGGAACATAATTCATTCCAGTGCTCTAGTGCTCCAGTCTCTAACTTTGTAAATATTGTATGATATTTGAGACTTTTCTGGCTGCAAACGCAAAATAAATGCTGTCAAGTTTTCACGCTGTGATACTCCCCAACTTCTTCAGCTTGTGGCCCTTGGTTTATCATTTCAGTGGTATTCATAGTGTTATTATGATTGGTAGATTTCAAATCACATTATGTTCAAACAATTCATGCTCAACAAAGTGAAAACATCACATGAAATATCACCTTATCAAGCAATGAGACTAAAAGAACTGCGAATTTTCTTGTTGAGGGAAAAGTAAAATCAGTTTTGCGCCTGGCATTGTGGTCATCTCCAACTCCTCTGTTGCCACAGTCCCCAGTAGGGTGTTAACTGTATCTTTATCGTATTTCTGGCAACTAGTATTTTCTCCAATGGCTGAGCATGACCTATGATGTCATCAGTCACGGATGACTGATCACGACCAACCAGCTGTGAAGGGGCCATGTGCTCTCTGTGGAGAAGTGTTCGTTCCTGTTGGTGTGCCTCGGGAATTACTTTGGTTTATGGGCATTTACTAATTATACAGTTATAATGAGTTAACATTGGGAATCGCTGCAATATAAAATAACTTTGGGGCATTTGGTGCCATTGAATCTTGTTAGTTTCCCATACCTAGTTTTAAACTTTGATCTCACCTCACAGCCTAATGATTGAGTGGAGATTCTCTCGAGGAGTGGAAGAGCAAACCAAAGCTTTCCTCAACGGATTCAACGAAGTCGTTCCCATACAATGGCTGCAGTATTTCGATGAAAGAGAACTAGAGGTCAGTGAAGGTCAATAGCGAACAGTCCATAGGATAGTATTTACATATTTATCTTGGGGGAGAGGAAAGCCGTTAAGATGGCTTGATCGTATGGCGAACCAGGACCTCTTGTCCGGTTATCAGTTCATGTCGGGTTAGTAAGCTAGTTATTGTTTTCGAAGCATGGACTTGATGGCGGAGGAAGCGTTACCGACCAGCGGTTACGTGTGAACCACCCTACGGTGGCGAGGAGTCAGCAATCCACTCGCACATAATCATCCCCGCATGGGATTCGAAACTGCGAGCTTACACAAGGTAATCAGAGGTGCGGTGGCAAACATATTTCTAATGTCTCACTACTGAGTCTGTGCCCTTATGCCCTCATAGCTTTCTAATGCAAACATCTCATTTACAGCTGATGCTCTGTGGAATGCAAGAGTTCGACGTCGAAGACTGGATGAAGAACACAATATACAGGACTTATAATGTTAAAAGTAAACAGGTGAGATACAGGGAGTGTAGGTCATGAAGTAGTGGTTAGAGCTGAAATGGGCAAACTACGGCCCGGTGGCCAAATCTGGCCGATGGGTAATTCGATCTGGCCCGCCTGATGCTAAAACCAAATATTGATGTTTTAGCTAAAAAAAAATAGTTAAAGGAATTTGTTGAGCTTGCGATTAAATTTAATTTTGTCACAAGGCTCATTGTTTTTCACTTTGGCTCTTTTAGCATTGTAAAAATTTTTCGTGAATTGTTACTTTTTACGTCACATTTATATGGCTCGCCAATCTAGGCGGGCAACATTTTTGCCCCCGCTTCAAAAGCTGTGCCCACTCGGTTAGAGCATTGGTATTAACTGTATTGGTGTTGCAGAGATCTACACACCACAAGAACCACACAACATCTTACTCATTCAATGTGTGGAACATGAATTAAATTATTGGAACGATTTGGCTTCTTTTGTGGACATTCTATAACACTTTGCCTGATGTCCCAATGCTTGGGAGCGTTTAAACATAATTATGTTGGTGATGCTGGTTAAGGATCTTCGGCTCAAACCCAATGCTTACTGTAGTGATATTGCATATTTTATATTAATTCAATTCAGTGCTCGAGTTCACGACCTTTCATGCAGTTGTTATCTTGCTCTGGCCTGCCCCCAGTGTATACTTATATCTTGTTTTTTGATTCATGAAGTAAACACAATGCTCTGAAATATTGAGTTAATTTTGAATAATATTCTACAATCCGATATAAAAATCGATGGGTAGAGATATTATTACACTCACCACCTTACTAAAGGCGCAATGATTCGAGTTGGTGAGGCCGAACGGAGAGATTTCGGTTCTTAAAAAAAAATTGGAGATTCTTGCGAATCGTCCGTGACTGTCTGTGTGGAGCCTCCTCTCTGAGAATGAAAATCATAGAAAATCTTCATTGATTGAATAAATCAAGACATGTCTATGTAGTTGCTTATTTGGAGCCTTGCTCAATCCTTCAACCAAGTTATTTCAAGACTACTCAAAGTGTACAGATTCAGGCTATTATACAAAGAAAAATAAAATATACTGTGTTATCTTAGGATTGCTTGCTTGAAGCTTATTCACAATCTTGCATTTTCAACAAATTGACTTCAAATTCCAGGTGCAATGGTTCTGGCAGTATGTCCGAGAAATAGACAATGAGAAGCGGGCTCGTCTTCTGCAATTTGTAACGGGGACTTGCCGAGTACCAGTCGGAGGTTTCGCTGAATTGTTGGGTGAGTGAAATATGAGGCTGTTTTAATGATATGAATAAACAAATGGATTAGTAGTTTACATTATAGATTTAAGCAGTGATTACTGTACCTCCTCGCATATAGGTCGAATTTAGAACTAAAAAAAAAAAAGTTGCTAAACTTAGGGGTCGGCTTATACCTGCATAACTCTTGTGCCCGCTCACCAGGGCACAAACAAAAAACGAGAATATCGGTCAGAGATCGAAGACTTATCGATCGGAAGTTAGGGGATCCCCCAAAACAGCGCTCTTACTCCACATAGTGACATCTTGTGTCCCGTCACTAATTAATTAATACCTCGCTGATTATACTACATAATTCATCCAAAATCAATAGGCTTCTGGTACAACATATGATGAATGCACATGCAAATCTGGAGCAGATTCAATCTCGCTTTCGTGAGATATCGCGTGCATCTAACAGACAGACAGACAGACAAACAAACAGATAGACAAATACCTATCAACATACTTACCGATTAAAATCGATAAGTAATAAAATCACAAACCTCTTTTAACGAGACTTCGGCGGCAAGAAGCATACAAACCACGCGAATGTATTGAGTTTCTGGGCTGTTGTACTTCTAAAATACTTATGCTAATATTGAGATAGTTGTGCAGGCTAATATTTAGATCAAATGGTAATCATTGGTTCCCTTGCATTGTTCAACGTATATTTCTTTACCCAGGGAGCAACGGCCCTCAAAGATTTTGCATTGAAAAAGTTGGGGGGAAACTTGGTTGCCAAGGAGTCATACATGGTAAGATCATTTATTATTTTGCAGTTCTCATAACAAACAATTTAAATATCACAGTCTGCATGACAACCGATTCCCATTATCCGTCTTTGACTTTCCTTCTATAATGTCTATGAAGTGTTGCTTCATCTAAAAATATTTTAAGTGTAAAATCATTTATTATTTCACTCGTTTTTTAATGTTAGGCCAGTTAACAGTTGTTTTGTCATACTACATATTTTTTTATTTTCAATACTCATAATCATATGTTACTGTAGATTACAACCAAAGTAAAAGGCCAGGTATTATATTACACAGCTTTACAAAATTACAAGTATTAACCATTTATTCCTTCATCATTGTGTGTTGTGGTTGTGGGATCATACATTTTATAGTTCAAAGCCATTTATTATTCTGCAGTTTTACCAATATTTTTAACCATTTATTATTTCACACATTCATTATTAAGTCTATTATCAACGATAAATATTATTATTATTCACAGTTTCAACCGGCTTGATCTCCCTCCATACAAAAACTATGAACAACTCAAAGAAAAATTGACTCTTGCAATAGAAGAAACTGAGGGATTCGGGCAAGAATAGAAAAGGGGGGTAGAAATAATAGTAAAGGGGAATCCCGCTTGGTCAAATCTACATTTTTATGGAAATATGGGATCTTATGAAATGTGTGCTATATGAAAATCTAATTGAAATGTTTTTTTAAATATTCATTCAACGCTGACGCTATTTTGGTTGTTTAAAACCGCTTGTTTGTGAAGATAGCTCAGGGCAAGCATCCACCTAGACATATGCAGCCTTCACTTAGTTTGGGGAATATTTTCCAAATTACTTAGGTGAGATGTTCGATTTACTAGGACTAAAATTTCTCTCACTTCACATTTTTCCCAATTTGGTCTCAATCTCTTTAGACAGCAATCACACTGTTAATAGGAAGACTCCCTTCACTAGCCTAGTTCATGCATCCGCCCAGCTATTCTCACACTGGGTCGCAGTCAGGGTCACCCAGCCAGACTCGCTAGTTGTTACGGTTTAATTTGGCAATTAGAAATATGAGGACCCAGAATCCCAGGCTACTCCCTGTCTCAACAACTGAGAATAATTTTCTTAATCTATTTTTGTAGCTTGAAACGATTTTTGTGCTCGTTTTCTGGCCACCTGCTGGACCTGCTAGATGTTTCGGCCTAACTCGACAATTAGAAACTTCAAACTCCCTAATTCAAAATTTCTGGCAACACTCCTTTTCCCACACCCAAAATTGATTTTCTTTACTGAGCTTAAGTTATATGAAACTCTTCACAGTTATTCCAAGTAGTAACTATTTTGTTAAATCATAATTTAATTATTTTGTAGTTTTATGTATAATTATTGTCGATTTTTGTTTACTTGTTGAAATGGTCGATTTTATGAGCGGTTATGGCTCAACTTCACTCTTACAAACTTCCCATTGTGATTCACAGTGATGTCACAATTTAGGTAAAAATTCTCAAACCAGCCAATATCTGGTACTGTCTCATTAACATCTCTATAACCTTACAATTAAAAGCACAGCCACGCGTCCACTGATGGAAAAAATTGACTTATAATTGACCTCGACCAGATGCTGTGGTTTGCCACATGATTAATCCATCTTATTACCTTTCCTTTCTGTTAGTATAGATCAGGGGTGCTCAATAATGTTCGAAATACATTCAGTAACCCAATGATGGAACAATTATCGGGTTAACTATTTCCATACCTGACCAGGACTGGTAAATGGTTGACTGTTAGATACTCCCGTGGTATGTCTACCAGGTTAGGCCATTATGGTCTGGATGGTCTGAGTTAGCCAAGTGAATATACCCCCTGCCCATAGGTTTACTTCACACAACTTGATGTAAAATAGACGAACAAAATTAATTACCTCCATATTGGTACACATACTTCTGGAGCGTCGACGAAGGATTAGCCATCTTGTCTTTTCTATATCTGATGAGGTGTGTCTGCTTAGAGTAGGCATTCGGAATATTGGCGTATGGTTTGCTTCCCACTAGTTCGACATCAACCATAGTGAAATTGAAATTGCAGGGAACACTCTTTTATTGCAAGTTGTGACTCACATGAAGTTTTAATTCCGTTACCACATATTTCTGTATCTGGCTGAGTCTTTTACCCACAGTTTGTGCTTTGTAATGATTCACGATATGTAGGCATGACGACCTCACTTTAGTTATTTATGATACCTTGTAAAGTTACATGATTAGGGCCAAAATTCATCATAAAAAAGGATCAAATATTTAAAACCCTTCATGGTATTTGCAACCCTTCCCAAAAATATGGCTCATTGCTCAGCTCCGCTGGTAATTACGGTATTCAGAAGTCTCGCTCCTAACTCACAACCAATAGCTAAATAAACTATTTCAAGAAAAATGTCAAATAAAATACAGCATACGCCTCTGATTGCAACTTAAATTCAGAAAGGTAGTCTCAATATGTGGAGTAAGATTGATTGAAATCAATTTGAACATGAAATGGTTTATACACTTCGATTCAAATCAAATTAGCCAAAAAAAGGTGACGATACTTTGAGCAAACTCGCTTAAATATTTCGATTTAGCTTGGGTTTACTATATAATTTGGTTGTAGCCAAGCAATCCTGATATATTTTTCTGTGTTGCGATTCGTCCATATTCCTACAGTTTAGAATATTCAGATCTGGGACAGATTATTAACAATACGACACTACTTTGGTAAGGGAAATCCCCTCCAACGAATTAAAAAATAACAAAGCCAAAGTTACTTTGTCACAATTCATTTCTCTCATATTGTTTTCACTATTTTTGCTTAATTGCTTTTCTGCACTTTTAATTTACGCACCATTATGATGCAATTTAGTCCATTATTTCATCATAATGTTGTCATATTATTATTTGTTTGATGTATTCACCGTGATTGTGTGATGTCATAGTTGTATTATTAGTATTTAGGTTCCTTTATTATATCTCGCTTCTGCATTTTTTTGTTTGCGTGTTATCTTAAATATATGTTTTATTTTTCATTCGTTTCCCTCCCAATTTAGCTATCTGTATATTTATAACCTATCAAAAATTTATTCAGGGCTTCGGATGAAAATTGTGAAAGCCAAAGCATCTGAAATAAATGACTGGGTAACTCGGGGCTTTGCTTCGCCATATGATTAAGTTGTGTTATCAGCTTTCCTCTCCCCCTGTCTCTTTTGCTAGACGCCATGCATTTGAAACTAATAAGTAGTTGACTCATATTCGGCATAGACTGATTAAAATTCGACGCTGTGTTCTATCATATAATGAAGCACAGACTTTCCTCCCTACTCTTAATTAGGAGATAAACGAGAATGACCTGGCTGACTATTTCCATGCCACCCACAGACAAAATGCTGTGGTTATTCATTTCGTTAGTTAATTTGTGTTATAAACTTTTTCTGAAACAAAATCCTATTCTCAAACAGTAACAGTTCCTCCCCCTGCGAATAATTCTAAATGCTATAGTGGACATGGGTAACATATGATTCTGCCTTTTCCAGTCTAGAAAGTTGTGTGCTATATGATTCATCAGCCATTGTGGGCAGGAATGAATATCATTATGCCACTTATCAACTTTCCGCTTCGCCTAAATGCTATGTTTGCACCTGTGTGTGTACTTATAGCACCATTTAGCGGTTGTTGCGCCATTTGGAGTTTGTTTCTCTATTGTCCTGATTGCAAATGATTCTCCTCTTAATTTACAACCTTGTATATATTTGTGCTGGAAAATTATTTTATTATTCCACTTGAAAATAGAAATTGTTCAAGAAATTTTTGTTGGTTTCGTGTTTGTGCTGGTGACATGAGATTGTTGGATGGAGTCTCGAGACAAAATTTTCAAACTCCTGAATTTTACTGATATTAAAAAGTCTAAATGTATGTTAAAAACTCGAAACGCAGTGAATTGACTGATAACAAGGAAGCAATGCTCAAATATATGGACACGCAAGCCAAGACGAAGTAGTACTGGGTGTGCAATCAGTCACAGGAAATGTACAATTTATGATTTTTATGACGCCATCGCACACAAAAAACTAATCTCAAACAAGCCCAAAAATTTTTCTAAAATAAAAATAAATAGCCTTCTAGCGAAAATACAATCTTCAACCACTGAAAATTTCAAAGCAATTGATCTAGTAATTAATTAGAAAAGCAGTTTTTCGCGTGGTAAAAGTGAGGATACAAAATGAAACAAGAGAGCTATGCTCAAATATATGGACACGTTCACCTGATGGCAATAATTTTGATGACGTCATAGCAACAAAAAAAGTAATAGCCTTCTGATAAATTTTTTTTATCTTCAACCACTGAAAATTTCAAAGCAATTGGTCCAGTAATCAAAGAGAAAAGCGACTTTTCAAAAACGTGTCAAAGAACAAGAACATAATATTGTAACGATCGCTATGTCCACTACGTGTCCAAAAATTGATCCATACATCCACTTTATGTGCAATTATCGACTGACAAAGAAGTCTTGCATGCACTTGTGCTTTTGTTATAAAAATTTGGGATTTCCAGAAATATGTGCATCAAGATGGCGCACAACCTGAACATAGTATGTGTACCAGATTAGGGTTCAGGTTGTGCGCCATCTTGGTGCACATACCTCGAGAGCGCCAAAATTTGTTTATGTCGGAGCTGGAGTCAAATTTTCTTAGACCGAATTTTTTTCTCCAACTGGGAGCCCAATTCGTTTTTAGTGGTCCACGTTGGCCAGACTCCACACTTCAAATGGTGGTTTCGTTGGGCTTTCAATATATTGCTTAGGTCAGTGGTTCCGAACCCAAATTTTTTTGGAAAGCAGATTTTTGTATTATCTCGCGACCCAAGGATATGCATAAATACTAAACGGCAAGTTAAAGCGTTGCAAGTTAAAGCGTTGCTTTATTCTTAGTTAGCTAAATAGCGACTGCCAATCTTTTACTGCTGAGCACACTTCTTTACCAAACACAAAATAAACAATAAAATTAATAACTTTTTGTGGAAAAAATATCGCGACCCGTAAGTTGGAAAACACTGGTTTAGGTCACGGCGGTGGATCATTCACTCAAGGATCACTCAATTGTCAATGAAGTAAGTCGTCACGTGAAAGGTGAACTACCTAGGCCGATGACCCTGTTTGGGTGGTGGTGAACGGTAAAAGAGAACCAGAGAATCAAAGAGAACTAGAAGAAGATAAAAACATCAATGTGCAAATTTCTAGTGTTAGTAAATCTTCAACACGTAGTAGTTTTCCACATTTGTTCAAAAGTGAAAAGCTACTACGTGTTGAAGATTTACTAACACTAGAGATTTGCACATTGATGTTTTTATCTTTTACTGGTCAACTCCCTAGTTGCTTCAATCGCGTATTCGCGAATAATAATACCCGAAATAGCAGAAGTCACGACAGATTTTTTGTTCCGTATGTTAGAACATCAATAGCACAAGAATCGATCACATTCTTTGGACCTAAAGTATGGAACCCATTGCCTAATAGTATTAAAAGCTCGAAAACGACGTTTGAATTTAGATCCAAGCTTAAGAGACATTTATTGGAATTCTTTTAGATTTAGTGAGTTAAGGACATCCTACTTTCCAGACATTATTTTTCAGATACAAAGGGTACATAGAAAATGAGAAAAGAACTACAGAGATGAAAACTACCTCCAATCGATCAACAATGTCATCATGCAACAAAGCTCCATTGATCGGAAAACAAGTTTCGAGTCCCCCACGGATCTATTGTCTCTCTTTCCCCGCATAGTTTTATTGTTTATTTACTTCCTTCGCTGGATCGTCAATTATGCAAACTAGATCATTCAATAAAAAATTATAATTATCATGCTGAGACATGGCGACAATAAATTTCACACAATAGCGCTTATGAAAGTGGCCGCATTTTATGCCAAACTCTCCATTGTTCCCATATCTTTGGTCCAGTGCAAACTATGATAAACAACTCAAGTTTAAACAAAGGTTTTCTACATTTATCTTTCACAAATTTTTTCTCGTGTCGTGGTCCCATCCAACGTTGGTTTCTGGCAAGTTTATATCCCGAACAAATCTTTACGTGTTTCGTGAGACTTAGTGTAAAAACATATCAATTCAGCGACCCATACCCTATCTCAGGGTGTTCCAAACCCAGGCCCGCGGGCCACATGTGACCACCGCTTCATTATCTGTGGCCCGCGCCGCATTCGGAGAGTAATCAAAATATCGTATTTTAAATTTTTTCTCATAAAATAAATCAGAAAAATCGTTAGACATATTGTTGTTATATCACTATTGCGACTGAATTGACTAGTATGATGGCTAGCTGAAGCAACTAGCGAATTTGAATGATGTGATGGGCAGTCTAAATTGTTTCCTGGATTTCTATCATTTTGGTCGGGAATATATGCTAACAATATAGGCATGAAAGAAAACTGAAAAAATCGAATGCGGATTCCACTAGCCTAGGTTGGCAACGCCTGATAACTATGTGTTTACACAATAAAAGTGGTTGTTTTGTATTGCACTGTTTACCTATTCTTGGTACTGTTGTGGCCCGCGGAGCCCACAATTTTGGACTACCCCGCCCTATCTCCATCTTTTCACACCGGAACCTGGGATATGGACGTGTCATAAACTGACTATTGTACATATCGCCGTTGTGCCGTACCTCTTTGTCTTGTATATTTTACTAGAGTTTTATTTGTACAGTATAGTCAATTTAATGTCCTAAACTGCTGTTATCATTGTTAGGGGTACATGTCGCACATCTGTGTCTTAGGCCAGTGAGGTATTGAACATGTATCCCGTCTCTGTTTTACGGTTTAATTATTCTACAGATACTGTTACATTTTTGAGGCAAATAAACGTACACACATACATTTTGGAGACATATCGCTGATGGCTTATGAAAATGCTAAATCCGTCAGTCAGTCAGTCTCAAAGGGAATTGGCGGAGAGCGAGATGTACCTAAGTAGTTTGGGATCAGGTAAGAATTTCCGGGAAAAGACGAACCAAGGTTGGAAAGGTTATAGCTTTATATCTATTTTCAGTGAGTGTTCGTCATCGCTTGGCATTGGGCCGACCTGAAAGAGCTCAAAATAGATACTTAAATGAGAGCTTAAAACATTTGGTTCCATTCGTACTTTATTAATGCTCCCTCAATAAAGAATTACGAGATTAATCATGGATATTTTAATGAGTTATCCTGTATAAGAGAACATTCCATATTTCCGCGTCGGAACTGTATCACATATTGTCGACTAGTCTGGAACCTCACCTCTGCGATCCAGAAAATGAGCCGATGGCTGAAGTGTATTCGTATTTATCGATTTATTCGCAGTTTATTTCGTTTTTTTTCGAAAACTTTGAATATACAGACATGCCATATAGTTTTTCCCGTCAGTTTATTCAAATTTGTTGAAAATGTGGACATTTGTTACCCTAAATATCGATCCCGTACCAGGGTAGTCGACCGTACGGTACCGGTACCGGTACGGTTTCAGGGTTGACGTGTTGACGGACAGTCAGACAGGACTAACGATAGGTACCGGTACCGTACCGGTGTCGTTCTCAGTCAGTCAGTTGTTGTGCTCCGACAATGATACTTTTGTACTGGACATATTTCCTAGTATCTCATTTTTCTGTCTATATTTCAGTATTTTATAATTTCATAGTGTGATAATTCATTCTGACAGTTTGATAACAGCGTAAATAAAATGCGTCGGCGACCTGTAAAGGTCTTGCATACCGTACTGACCATCACGATTCAATGTTTAAATATCCACTGCACTGTATTTTCATGAAAATCTGTATTATTGCAGTACCGGTATTTTCCTTTTGGGTCTGGATTCGTATAGTTTAGTACCACATGCACTTCTACTTGGCCTGGCTCAACAATTTTTGCATATGTCAATCCTAACCCCCACCTGACTATGTCTACAAAAATTACGTCATTTCGACGTTATAGGGGCGTTATAAGGCTCACCAAAGTATGCGGATGGTCGTCCAAAACGCGCAGACGATCACCCAAAAACGAGCAAGGTATTTCTCTCGTTTTCTCGTTACAACGATCACGATAGGAGAGAGATCGTCGGCGTTAGCGAATTTGTTATCGGCGGCGCAGATGCCATTTCGGGCGATCGTAAATATACTTTGGCAAGCCCTATGACGTGATGGTGACATCACAGTGACATAATTTTTGAATGACATAGTCAGGTTGGGGTTAGGAATAACATATGCAAAATTATGCTATGCCCACTGGAAGTACTTGTGGTACTAAACTAGACTAGACTTGTCCGTTTTTAACATTGTTTTGTGGAAATAAAATCTTTGTCTCTCTCTCTACCTTAATTAATCTAGGTAAATAAGATTTAGACATTACTGCATTACCACTTGATAGGACAAAGACACTATTATCACCCTTGAGTGACACATACCATAATATATGCATAGGAACCGCACATTTACCGCGGTGTTCACTTATATTTCACCCATTCATATCATATGGTCTTACCACTCGAGGGAGCTGTATTTTCGCCAAAATTTTGATTTCATCGTTATCTGTATTTGGTGTTGTGTTGTTTCTATTTATAAATATTGTCTTGTCTTATAAACTCCCCTGTATAAACAGTTTTGCATACTCCACCCTTACCACTTTCACCACACCAACCAATCTCCCCACCTTACCCAATTGTCTGTATAAGGGACCATACTATACATATTTAATCTAAAATTTTTTGTTCTATATTTGTCAAAAGGTGTGCATGCCGCACATTTGTGTTTTGAGCCAGTAGGCCTTGTGCATGCATTCCGTCTCTAATATTGATAATTGTCAATTTATTTTTATTGCTCACTTTTACGAGACGAATAAATACATACACTTCATCGTACCAACATCTGAACATAGCGCACAGGAATTAAAACTAATTATTCATTCAGTTATTTTGATAAACTGATATTCGCATAGCTGAATAGTTCAAGCGTAGAATTAATTGAACAGCTTTAGAAATACGAACGAAGATAGAAAACCTGAATGAATGAAAGATAGTTCATCACATTCAGTTAACTTACAGTTAGTTCAGTAGTTTACTTTTCTTAATTTTTGAAGCGTATTTTTGTCTTGTGTGTTACATTTTTTTACAATGACTTGATAATTTACCAAGCGTCACATGAACCACCTTCAGACAGCAAGGAGTCCAGCAATTTTCTTCACACATAATTTTTTCTCTATCTTTCGAACCAGAGAAACGAAATCAGAGGTGCGAAAGCAAGCGTATTCTTGATGCTGATGCACTGTGCGCTATACCACCATTCTGTCACTGTTGGCGATCAATATCTGATGGTCAGTTATAACTTGAAATTCATCATCTTAATAATAATATGTCCATAATCATTGGAAGCTTAATTAAAATAAATTAGATTTATTTGTGTTATAGTCAGTTCACTTTAACACCGTAATCATCATGAAGTCATCCCCCCAAAGGGGGTAAATGGGGTGAATATTTAAATCCTATTCTATTTTTATTTTATTATTCAATTTTATCTGCGATGAATCCCCAAAAGTACAACTATTTTTGACCTCCTAAACCCCTCTATCTGCGCCATTGATTCAAAATATATGTGAAGTATTTGGAATAATAGAATATTTATTTCTGGCTTGGTCTAAATTCAATTTTCTTTCAAATTTTTTTTCGACAAATCTATTTTTAAGGAGTTATCACTTATAAGGGGTTAGGCGGTCTCTGACATGCTAAGGAAATAGTAGGATTTACTCCACGAAGAGAAACAGCTTAACGTATATCCTAACATAAAAGCCAAGTTTAAAACTCAAAACAAAGTTGCCAAACTAAGAGATCGGCTTATATACGAGGATATGCGGTAAATATGTGGCGAATCATACTAAACTTCCAGATTTTATGATAAGCCTGAATATGTAGGGTTAGGGGCACTATCCTGTTATTACTTATCGATCTTTAGATCGGTAAGTATGTTGATAGGTATTTGTTTGTTTGTCTGTCCGTCTGTCTGTTAGATGCACGCGATATCTCACGAAGGCGTGGTTGAATCTGCCCCAAATTTTGCATGTGCATTCATCATATCTCGGACCAGGAGTCTATTGATTTTGGATGAATTATGTCGTATAATTAGCGAGTTATTAATTATTAATTAGTGATGGGACACGAGGTGTCACTATAGAGTCATGAATCGAAACCGCATTTTCGATCGATAAGTCTTCGGTCTTCGACCGATATTCTCGTTTCTCATTTTATGTTTATTTTTACCTAACTTGTTATGAACAGAATCAGGTGAAAGTTCTTTTAATGGTTGGTTAACCAGGATTATTCATGCAAGGTAGCAGGGTTTCCCAGACTGGGGTACACGAACCCCTGGGGTCTGTGATAACTGCACAGGGGGTCTGCAACAATATGAAAGAGTTTGAAACATATACAAATAAATCTTAATCTTATCAAATTGCTGCCTACCTGTATTTAACGTTGGTATGTATTGATGCAGACTTTCATGAGTTTTATTTCGTCAAAGGAAACATTATCCTTCCTCGTTGGTTAAGCACAGAAATTGATTTGACAGAGGATGGTGTTCCTGCGATGGTAAGTGCAGTTTCAAGTATTCTGTGGCGTCTGCAGCTGTCACAAAACCATGGCGATATTTCCATACCATGGCCGCTACGGGCCAAACCAATGACGAGCTGCCGTTACCGCGGCAGCAAATTGAAATCCAATGGCAGGTAAAATTTTGCTGCCGTGACCACGGCAGGTGGGCCGTAAAGACAGGGCTGTCCCTTATGGTGACAAATATTGAGTAAGTTGGAACGTTTTTCTTATGAATACAGTTTTGATCGATTTGGGGTTAGGGTTTGGGTATATATAATTCCGCATGATCAATTAAAATCTGGTACATTAATTTGTGAATATATCGTTAATACTGATTACTGAATAGCGATATAAAACCATGGCAAGAGCTGCCGCGGTTCGTTCGTGGCAGGAACTGCCATGAAGTGGTAAGCACTGCGCCTCTGCGATGGAGGGCTCAAGGTGTTTTTTTAATTTCGAAGGCTCATCTTATTTGTTTTTTATCTTAACTGAACATTTTTTGTGTTTAAGCCAGAATATCTGTACAGTATTTTCTAGTGTAAATAAGCCTATGATGTCTTGAAAATGCATGGACAGTTTTACAATCACTACGCTAATCAACAGAGCAGAACATCGCAGAATCCATCCAATTCTGCCAGGACTACAAATGAACAGCAGGTTCATGCCTTGTATAGAGCTCAACATAATGCTGTTGTCAATGGCCAGGCCTACCCTACGCATGCCAATCAGCAGCAGCAGCCTAGGGTACAGCCTACCATACAGCATGGCTCAGCAGCAGGCCTAACAAGCCAACAGTACAATCAGTTACTGCAAAGCCATGCTTACTATCTTACGCAGCAACAACAACAACAAACTAGACAACAGGAACAACAAAGGTCAGAGTTCACACAATATTTTTTCCCGTCATGTGCAATATTTGACAAACATCAACCAAGAGAAATTTCTGGCAGTTTTGTTTATCATTTTCAAATTGGCAAAATTTCAAATTTTTTAAACAATTTTGACTCTTGACTTGAATGACGCCAACTCTGAACTATGAGAAAATCTATTTTTTTGACGACAAAAATATCTCTTCCATTGAGAATGCTTAGTCAGCTTGATGATTTTTGAATTTTTATAGCAAAATATCCATTTTCCTTGGAATGACACAAAATTATTCGATCACCACTTTTGAAAGCGGGGAATTTGAAATGATGGCACTGTTATCAATAAAAATATCCGGACTCCGACCAATATCCCATTTTTGTTCGCCTACTTTACATCAAGTTTTGTAAAGGGACTGAAACTTATGAGCAAGGATATTCACTTGGCTAACACAGACAGTCCCCGAACTCGTAACAGAACTAAAATAAGAAAAATCAGAATGAAATTATGGCCTAACCCAAACCTCGTACACATACTACGGAAGTACTCTTTTTATACAAACTTTTTTGTGTGGGGTTTTCCAGACACTTAAATTTGCTCATCTGGAGCATTGGTCTGAACAGACATATAGATAAACCCATCAAACTGTTAGTAGCAAGTTACTTGTCGAGCTTTGTCCAGCAATTTATCGGTGAACTGAATTTTATTTCTATTTTCCCAGGCTACTTCAACAACAGCAGCAACAAGTAGCCAGTTTGGATGCGGCAACGCTACGGAGCGCAGGATTAGATCCCACAACCTTGCACAACCTGAATGCTGAACCCTCGCTTCGAACTTTGCTTGCAACGTCGTATGGAAGGAATACCTTGAGCCAAATGCAGATGCAGACTCTGAACCATGTTAGTAGCTTATACAGTGCTTTGTTCAGAGTGGAAATGTACAAAAATGTTGTTTTCTAATGTCTGTATCAGTGGTTTCCAACCTTTTTTGACGGATCAGAATTCGAATGAAACGTTACGGATCCTGGAGGAACCTCTGAACAATGTGCATATATTACCGTATGTCCTCTCATATCAGCCGACCCGCTAAAACGGCCCTAAAATGTTGAAATTGCATATATAAGCGGACCCTACAAATTGTCCGCTCTTATTCCGAGAACTTACCATGGTTCAAGTTGTAGCTGTTGGAATTAAGTTAGCATAATGCCATTTCGTTTGAGTGCAATCGGAGTTATGTTCGAAGTCCAATTTTCAGTGCGATCAGAGTTATCCGCGTATAAGCCGACCGCTTAGTTTAGCAATTTTTTTTTGTGAGTTCTAAACTCAGCTTATGCGGGGATATACGGTAACTACTTTGGTAACAGTAATTTGGATTTAATGTAAACTTACAAAACCACTTTACTCCACTGAACCCTGGTTGGGAACCACCGATTATATGCAGGACTGTGGCACATGAATGCAGCCAACCATGTGTTTGAATTCTTTTTACATCTCTTTCACTCCAAACAAAGCTGTGTACACACAGTCACTGTTTCTAAGTTAGGATTCACTATTCTAAGCTTTTGAGTTTTTCTAGGTTAGACTGTATTTAATTTCTAGTGCCGAATAAACATCTGTAGATTTCTAAGCCAGTCCCGGACATGAATTAATCCAGAGCACATCAATTTTGTTAAGTAAATATAACCGTTTCAAAAACCGAATGGAATATTAGTATCAGAACTCTCCAATGTGGCACTGCCTTGCAAAGTAGTGTGGGCAAGTAGTAACACATAAGCAGTAGCCATACAATTGCAAACATCATCCCAAATCAAGGCCAAATTCACCCAAAGTGGGAGTGAGAGAACTTCTGGTTAAGAACTCCTCGGGTACTCCCATGCGGTCACCCATGCAAGTTCATCATGACCTTGCTCGAACTTCCGATCTAGACGTGTACAGGTGCAAATAAGGTAGCCTGGTTTCAGACAACGACTATTTATATTCAATCAGCGGTGTTTAATAACAGTAGGGACCAGCGAAGCGTAACGTCAATTCAGAATTGAACTTTGTGCCCGAATTCACACAAAGTGGGAGTGAGAGAACTCCTGGTTAAGAACCTCTGTGGTATTTGGTATATTCTACCTTAATAGGGATTCAGTAACAAAATAAAAAGCTGTTACCCACATATACTTAAGTTGTCTTCCATGTTTCTTCTTCGGTTCTTGGTTAAAAACCCCCAAACTTTATCCCAGATCAAAGTGGGTGTAAGAGAACCCCTGGTTAGGAACCTCTGTGTTATTTACTACCTGGGTAAGGATTTATTGACAGGGTGAAAGGCTGTTACCCCCCATTAACTTAGGTTGTCTACCCTGGTTCTTGGTTAAAAACCCCTGTATTATTGAGAAGTAGCAAATGGGCAAGAAGCTATTGCCCCTTTATATCTGACATGAGCAAACTATGGCCTACAAGCCAAATCTGGCCCGCCTTATGCTGCCACAACCAAACTGAACCCAAATTTTTAAATGTTTTAGCTAGAGGAATTTGTTACAATTGCGATTTAATTTAGTTTCTGCATGAGGCTTCTTGTTATCCACTTTTGCTTTTGTAACACTGTAAATAAAATTCTGTTCATAAAATTTTACATGGCCCGCCAGTCTAGGTGGTCAACATTTTTGATCCATGGTGCACAAGACCTGCCCACCTCTGCTCCATATGATTAAGTCATCATACCAATCATCCTTCCTTGCCAAATACTTATATATATTTCATCTCCTTTCAGCTAAGCCTCAGTCAGGCATCAGTCTCTCCTCACCGAGTTGGATCAAACGCTCAGCCACACCTAGAACATATACAACCTGCTAACAAACTGATGTCACAAGCAAGAATTATGACATCACAATCTAGGGAGTTACCAAGGCAACATGAAAGTGCAGTCAATCAAGCTCCGCCACCATTAAGGAATATACAAGCACAGAACGCTTCGCAAGCAGCTTTAAGCCAAGAAATGCTGATGGCAAGACATTTATCCCCCACGGCCCCAGGTCGCAGCCCCCCGGGTTTCCATCAAAATTTGGGGAATAACGTTTTTTCAAATATTTTATTATCACCCACGAATAACCCGGGGATGATACAGACGCATCGTGGGACAGCGTACTCCCCAGCGATGGGTCATATTCCTCAAATGGGGGTGAATCATCGACAACCAAATATGCAAATGACTACTCATACTGAGATCACAACAGATCGGAATACCAGTTGTGCGAATCCTTCATCTATGACTACCGGACGTAATGTCAGTCGGGATTTACAATCGCCACAGAGACCTACGACAACTGGTGAGTGAATGTTTTCTGGATATATTAAATTTATCACTGTTGTGCCATCTCGTTCAAGCATCCTTGTGTCAACGGCTACATACGAATCTGAAGTACCGAATCCGATTTTATTTTCATAGGTATTCAAATAGCGGGAATTCCCCACCACATTGCTGGATTAAAATTTAAGCAAAATTGTAAATGTGTTACCGATTCGTATTCAAATGGAAATGTCCGGGAATTTCGACAATAATTTTTTAACCTTGAACTGTTTAAAATCATATGATCCCTAACTACTGATATACTATATTAGGACTCGCATTGTTTGCTTCAAAACTGAACTGGTGAGATACAAAAAATATATAGGAAACAGTATTGAATGACTGTTAATGTGACAGTGCCGAATACTCGCTGAGAACTAATCAGATACAGGGCCACTGCACTTCCTTGGGCTCGCGTTAATCATTGTTGTGAATTATTACATTTTAACTCTACCATTTGTAATCAAGTATGTGTTAGCGTGTTCATTTCGTGTGAGCAAGATTCTTAATATAAAGTTGCCGTAATCACGATTTTGTAATTACTGGTAGTAACATCAAAAAATCCATTTATTATTACAAAATATTTATTTTCTGTTCTTAATTTCTTACCGGTATATATCTACCCATACCTGGGGCCCACTTAATCTGCGTTTGCGTAATGCCCTGCAATAGTTAGGTCAGAAAAGTGTTCGAATCCTCTGATTCAGGATTCTGAATTACCCAGACCTGCATTTGAGATTAGTGAACAGCTGATATTTCGGTGACCGTACATTTGAACCCATGTACATTTGAACCCATGCGTATATCCACGGGTTCAATCTATATGCGGGTGCTAAAACCCATGGGTTAGGGTTAGTATGGGTTTAACTATCCGTGAAACAAAAAAAATTCCATAGGTGCAATAGCATACAGGTGCAATTGTCATGGGTTCAAATGTACGTGGGTTCAAATGTAATGGAACCGATATTTCTCATCTGGAAATTGTTATTTTAAGCGACTAAACTCAAATATTGAGTGGGTGGAATAATAACTTTTGTTTATTTATTTTATGACGTTGATGTCTCTTGTGTATGTGGGGTGATGAATTAGTCCTTGCCATGCTTGCACAATAGTTTTGAATATTTCGCAATAATTGTAGGTATTACGCAATAAAATTATGCAATAACTGTGAATATTGCGCAATAAATATATCCTTATGTAGTATGTGCTTTTGGTTTGGGATTCCTATTCAAGAGTCTGCAAACAAACACAAATGCAATTCAACTATGATCGATATAACTCTTGTTTTGATTGTCTGAAGAAGTCTGTCTTTATGTGACGAAATAGTTAAGAGAATAGTTTCGTATTTCTTTGCGCATTGTTCATAAAAAGTTGCATTCGACCTGACCGAAATTTTGCTTTTCTATTCTAATTCATGGGAACAATTTTTATAACATACGGAAACACTTAGTTCTGTTTCGCTTGTCTACCGATCATTTCAGCAAACCAGGTGCTTTTCGTTTTTATACCTGAACCTGTGACCTTGTCTATATATTTGAGCATTTGCTCTCTTATTTCCTGGAAATCTTACTCCATATTATAATGAAGGCAATCATTGCCGAGTCATGATGACTAATAGCTTATGCCATTCATTGTTTTAATAACACCAAGGCTGTAAGGCAACCAAGTCAGATATGTCGAGGGCAAATCAAGCACAAAATGAATCGTTTGTATATTCTGGTTCTTCATACTACTGTAGCTTCTATTTATTGGTGTCTGCTTGTACTGAGCCTTTGTTTGAGTGATGATTCATCACATAAAAATGTATGATCACTACCGTCTATATTCAAGGTCAAATGTAAATAAAGCACAGTTGTTAGCAAAACAATGTAAATTTGCTGACATTTTGAATTTCATCTGGATCTTTACCATATGTCCTGACAAATTTTTTCTGACCAGAAATTCGAAACGTCTAATAATAATAAATTACATCGTTTTGCTAACACTGGTTGCGCTTTATTTATCTTTGTCATGAATATACCTTATGCCAATCATACACTATGAAGCCAGCGTTGGGAGAAATGTGACTCTCATAATTATGTGTTTTATACAAGGATATCCAAAACAAATTGACTAGTTACATCGATTGAAAATTAATTATTTTTGATATTTTAATTTCTTGGTTTTAGAAATAATTTAGTTTTACTTGAAAATCATCATTTTCAAAAATTTAATCCATTCACCCAACAGAATCACTGTTTGTCTCAAATTTTCTTCATTTCATTGAATAAGCATTGATTTCTCTGTGTTGTGTTGAACCAACGCTTCATCAACAATCCTTGCCCATCACCTCGTGTTATAAATTGAGCAGCCAATACAGAATTGTTTATCAGTGTAAATTAATGTTTTATTGAACACAAGCAATACTTAACATAAGCAGATCAGTTGTTACCACAAATAACAGATTGTCAACCACCATGCTGTGCTGTCATTGGTCAGTTGAAGAGTGGAAAATGGAATTAAAGCACAGTTATCCTAGGATCACCTGGATAAAATGTAATTAGAACACACAGTTAACAGTTAACTTGAATAACTCTTGATACTTCAAAAAATATGAGCTCTTTACCTATGTCTGCCTGTATGGGGCCTTGTATTAAGTGAAAGTTCGATGTATAAAACCATTCATCTTGATTTCCAGGGACAATCATCAACACGAATGTCCATGTGAAACGACAAACATCATCCGTGAATTCCTGTACGGCTCCTGTGATTATCAGCGACAGTGACGATGATGATGAACAACCAACCACCTCAACAGGGGGAGAAAAGAAAGGTAAAACAAGATTTTAGTTTCATATTTGGCGCTCCCGAAGTGTGTGTATCAATATGGAAGTAAATAATTTTGTTCGCCTACTTTACATTAAGTTGTGTAAAGGGACTAAAACCTATGGACAGGGGGTAAATTCACTTGGCTAACACAGACAGTCCCAGAACTCGTAATAGAACTAAAATAAGGAAAATCAGAATAATATTATGGCCTAACTCTAACCTGGTACACTTACTGAGGGAGTACCTTTTATTCAGGGTGAGAGATGCCTATAAGATAGCTTAATGATATAAATGGGCCCCCTTTTCAATTACAAATTCAAAATCGTGCGCAACTGTTGATGTGCTGGGGTCAAAAAAGTAAATCAAGTATGCCAAGCTGAAATATCTATTGACTTTTTAATAATATAATTTCAATAAGTATAATTGTTTGTGCGCCGGCTTTAGGTGTTGCAATCTGCATTTCTCATTTCAATGATTTTAGGCTACGATTTGTGGTAAAAGAAAAGGTTCAGATCATACAAAAATCTTCTTACGTTACTTTAATATCAGTGGGTTCCACAAGTAATTTCTGAGTGAGTCAGTGGTCAGTAATACATCTGCTAGGGTTTTCAACCTTTTTTCTGTGGCGGCCCACTCCTGTTGCACAAAAAATTCATTAGCTTTCTCATGGCAGGGTAAAACTACAAGAAAACAAAAAGGTCTTCATGCAAAATTAAACACTTTCATGAAAAATTTCAATAGTGTTTGTGGCCACCTGAAAATGTCTATATGGCCCACTGGTTGAGATCAGGTGTAGCTAGCACTTTTGCTCAGACCGAAGTATTTTAAAAAGCTTGTTCTAATATTGATATTTCAATCTGAATTTTTTCAACTTTTGCAACAGTCAGGGAACAAACGCCGTCATTGCCTGCAAAGCAAGATTTCACCAGGGTTGTCATTGACGATGATATAGAGATCACAGGAATGAGAGCAGCTGAGATCATGTCTCACATGAGATCGGATTGCCCAATTCACCAGTTCAAGTAAGTTATGAGAAATTGTTTCCTGTGAGAATGTGATGCTCAATTCACTACGGTGAGATATTTGATGAAATTATGTCTCATAATATGAGATCAAGCTGCCCAATTCACCAGTTTGAGTAACTTAACGAGAACTTGTGCACTCAATTCACTATTTTTGTGAGAATATTTAGTAAAATCATGTTTCACATGAGATCAGATTGCCCAATTCACCAGTTCAAGTAAGTTTATGAGCTTGTGATGCTCATTTCCCCATTTTTTGTGAGAATTTTTGATAAAATTATGTCTCATATGAGATCAAACGGCATACAAACAGAGTACATGTTGTACAAGCATTTACTGATACCTAGGGAACTATTATTATTAGAAGGATCAGAACCAATTCAGCATTACCTACTCAAATTATTACATCCTGCGTAAGATGGCAAGCATGGCTTATAAACTATAGGTCACGTTCAGTGCTATACCAATCAGCACTCACTAGTATAATTGCGTTTCTCAGTGGTTCTCAAACGCTGCGTGCGCCCCACAAGAGGCCGTCGACAATTTTTTGAAGAGAACGTGGAGCTAATTAAAGATATTTGTTAGATTTGATCTTTTCTGGCCTATTTTGGATTATTACATGTCAAAACCTTCCATTTATTTCAATATTCACTTTCCATCCACATATTTTTAATGTTACTATCTGGTATTTGTAGCTTATTGTTAGCTAGTTATTTTTCAGATGAGGCGCGAGACTTGACAAATTCTAAAAACGTGGCTTGAAATGTTTGAGAGCCCCTGCAATGAAGGCAGTATAGAAACTTGTTTAAATAAAGCAAACTCTCAATATTTCGCAAATGGTGTCTCTAAACCATAGAGTTGCCAATAATGATAAATAAATCAATTATTAATAAGTAATAATCTAATTCTGAGCCACGCTGTAGTGTAGTTAGACAACCTGCCATATGAGAGTCGGGAGAAATTCTCATCCCGGTATTTGAAGAATTCTACGAGTTTTCTTGATTGGCAGGTCATTGCAGTTTCTGTGCTCTCAGAAATATTTCAGTTATTCGAATAATTTGAAAAATTTAGGCAATCCTCCCCAAAATGGTCAATGTTATATAAGCATCGCAAAAAAATGAGTAAATTTACTACTTTATAACAGTCTTTGTTCAGTTTGAAAATTTAGGAAAAACCGTCCCAAAATGGTCTGTGTTATATTATAGGCATTGTTGTAGATTGCCAAAATGAGTAATTTACTACTTTATAACAGTCTTTGTTCAGTTTAATAAACAATTAGGAAAAACCTTCCCAGCAATATCACATATTATGTGAGCATTTGTCTATTCTGATAGTGTTAAGCATATGGCACCTAATTTGGAATCATTGGCTAGCCAATTGGTATGATTGCCCAGACTCAGTAATCAAGTATTCCAAATACATTTCATATGAACATACCAATATGAAGGTAACTATTTTTGTTCGCCTATTTTACATCAAGTTGTGTAAAGCGACCGAAACCTATGGGCAGGGGAATATTCACTTGGCTAACATGACAGTCCTCGAACTCGTAATAGAACTGAAATAAGAAAAATTGGAATAACTTTATGGCCTAACCTGGTACACACACTACTAATAATGTAGTGTCGAGCCACCTATGTTTGAAACTTCTCCATAGTCTATTTGTCATAATTGCCCAAATTCAATAAATTCTGTATGAACATTTTTGAATCGGGTTATTTAATAGAGAAATCTGTAGAAATCATTGTTAAATAAAAGAAAATGAATTTGGCAATTTTGACTAGTTTTATTGAACATTATTTTGATCGGTTTCTCGCCAAAGGCCTACAATACATGATCATAGCATTGGCTAATATACCTGCCCAATAAATCGCCATCTATTTTTGAGATGTTTGTGCTGGCCCAAGTACATGCATTGCCAATCTAGGTAACTCACAATTCTGAATACATTCTGAAATTATGATATTGGACATGTGGGAACATTTTCATATGACATATTGGAACATTTTCATATGACATATGGGAACACTTTGTTTGAAATAGGGATGCTTTTCATATGACATTCAGCCTCCATAAATTTAAAGATTGATCTCTTGTTCGTTTGCAGGCGCGTCGACAACGTAGATGTCGGCCCTCAAGAACAGAATGCTTCCAAGTGTATCAAATGCTTTTGTTATGTCTGTGATAAAGTAGCAACAGAGGTGAGTGACTTTGTTCATGTAGAGGAATTCATCTATGAGTAGGAAGAGTACTGACAGTGGAGCAGGGGTAATCCCCGTGCCAAAACAAAATTTAATCGCAATCTCAACAAATTCCTTGAGCTATTTTTTAGCTAAAATTTGGTTTTAGTTTGGTTTTGGCAGCATCAGGCGAGCCAGATTAAATCATCCAATGGGTCGTATTTGGCCCGCGAGTCGTAGTTTGCCCATGTCAGCAGTAGATTTCCGAATTTCTCATGAACAAGGTTCTGATCCCGCAAATAAAAGTAGAACTTGGAACTGATATAAGAGTTGCAACCTACGCTGACAATTTCTGAGAACCTGTTCAAAGTAGAGATGTACCAATGTATCAGAATTGGTAATATCGGCCAAGCTGATATTTCCGTTATATTTAGCTTTTTAGTTGCATAGGTATCGTTTTATCGTAATATAGGCGTTTTGAAATATCTGTATCGAAGCTTTCTCGTCGGTGTCGGTGACAAAAGTGATACATCTTCAGTTCAAAGTCCATTGTCCAAGTGATTAAATAAATATTATTGGAGTCACTTGGCTAGTCACCGAGCTCGTGATAGGACTAAAAGAAGAAAATTTGGAATAAAATTATGGCCTAACCCTAACCTGGTACACATACTACATTCCGTGTCCTCCATTGGGGTTCACATACTACAGGAGTACCAAAAAATCTAAAGCTAGAACCACTTACTTGGTCACCACGCCCACCTTAGAGTGACAGCAGTGTGAAGGTGGGCGTGTTCATGTTGAAAGGTGGGCGTGCTCTTATTGTTAAGCACATTAGGTTATCTAAAAACATCCTTTATTGGACCACACACTAAGAGAGTTGCATAACACAGAATAGTAGTTTCATAATGAAATCAATTCTATAATGAACCTATCAATTCACATATTCAATATGGATAGGCTAGTTAATTCATTTCCCACATTAGTGGTTTTCAACCTTTTCGGCGAAGCCCAAAAACAATCCCTCGTGTTTGTCTATTGTCTAAACCAGGGCTACTCAACTATTTTTACCAAAGATCCGTATACAAAACTAACTTCAAAATTACTGCGATCTGCGGTAAAAGTGCACTTCTTTGGCCGGCAAATGAATATTCCCTAATCCAGATAGCGCTATTCGCATTTTTTAATATGGCATTAAAGTTCTTTTCATACATAGTCAGGTGCAAATATGAGTGAATGATGAAATGACCTTGAAAAACGAGGAAGTCATCCAGGAATAAAGAGTTAGGTGCGGTCTGAAACGAAAAAAATATTAGGTATTAGGTACGAAACGAATACTCGAAAGGTCTGATTAGCCCTGGTATACACTATAAGTAAAAGCAATACTAATAATGGCAGAAGAAAATGATCATTAAAGTGTAGCCAGTTTAATAATAACAAGCATATTATAATAATATAGCCGTGACATGGGCAAACTACAGGCCATTGTCCAAATCCGACCAGGTGGGTATTTCAATCTGGCCCTCCTGATGCTGCCACAACCAGGGGCGGACACCCGGGGGGGCGAGGGGGGGGGGAATTTGATACATGTTTTTTCCGCCTTACAAAATTATCATTTCCGAAAAGTGCAATAGTCAAGCGCAATTAAACGGTTAATAGTTACTGATATTATAACTGTTAGTGTTTTCTCACAATAATGCATAGCGCCTTCGGAGCACCATGCATTTTCGTGAAACATGCTCGCCTACACGGGTAATACTCTGTCTTCAAATGCATCGCCGACCACGCGCCACGGTTTTGCACAACTAATTCATTTTTGTACAATTTAATATGATTTTCTCATTGTCAAAATCTTTCAATAGTGTTATTGTTGGCACTTGCGAGAGAAGTGAAAGAGGCAAACTGTGTTTCATTACAACAATTAATTATTATCGCTGAAAAATTAACTAGATCTAAAGTTAATATAAACAATTTTCACCGCTGGATGTATCTTTCCACATTATGGATTTCGTGCAAGGCCCAGCATAATTTGCGGGCAAAGATCAAAGCATTTACTATGCCGAAAAGTTGAAAAGCGGCAATATAAAATACTAAAAATAAAACTGTAAATAATATAAGTTTTGTTGAGGCCCGCGACAGTCTAAAAACGCTTTTCTAGGCATCGAAAATCGCAAAATTTCATGTGCCTACGGCACAAATTATGTTTGCTTGACCCTTAAAAACAGTTCGTCACTAAAATCGAAACACGGTCAATTGTGAGCGGGATTTGCCTTTTTATTCATTACTTTTAAATTGACGTCCAAAATTTTCGTGTTAACAAACAAAGCTGCGAACGCGACTTTTCTCCGGTTTTTGATGATATATAAGATAAATAAAGTATATTCGATCTCTTTTTGTATTTATTTATGTATTTTTATTGTACTGAAATAACTTTTAATACGTGCGAATTGACAGAAAATTTACGGATTTTTCGAAAGGGGTTATCTTTAAAAATGTGTGACAAGTACATCTCAAATTTATCGAATTCGCAAAATACCAAAAATGCGGATCAAAACAATATATAAACGGGCAGTTTACCACACATTTTTATGTCCGCGGATTGCCGTCGGGTTTTAGAGCAGCTCTTGTTTTGTCGACTCAACCGCAGTTTAAATTGAAGACAATTAAATATATAAATTAAGACATTTTGAATATGCCCGTATCGGTCTTTGATTGATTACTTTGCACAAGGGAAAAATCATTTTTCGTTGATAAAGTCTGCTTTTTTAACAAGTGGCGTAATCGCGGCGACTGTTCCGCATGGATTTCGAGGCGGTGAATTTGTATTTTCGATTTACTATTATACTTTATAATTATTTTCATTGTATGAATTAAAATTGTACTATATGGGATTTTATATCAGATATCGAGATTTTTGTAACGGCGATAACGAGTTCGGAAGATTGCAAAAATAGGTATCAAAATTAAATACATCACGCAGCTTATCTCATATTTTTATGTCCACATATCGCCGTGGTACTTTAGTTTAGTAATATTTTTCTTTTGACGTAAGAAGTCGCAACCGCGGGTTATGTTGCACACTATTAAATTAATATATAAGGACATTTTAGAATCTTGTGGCTGTCATGGATCGACAGAAAAATCATTACACGCTTAAATAGGCGGCTCTTTTAACGAGCGCGTAATCACGGTGCTTGTTGCAGACGGCAATGGGAAGTTCCGACTTTGCCCCCCCCCTTTTTTTAAATCCTGGCTGCGCGCCTGAACTTGTGCCTGTTTATTTTCGTATTAAATTATAAATAAGAACCCTGCAAAGTCATTGCGTGAATCCTGAATGTTATTTCGAGTTCAAATGATGATTTAATAAATCGGCAATAATGGCAACTCTACTAGTCAAATGATAATTCCTTGGTAAAATTTAGGAAAAAAATTCGCACAATAGCTTGTTACCTTGTTTTGCATTTCTAATTTTACGAAACGGCGTAAGTGCGCTTTATGCAGAACTAGGAATTGAAACAATAACCTAATACGACTCCTCAAATTTGTTATTTTCTGTTTGTTAGCAAGAGCCGTGGGCTAATTCTCGCGGAATTCAAGAAATTGGTTCAGTGACGCGCAAGTTCCGTGTCCGAGCAAAGCAGCCTAGGTACTCGATATATGAGTAGCAAAATGACATGCTAATACTTAGAGAATGACATCGACAGGTTATTGTTACGTGACGATACACGGCGCGGTGTTTTTCGGTAGGCGATCCAAGTTCGCCCCCCCCCCCAAAATTATGGAAAGTGTCCGTCTCTGGCCACAACCAAACTAAAACTAACTTTGATGTTTTAGATGGAAAAATGACTCTAATACCTTTGTTGAGATTGCGAATAAATTTGTTTCCACATTTGTAACACTGTAAATATTGTTCAAAGAATGTAACTTTTATGTCACACTTACATGACCTGCCAGTCTACGTGGGCTAAATATTTAGCCCCTGGTTCAAAAGCCTTGCCCACCCCTGATATAGACTCTCGGATTTGAATGGAAATTTGCGGAACACTGTACTGGCAGAACCAGAGGGTGCCGTGGAACCTTGTTTAATAAAACGAATCCTGTTTTATACGTTAACGATGATCGTGGCAAAAATGGGTAATGTGCGCCGCAGCTGACGACTACCGTTACATTGCCAATTAAATGCTTCAAATAACAAACCTTTATTAGACTGAACAGTGTCAGAGTTTCATAACTCAGCAGTTGCATAACACAATTATTCCTGTAATGATTCAACGAATCAGTAATCAGTAATTTAATTTTTCACCAGAAAAAAAAAATGCAAATAAATATAATAAAGGAACTTAAATATGGCATTTTAGGGCTAAAGGAATCGCGAGAAACCAAAAATGGTTAACGAGCAGAGACACCTGTAACAAAGTCTAGCTGATTCTAATTATAGAATGTAATCATATTAGTATAACAATGATAAATGCTATGCATGCTTGGCAGATTTAATAATGAAGGATATACTAATGAATTCTATCTTCGGAAGGTATTCATATTGGTGCATTACAAAATTCTGTGATAAAAATTGGTAACTATGCGTCACACACACTACTACGAGCATAATACAATCAATTTTATAATGATATCCTTTAACAAGTGACATATTGAGATTGGAACCAAGTGTACTTGTGTTACATTTTAATGTTTTGAGAAAATCACATTTTTTCAATAGTTTGGTTCCAACAGCCAAATTTAACAATTGCCGTGAGAAAATATCAGAATCAAAACTAAAACAGGTTCCTCTGAAACCCAGACCAGAAGATAGCTTGCTGTCCCTGTGAACAGCATATCAATAAAGTCCGTTTCTGCATTCTTTTAATAGTTTGGTTCTAATAGACAAATCTAAAATGGCAATGAGGCAATATCTTATATTAAAACTAAAACAGGTACAGCTTTAAAACCAGGTCCCTGGTCCATAATGACAGTTCTGAAAAATGTGCCATAAGCTACTTTGGTGGTTTGAATGTGGCGATATTTAATGAAGGATAGGATTATTCCATTAGAAATTTATTGATGTGTTGTATTGTTGACTATCATCTTTTACAATGATAATGCAGTTTATTGAAAACTCCCATACTTAAGTTTTTATTTAGTCCTTTTGTTTTTTTATTCCTGATAATGGTCGAAGCTGAGCAATTCATTACTTTTTGAAATAATGTTTTATGATAAAGTTAAAATGAAGAGAGTGTAACTTGGGTCATGTCTAACAGACATATTATTTGCAACTTTGGTAATGCAGAGTAGGAATAGATTGCGTAATTTAAGTTGTAATCGCAAATTCACTCAATTCTCCTGCATTCAGTATTAAATATATTGCAATCATAAAATATGCCAATCTAAAAAATATGGAAAAACTCTTTGGCGCGGAACACCTGAAAGTCTTTCACAGAATAGCATTGAAATTCACCCATTGTTTGATTATATTTACACAATATACATACAATATAGACCAGGGCTACTCAACTGGCAGACCACAGTCCGAATCCGGACCTTTCGAGTATTGGGTTCGCACCGTACCTAGTTCTTTATTTCGGATCATTAGCCCCACTTTTTAAGTTTCCTCCTATAAAATGACTTTTATAGTTTTGAATATATATTATAAGAACTAAACACCATAATAAACAATCTTGATATGCTAATAATCGATAGCCGGCCGAGGAAGTGCTTCTGGAAAGACCGGACCTAAATAATTTTTAAGTTTTGTATGCGGATCTTCGGTAAAAATAGTTGAGTAGCCCTGATATAGACTCTCGGCTTTTCATGAAAAGTTGCGAAACTCTACGGCAGGGCTACTCAAATGGCGTACTCGATTCTGACGGCACCAGCTTCTTTCTTTTGGAGCATTGGCGCCGTTAAATTTGGATATGTGAAAGTTTCCTTTTAGTAGTGAATAACTTATATTCATAGTTTCAGAGTTTCATCATTCTCTCGAGTTTGCGCCAAACTATATATGAAAAAAACTGACTCGGTTAGCGAATAATAACCAGCCAAGGAACTACAATAATCTTCAAGGATGTCTTTTAAAATTTTGCGGTTATTAAATTTAACATGAATTGATTTTCTGTTAACTCTCTAACCTAAAAGTTGGAGGCATTATTCAGACATACTATGAAATATATTTTCTGTAAACACTGGAAATTTTGAAGTTTTGTATACGAACTAATATTATGAACTTTAGGCTTCAAAACAACAAAAAAGTTCATTTTCCAATTAAAACTATTCTAAATTATTCATAAAAGCAAGAAATTTTGAGTGTATTCAATTCACGCACTTTGTATTGAATGTACAGGGTAACCTAGAAAATTAGAACCCATCAATTTAATACTTAAATCTACAAGAAAGATGTCTCCAGTGTCTAGGACAGTGGTTCTTAAAGTTTGGGTCGCGACCCAAACATGGGTCGCGGAAGGTTTAAAAATGGGTCGCGACAAGGTCGTCAATGCAAGGGCAATCTAAAAGGAGAATGAAGAATTTTCAGCTTTCCCAATGTTTCAATTTAGCTTCTAAACTCTGGTATTTGAAAATAATGAAATATAAAGTTTCATTCACGGAAAGAACTGTCTTGAGCTCATTGTTACATCACAATTCTGATATGCCAGTCACGTGTATTACTTTTATGGTATCGCTAACCATGCACGTCGCTTGTCGTTGTGTTGACCGCGTGGAATGTCGTCTTAGTGGATTAAAATAACCAAAAATGGGTGTCTTTTTGGTAATGTAAATTGTAATAGACGACGCAATGAAAAAGCTCGCTTCTCGACATTAGATTATTCAATATCTAGAGAAAATGTGACTTCATCTCGAGGCACCATTTACCGCGAACGAAGCAGTGTGTGCACATTTGATGAGTAAAAAGTTGTATATTGCGAGAGATACCGAAAGCCAGCTAGGATGTCGTGTTTGCGACGGACAGCGGACGCCTTTTCTGCTACAATTCGCGACAAAGCACTTGTGCGAGCGAGGATATTTGGCACTGACGGTTATCAAAACTAAGCTCGCAATCGCCTCGATACCCGTGACAACTTGCGTATTGCGTTAAGTAAAATAGAGCTGTGTATTATATAATGAAAAGGAAATTTCAGTTTCATCAATCTCACTGAGTCAATGAACTGTTTCTAATAAATATTTGTCTGTACTTGAGTCAAACTGTACTAACATTAAAAACACATTTTGCGTTGTTTAGGATTGGGTCGCGAGTATTCATAAAACTCAGATTTGGGTCGCGCTCGAAAAAGTTTAAGAACCACTGGTCTAGGAGGTGTAATTTAGAACATAATATTCTATACATATAATTTTTTGCGAAAAGCAAGATACTGGAACTTTCGGGCACAATCATACACAAACAGAAGTTCAAGTGTTAAATCAATTTTATTCACCCTGTAGATTTCACATAATAAAAGCACACAAAACAGGAAATGGAACGACATCATTTCCTTTATACCACATAGACCTGTGAGAGGCAGACATTTAGTTTGAATAAAATATGAATGGGTTGGATCAAAGTCACCTATACTAGGTCACGGGCAAAGGACTTTACCAGATACCTTTCGTGATGGCTACATTTATTTGAGAGTGAATTGACTGCAATTTTGTTAATTATTTTACTGCAATGGATTTATTTTTTTACTTTCGTTTGTTGGTTTTTTATTGCTAAATGGGTACTCTCGTAGTGTGTGTACCAGTAATTTTATTCTCATTTTCCTTATTTTGGTTCTATCACGAGTTTGGGGAATGTTAGCCAAGTGAATATACCCCCTGCTCATAGGTTTCGGTCCATTTATATTAGTACACACACTTCCGGAACCTCGCTGGATGTGGCAAATAAAAACAACTGATGGAAATATTTTATAGGCAAAACTAGGTATTTTTATAAAAGAACCAAAAGTGTCAAGGGTCTTTTGAAGCCGGCATGGCATGTTTGTTGCAAGAATAAACCTAAATATAGTTTTGTCAGTGATTGCTTGTCACCGGCACCAGGGCCAGTGCTGGTAGAAAATTTGTATGGACCTAAATATATGTGTTTTATCTCTCCACAGGTTGACTACATACATCATAGCCTTAAGATTGTTAGAGATTGTGTGTGGTTCATCAATACTCGTCTTGCAGAAGACATTGCTTTGACCACATTTATATAGAAAATTTATGAAATTATGAATGATCCTTGTCTATTTCAGTGCAAATCCTGGACAACGACAACATTCCCGCACTGCAATGCACACTCGAGGGCGAGCTGTTGGAAAGCTCGGAGAAATACGAAAAAGAGTCCGCTGATGTTGAGATTGGCTTCAGAGGAAGTCACCCAGGAGATGGAGCAAGCTGGTATGTTGATTCGGTCGCCAATAGTTTTTACTTTGGGTTAGATAGGCTCGACGTTGTGGCGCATCATGCGTTAGGAATATGTTCGCCACTGCATCTCTGATTCTGAGTGGGTTTGCAGATTCGAATCCATGTGCGAGACGATTGCTGGACTCTTCGCACCGTAGGGTGGTTCACGTAACCAATGGTCGGTTACGACTCCCGCTACCATTAAGTCCATGCATCTGAAAACAAATAACTGGCTAACCAATCCCATGCCCGACCGTGCCCATGGACTGGTAACCGTATGAGATGCCGTGGCTTGCCATATGATCGAGTCATCCTATCGGCTTTCCTCTCACCTGAGATCAATATGTATTTTCATCCTAGATTCTTGTTCGAGTCCACCCAGACTGCTGGCTGATGCTGGAATGTACATATTGATATATTTCCTATTCTGTTGGAATAAATCCTAAATATTCGAAACGAATTTATTTAACCGAAAAGTATTGCGCAATTATTCAACATAAATAATAAGTGAGCAGGCTGGTATGCACCAGTTATCTTAGGAAGGCCTGAGATATTTCCATGAGTCACTATTATCAGAGACTTGTGATATTTTTATTTCTTCATACAGCATATTGGCAGAAAAAACATCGGAGAAATGATTCTATGTCCAATAAACAAAATCAGACACCTGATCAACCTATATATCTAATCCACCTCGCAAGGAAATACACATATGATTAATAAGACAATAAAAGGTTTAATGAAGTGACTCAAGCAGGTCTAATTCATATGACTCAGTCTCAAATATTTCTGAACAAAATTACTCAAAAGATACGAGACTTGCCACGTCAATTGTATTATTATTAATTGCGTATTGTACTGGAGTTTTATTTGTATAGCCCCGTGGTTCTCAAAGTGGGCGTCGTTTCAATTTTGCCAGGGCGTCGCAAAACTTTTCTCTTTTTGTGGAATTGTACCTGCGGTGCATAGAAAAGTCGAAATTCTTGTTTGAATCACACTTGAGAAATGGAGATGACAATATATTAATTATTGTAACGATCAATCTTATCCATATGTGACCTCACTAATGTCGCGGGTCATTTAATGCTGTTCCAATTATGACATCACAAACACTGAGTCGGGTCAGCTCGAGCCATGCATGTCATTCATTTCTAATCCTTTCATGAACATGGGCATATCGAGCAATGTTGAGCGACGTTCAGCACATTGTCTACGCGTTGATTCGAATGATTCAATATTGACACCACGGCAGTTCTCTTCAGGCATAATTTTAATGGAACTCATTGCAAAAAAGGTCTTTTATTAAACGGTATCAAGACGTTTTTTACGGGGATCGCAACTTGATCATATTTTTCTGAGGGCGTCGCAATACCGAGAAGTGTGAGAACCTCTGGTATCGCCCATTTCATGTTCTATTATAACGCAGCAGTCCTAAACTGCTGTTATACTTGTTGGAGGTACATGTCGCACATCTGTGTCTTAGGCCAGTAAGTTCTTGAACATGTATCCCATCTCTGTTATACTATTTGATTATTATGCAGATATTGTTACATTTTTGAGGCAAATAAACATACATACATACATACATATAAGAATATTTTGATTGATTTTTTATTTTTACAATTTCAAGAAATTTGAAGAAGCTTATTTTTATACCTGACCATCAGATTTTATTTTTGACTCAAAATATTCTGAATTCTCCAAATTTATTTTCTGCATCAAATATCACCAGTTTCAATTTGATTTTAAGATTCGTTCCATCTTCAGAATGAGCCATGTGAGATCAACAAATCCTCAAGAATAGGATTTACATATTTATTCCGGGGAAAAAAAAAGAACTACGGCTTGTTGTCCGGTTGCCATTCCATGTTGGATATAAGATTAGTTAGTTATTTGTTTTCGGAAACATGGACTTGACGGTGGAGGAAGCCATGATTGACCAGCGGTTACGCAAACCACCCTACGCGGTGAGGAGCCCAACGATCCTCTTGCACATGATTAACCCTGCATGGGATTCGAACCTGCGAACCCATGCAGGGTGATCAGAGGTGCGGTTGTGAGCGTTTTCCTAATGCTTGGCACGATGTGCTACAGCCGAGCCCAAATGAAGACACATGGAAGGTATTATATCATACTCTGTTATTTTTCCAGGTGAGATAGCAATGCAGTACATGATCACAATCCGCGAGTCGTACATCACGTATCGTGCCGGTACACCGTGCGAGTACAACGCCGTGCCATGCAATTGTTCGTGTCATAAACTATCTAGAGCTAATGAACCATGTCATCAATGCAAAGTCGTTCACGATATGAAGAAGAAATTCAAGTAAGTTTTGGGAAGAGGGAAGTTGCATTGAGGTTAGGAATATTGAATTATAGGTAGAAATATTGCTTGAAGTATTTCAATTTGAAAAATAATCATATTTGCTCAGTTTGGTTTGTCGTTTGTTGTGTTTAACAGATTAATATTGCATTGTGGGTTCGAGAAAATCTGCATTGTTGGTTCAGAATTATTGCTTTGTGGGCAAGAATCTTTGCATTGTTGGAGGGAATATTGCATTGTAGATGTGAAGTATTGCATTGTGGGTTGGAAGTATTGCATTGTGGGTTGCAAATATTGCATTGTGGGTTGGAGATATTGCATTGTGGGTTGCAAATATTGCATTGTGGGTGGGAAATATTGCATTGTGGGTGGGAAATATTGCATTGTGGGTGGGAAATATTGCATTGTGGGTGGGAAATATTGCACTGTGGGTGGGAAATATTGCATTGTGGGTGGGAAGTATTGCATTGTGGGTGGGAAGATTGCATTGTGGGTGAGAAGTATTGCATTGTGGGTGGGAAGTATTGCATTGTGGGTGGGAAGTATTGCATTGTGGGCGGGAAGTATTGCATTGTGGGTGGGAAGTATTGCATTGTGGGCTGGAAGTATTGCATTGTGGGTTGGAAGTTTTGCATTGTGGGTTGGAAGTTTTGCATTGTGGGTTGGAAGTTTTGCATTGTGGGTTGGAAGTTTTGCATTGTGGGTTGGAAGTTTTTCATTGTGGGTAGGAAGTTTTGCATTGTGGGTAGGAAGAATTGCATCGTGGGTAGGAAGTGTTTATTGCATTGTGGGTGAGAAAAGTATTGCATTTTTTGAAAGAGATCTTATTGACTTGCATCAAAGCCGGGATAGCTGTGAAAAACTACTCTATGCAGCATAAAATAATGTTCCTAACCATCTTTTTATTACAGTTACGAACCGGTCCGAGAGACAGCTCTGGGAATAATCCGAGAAATTCAGTCGAAATATTCCCAGAGTCGTCCAGAGATGGCCTTGATCACGCTCGAAGCTGTTTTATCTGAGTTGTGTTCACAGAGACCTGCGGACTTTAACCATTCATCGTAAGTTTGATGTTGAATTTGCTTCATACCTGTATTTTGACACCTGACAGGTTATTTTAATTGCGAAAGAATTCTGTCATACCAAACTATTCTGGTACATATGAATATAGGGTTCATCCTTTATTCTCGCATTCATCCCATTTTAATTCCAAAAGTCAAAGTTCCCGCTTCAACTGTGTAGGTATACTGCTTTGCCAGTGAACTATGAAGAAAGGCGCAAGGCTGCACCTGCTCAACTTTAGCCCCGAAGATCAAATTTACAACCTCTTATTTAGTCCATTCAGGCTTCTAGCATTTATATCTCATGATCGCAGTGAACTTGACTGCGAATGGCAGTGACACGTCTAGATTTTACCTACAATTGCTTTTTTATGCAAGTTCTCTCAAAACAAGTTCTAAACCTTCAATTAAAAGTGGAAAGAGTAACTATACAAGAGTAGGCTGGTTACATGCAAGTTTTTCCAAAATTAATTCCTAAACATAAACTGCTAACAATACTATGTAGGCTAACCTTCCAAGATTATTAGCGCCACAATAACTGTGCTTTTTTAACTAAACATTTATTTTCATTCTAGGCGAACTCCCTCCAATCCTGACATCCGCTGTCAATGCAACTTCCCGAACATCATAGAGGAACACATAGAGAAAGAATTGGTTGAGATTCTGACAAGATTCGAGGTTTCGCAGCCGTTACGAACCAACCTCATACAATGTGTTGAAGAAGCAATAAGACCACTGCAGTTGAAAGACACCATGAAAAAGTAAGTTTTTTTTTTCTTTGAAGGATAATCTGTGCAACCGAGTTTGACTTTCAGTATGTGGACATTCAGAGATGGCCAATTTGAATAGCATAGGGGTGAATACTGTATGCTTGTCTCTTTTCTTAGAAGCAAGAAAAACACTAATTCGAATATTATCACACATTCCTTTGTATTTGTAGCTGCTTTACAATGATAATATTATTAAGTTTAATTCCCAAGTCCATGGTTTTTAGAAAAGTGAGTAAATATGTGAGGAATTTTAGAATGTATTCGAAAATCCAGAATAGAAAATGTTTTTTAGTCAAAGATTGGAGATAGTCAAATATACGGTTATGGTCATCCTTAAAGAAGAACCGTAAAGATTTCGATACTTTTAAAAAATAGTATTTCCTCACATATCAGTGCCTATTTATGCATCCTTGTTTGGAATGGAAGTAGCGGAAATGCATAAAAACAGGATAACTAGTCTGTTATTACCATATTCAACACTGTAACCTGGTTGAAAGAATGTGTTCCCCTTCATGAATAAGCTATTTCTTCTTCCCTTTTCACGCTCTAAATTAAAATTTTGGAGTTTTCCTGCCCTTGACCTATCTGCCCATTCATTACATTCATTGATCTTTAGATCGGTAAGTATGTTGATAGGTATTTGTCTGTTTGTCTGTCTGTTTGTCTGTTAGATGCACGCGATATCTCACGAAGGCGTGGTTGAATCTGCTCCAAATTTTGCATGTGCATTCATCATATCTCGGACTAGAAGCCTATTGATTTTGGATGAATTATGTCGTATAATTAGCGAGGTATTAATTAATTAGTGATGGGACACACGGTGTCACTATGGAGTCATGAATCAAAACTGCAGTTTCGATCGATAAGTCTTCGGTCTCCGACCGATATTCTTGTTATGTAATTGCCAAACACTGAGACGTCTTTATCATGTAACCACTGTTTTTACTGTCTGGAATATTAACTGGATAACTATTCCTGCATCTGACCTTTAATGAATGAGATATAATAGTGGTTCACGATCCTGCCAACCGTCCATGTATAACCGTGCCAACTGTATAAGTTTATAAGACTCAGCTTTCGACTTTATTTAAGCATCTCAGGCGATAATATTAAAACAAATAAATTGAAACTATGAAATCAGGAGAGCAAACAAAACCTTGGATAAGATTTAAAACATACAGAATATGAGATGGAATGTTTTGCCAAGAAAAAAGGTACGTGTTCACTCACCCATAAATCTGAAACCTTTATTTCATAGATTCCTTGGAATGCGACACTGGGACAACCTACTACTTCGAGCTGTTCTGACCGGAGCCAATACTACGGGGAGTAAAGGAAGAGAGGTTCTACGAGAAACTGCTGACGTCATCAAAATGAGGGTGGAGAAGTTAGATAGAGATAAGAGGTGGGTTTGCTGGGTGTGAGTGGGTGTAAGGAGGTTTGATGGGTGTAAATGTAGGTGGCTTAGTGTTTAGAGCAGGGACGGGCAAGGTTTCTGCATCATGTGCTAAAAATTTTGCCACCTAGATTTTCCATGTAATTGTGACGTAAAAAGTTACACTTTATGAACAATATTTACAGTGTTACAAAAGCAAAAGTGGAAAACAATAAACCTCGTGACGAAACTAAATGTAATCGCAATCTCAACAAATTCCTTGAGCTATTTTTCAGATAAAACATCAAAATTTCGTTTTTGTTTGGTTGTGGCAGCATCAGGCGGGCCGGTTTGAATTACCAAACGGGTCGGATTTGGCCCATGTCAGGGCTAGAGCGTTGAATAATTAACTATATTGATATGACATTGTTTAACACCATGAGCTCAAACTCTATGTCCGCTAATCACCCGGAACATTGTCGGCAATCTTGAAACGAAAATGATTTCGTTTTTTTATCCATGACCGAATGTTCTCTAGAACTGTCATAAGCTCAAGCCCAACCTTACTCTTGCACCGTTTCATCGAGCATACCGTATTTGCTCGTTTTGTAGCCCGGGCCCATATTTTTTTCAACCAACTCACTAACCGGGCCCTTATTCAAACCGGCCCTTATTCAAGCACGGGCGCTTGTTATTTTTTAAGTAAATCCTATCAATGCTATCTGTTATGTAATTGGACGCCTAAGGCGTGAGTGTTATCTACCAGCGCTTAAAATTCAACAGTGTGTGACAAAAGCGCTTCTTATTTCAAGTTCTCTACCACTGAAAAGTCAGCTTTTACATCAGGCGTGTATTCAAGCACCGGCCCTTATTTAATGTATGTTCCTGTACCATGGGCGGCTATTCAAACGGACCCTTATTCAAGATGGCGGTAAAACGAGCATTTACGGTACTTGCATTTAATCGTTAGTCCCCTATTCCATATCTTTTTTGAAATTTTAGGTCCATCTTATTCATAGGCTTTTCTTTCCCTCACAATAAATATGAAATTCTTATCCTAGTTAGTCTTTCCCCAGTGTCTCCATATGAAGCATGAGTACTCTTTCTCCAGTTCCCTAATCCATATTTTCCTTCCACAGGTATCACAGCATCCTGCGATACATCAAAGTCGTCAAATTATTTCAAAATCAGAGTTCTGGAATTTCAGGAACTCAGATTGTGTGAGTTGAATTGTATTTGCATTGGGTCAGAATCAATATTTGTGATCTCTCACAAAAAATTCATTTCACCTGTATCAAAATGCCAGAAACATCACTTATTATTAACAGGGCAGTGAGGTTATTACATCAGATTCCTGCTCTAAATTCAATCATGTGATATATTGGTAATCCCGTAGTATGTGTACCAGGCTATGGTTAGGCCATTTGGCCAGTGGGCTGCAGGATGCGCACCCCTGGTCTACCAATTAACTGGAGTAAGACAATAGCATTACAAAGAAAGAAACAATGTTGCCAGAAATTCACCATTTTTAACTTTTTATATTTCTTCAGGTCCTATATGGAGCAATGGATGTTATTGTACAAAGCCAAGCAAGGACTTTTCAAGGACGTTGCTTTCCGGTTGACTGAGTTTGCGGCCAACGAACATCGCGGATGCATTCTATCCACTTTGCCTCCTGAGTTTCTCATCAAACTGCTAGATGTCCTTGCTGGATATGACATCTCACCTGATACGAGACTGGATGCTTTCGATCCTGCAGGTAGGCTGTTAGAGATTGTGTCCTGAAATTTCGCCGCCTATGAAAAATCGCAAGAGCATTTTACTGTAAAACAAGTACTTGTGATTAAAACAGTTAGTTTATAGGGTTAGGGTATGCTCTTAAATAACGAATCTTTCAAATAAGGCGATTTATCCTGGAACCGTTAAAGATAGTACTAGTGGAAACGACTGAAAACCTTCGAGTTTCCTAGCTCTGACTGTACCTGGATATGCTATAGAACAGTGATCACCAAAGTGTGGGTCGCGACCCCAAGTGGGGTCGCCTTAAATATTTCTGGGGTCGCCGGGTGTCCGGCGTTGTCTTTTCTTTTATTATGTGTGTGATGTCTTGGCTTAACGCTAGATACTTCAAACACAAGAATGAATAACAAGCACGCGGACAGGTAATATCAAGGAGCAATTACGATAAATCAATTATGACATCATAATCACAAATCTAGTCCCTGTGAAAAACAGCGATTTATGACGCAAATACACAACAGTGTGCAGTTTGCACTGTTAAGCTGAATATGTATGTATGTTTATTTGCCTCAAAAATGTAACAGTATCTGCATAATAGTTAAACAGTAACAGTAAAACATGGAGCATTATTACAATGACACACTATTTCCGACAGATAAACAAGATTGGATAATTGATCCTTTTTCTGTTACTAATTTTCCCGAACTACCTCTTCAAGTTATGGAAGAGTTGACAGAAATGACTTGTGAACCTGTGAACCGGAATTCTTTCAATTATTTTAAAGAAAAACATCCGAAACTGTCAGCGAACATATTCTTTTGGGTTTCATTCAACATATTCCACTCTGTAGGTCTACATATATAACTTGGGGTCACGAGTGCTTATCATACGTAATAATTTTTCAAAATGGGGTCGTGTCTCAAAAAGTTTGAAGACCACTGCTATAGAACATGGGTTCTCAAACTTTTGGTGTTATGGAGCCTGTGAAAAGGTCGGCTATTATTTTTGAAACACAATATATTTATGAAAATAGAAACAAAAAACACATTGTTACTTACCGGTTAATGTGCCTGAGTAAATTAAATTTACTTTATTTAATGACTCATGAAAAATGGCATTATCTCTTGCAAGTTATTGATGATGTCACATTTGTTGCCTTGTTGCCACATTTCGACAATACCTCTGTCAAATTTTATTAATGTCGTTATTGCCTCTCCGGACAGTTACAAAATTAGCTAAGTCAGCGTAAACAAATGAGTAAACGAATAGCTCACGAAGCCCTGGGGCTTGGAGAACCTGTCCTATAGAATACTGTTTCGTAGGAAAGATGATTAACACAAGCAGGTCTTTCTATGATCCCGTACACAAGCACCCATGTGCGGAGCACATTGCTAACCCAGTTAGTTTCACGGTGGGATAGTTGAGATTATGCTATGGATAAGATTTTTCATAGTTATCCCTAGAAAGAGTAAAGTCGACAAGATGCCTTAATTATTGGAAAACAAGCTATACTTTCATGAACTATTTTTGTAACTTTGCACTTGATAACAAAGCTCGATATTGGAAGCTACATGGAAAGATGATACATAGTTTTGATGGGTTTGACTCGGAACTTCTCGATCTGTTATGTCAACATAGTTGATCCATCTCTAATCCAGTGGTGCCCAATTTTTTTCTTTTGGGTCCTGCTTTCACTGCTCAAAAATTCTGTGTTTTTTTATGCAAGTGAAAAACCACATAAAAAAACAATCATTCCTTCCACAATAATGGGGACTTTCAATGAAAATTAAAATAAATAAAATTTGGTAAAGTAAATAAAAATTACAACTCGGTAACAAAATCAGTATCATCATTCATTGCCATACCAATCAAAATTAACTACAGTGACACCAATGAAACTCTAGCAGTTCTATTAGGTTTTTGGCTCACGTGAAAGTGTTACTGTGGCCCAGTACAAGGTCATGGCCCACTGGTTGAGTCCAACCCCCTAATCATTATCTCACCCCTATTCCTCTCTACATCAGGTTCTCGAGGTCCATACGAGATTAAAGGCAAAGATGCCGACGTACTACTGATGTTATTTGTGTTCATTGTCCAGCAGAATCCAGCGGCTGCCAATCATGTGCCGATATATCTATGGCTGGCCAAGTGGGTCAACAGGAGTAGACTGTCGCCATGTTTGGACCCCAACTTGATCAAGGTAAGAACGGGGGCTCTGTGCGATCACCGAACCCCAAGTCATTAAAAAACACGCAAATGCTTGTTGCTTGGAGGGCCTTGAGCCGTTAGTCAAGTCTCACAAGCGGTTAGTTGGTGACAAATTTGAGTTCTTTCGTGAAGGTCAGGGGCGTTTTTCAGTGAGCCATATAACAACTTGATCTAGAGACAGACATCTAACTGAGCCACAGTTATTGATATAATAATGATTCTTTCACCACTAAGTCCATGCATCTGAAATTGTTGATATCATGACGAGAGGCACTTGTTCAGTCTTTCTCCCCTCGGAAATCAGTATGGAAATTTTTTATAAAATAAAATTTACCTAAAAGTAAAATTGATCTAACTCATATTTTTTCTCAGCCATGGGTTGACCAAGGCACCACCATCTCGGAACTGGCAAAGCAAGCCTCGATCCATGGCCAATGTGGTAGAGCCTTGATACAATGCCAAGCCCACGATCCACATGTCCATCTGTTCCTTGCTTCAGCCAGTATCGTGAACGCCGTTGCAAAGCTGAGAAAATCTTTCACTTCTGAACATATCCAAGTCATTCTAGATGCCTACAAGGTAATTTCTTGTTACTTATCGATCTTAAGATCGGTGAGTGTGTTGATAGGTATCTGTCTGTCTGTCTGTCTGTATGTCTGTTAGATGAACGCGATATCTCACGAAGGCGAGGTTGAATCTGCTTCAAATTTTGCATGGGCGTTCATCATATCTCGGAGCAGAAGCCTATTGAGTTTGGATGATATTTTATGTTGTATAATTAGTGAGTTACTAAATAATTAGTGGTGGGACACCCGGTGTCACTATAGAGTCATGAATCGAAACCACAGTTTCGATCGATATGTCTTCGGTCTCCGACCGATATTCTCGTTGTATATTTGAAAGTCTCAAGCTTTTTAGAATTGAGTTCATTTCTGTGCGCATTGTTCTGCACATTTTTTTATTTTAAATTTGAATTAACTAATATACAAACACAAAATAGCAGTCTGGTCAGTCTTGTTGTTTTTTTTGGAAAATAAGACATTGTCTTGGTGCATTCTATTAAATAATAGTTAGTTCATTAGGAACAAACAGCAAGTCATTCTCAATATCCACGAGGTATTTTTTTGTTGTATATTCAAAGGTTTCAGGTTTTTTAGAATTGAAGTTGTTCATGTCTGTTGCCATTGTTCTGGATGCACACTAACACAAATATTATATTTCTGTGACGTTTCGTCTGACCAAGGTCATTTGAACAATGTATGTCTGAGCAAGTCTGACCAAGATCAGACGAAACATTACAGAAATATATTTGTGTTAGTGCGCAGCAAGACTCTTGAATTGCATATCATGGTTATCTTTATTCCTGCTACAGTACCCTTGCATTGTATGCTTACGGATCCACCGTCATAAAAGCAAAGGAGAAGGATAAGTAGCCTAGTTGGCTTCGTAGGAACGGAATCATTAGCGATTGTTCTGGAAATTCTTTTATCTTGAGTTTGAATTAACTAATATAGGAATACAAAATAGCAGGCTGTCCAGTCTTGTTGTTTCTATGGAAATAAGCTGTTGTATTGAGACGTTATATTAATTAATAATCATTTAGTTACAGCCTTTCCATTTTAGTATTGCTGGACTCCTTGTCATTGTAAGGAGGTTCGCATTTTGGTTCTTTCATCACCCAAGTCCATGCATCTGGAAATTTAACTGGTTATCCATTCCAATGCTGAATGAAAAAATGCAATCTCGTGGTAATCCATTTCTCGCCATTTAATTACCTGAAGAATCCTGTGAGGGGATAATTATGCGCTAAAGATTTGCTGGACTCCTCGCCATTGCAAGGCAATTCACATTTTTGGTTTCTCCATCATCCAAGTCCATGCTGGAAAATGTAACTATTTATCTATTCCAAACGAAATGCAACCGCATGGTAATCCATTTCTCATCAATTTATTAACTGAAGATAAATATGAAATTCAACTCGCTTGTTTCAGACGAACGAATGGGCTTTGTTTCATCTCGTCACACAATCAGCAATGATGAGTTTCGGCGATCTCGGAGTTATACGTTGGATAACACACTTCTGTGAACAGAATTCAGGATCCATCGCTCAGATCAAAGATAGAGTTCTTATTGAGTGAGTAATGTTTTCCATTTGCTTGTCTGTATTCAGTATTTGTCTTTTATACTCTGGTGAAAGAGCGTGCAACCTTTAGTACAGATGGGCCAGATACAAATAATTGGATGAAACCACGGACTGCACCTTTTTTCAACATAGGATTTCACAGGCACAAATATGTTGGTCTTTGATAATCGAGTTGACTCTGGTATAGGAGTATAGGATCTGTAACTAGGGCTGGGTATTTTCAAGTATATGGGTATTTTCAAGTATATTTCAGAATCGATCGAATAATTTTTTCAAATCGAATCTCGAATATCGAATACTTGAGAGATTTAAAATTGTATGTAACTTCCTTCTTGTATTTGGTTCTCCAGACACATAAATTACTGAAAACATAGAATACATCACTCAGGCAGATTGCTGAGCGTTCACACACAATAACACTTTTTCATCAATAACTCACTACAGAAAAGAGTCATATGTCAGAATTGCGTTGAAAAAATATGGCTTCAATAAAAAAAAACGAGAAATTTAGCTCGACTATTGGTGGAAAGAAAAAAAAAAGAAGATGGCCGCGATTCGAAATTTGGCTTTGAACCCATTCGAATAATTTCATATTCGATTCAAAATTCCCAGCCCTATTTGTAACGCAAAGGGATTGGAATCACTCGCACATGCCAGATTGAACTAAATTAAAAACTCGTTTTGTGGCGCGCACAACATTCAAAATTAGCTTTGTTGTTTTTAAAATTAGCTTTGTTGTTTTTAAAAAAACTGTTCAGGATTGTATGCTTGATGGGGAAAAATCTCAGTGTTGTCAGGAGCTACAGCTACACTAAATGACTTGAAGGGCCTGGTTTGGGCTCGAGGGTCGCTTGTTGCACACCCTGTATTCAGAACAATTCAAATCATAATCACAGTTGAATACGATAATGAAATAATTCCTAATTCTCACTCTTTCAATTCCAGATCCATCCAGCCTTACCCACTAGACAACGTGAGCGAACTCCTTAATGCTTTGATTAAACCTGACTGGGTGACGTCAGTGGATGCCATACAACAGACGGTCATTGCTGTGGCTTCAGAGTACTCTATCAGGTAGGCTGAACTTTGAACCTGGAAAAAGGAAGTGAAATGTATATTGTCATGTCACCTGTAAATATTGTTAACTCTAACCTAAGGAAGTATATATTATTTCTTTCTGAAAATTGATATTTAACTTTTCGATAACCAGCTTTGATTTCCCGCGACTTTCCCTCCTCAGTAAAACTGTAATCTTCTTTTTTTTTCTGCATTTTTGTATTCATTTGTTTTTTTATACTGGTTGGAAAAAATAAACTTGACTTGACTTAACCTTAGTGAAAAGGGGAGGTAGCATATGTTGTGTATTCTCGACGCCAGTCTTTGAACTCAGACGAGGGTGGGAGTAGTAAATATTATTTTGTTCTTGGATTGGCGCTCCAGAAGTATGTGCACCAATATGATGGTAACTCATTTTGTTCGCCTACTTTACATCAAGTTGTGTATAAAGGGACGGAAGTCTATGGGCAGGTGGTATATTCACTTGGCTAACACAGACAGTCCCCGAACTCATAATAGATCTAAAATAGGGAAAATCGGAATAAAATTGTGCCCTAACCCTAACCTGGTACACACACTACGGGAGTACCTTTTTTCTAACTCCTGTGGCAGAAATTTGGAAATAAGACTCCGAGGAAAACATGCTCAGACGCCCCAACCCAATATCCCTAACTTTCATGTTTATTTCAGACTTCTTGAAGAACTGAAACGCTACGACGCAAAAGTCCTGATTCTGAGATCTAAATGGCTGGAAGAGATTATTCTGAAGAATGTTGAGGAAAGGAAGATTTCTGTGAGTAATTTGTGTATAAGAGGGGGAGAGGAAAGAAAGTAAAGTGGCTTGATAATTCAGTATTTCTATCAATCGGTGACCGTACATTTGAACCCACGTGTATGTCCGCGGGTTCAATCTATATGTGGGTGCTGAAACCCATGGGTTAGGGTTAGTATGGGTTCAAATATCCGTAAAACAGGTGAAATTGTCGTGGGTTCAGATGTACGGGAACCATATCAAACAAATTTCCTCATATCATTCCAATCCCAGATGGCAACGGCAACCGCCGGTAAATAGAATTAATATAGAGTTAATACCTTTTTGACTCGCTCATCACATACAAACCTTTAATAACCTTGATTACTCAGTTTCGGCCATCGTGGGAGATTGGGATGGAGAGTGAATTTTAAATGTGAGAGAAAATCTGGGCTCAATGCCATCGTCGGGTTCAAATGTCTGTTTACAGCTTCTTCCACCATGAAATCCATGCTTCTCAAGCAAAAAACTAATCCCATATTTTCCTCCCTCACTATGTATAGAAACCTTTATTCAATCTTTATTCAATCTTTAATGGATCCTTTTCTAGGGACATATACGCAAGTCACACTTCCGCTTCTGTACCGTTTATTCACTGTACTGTTTATTCATAATGTGCGTATGAATAAAAATTATAGTAGTGATAATAAAGATCTGAGAATATTAGTAGTACCACAGCAAATACAAAGCAAAATTCATTCCCATGTTGGGGAACGTTGGTCCAAGCAGTGAGGTTTTGTTTTCTGTATGCACAAGGCTTTAGACAAGTTTCCATCAATGCATGACATTATTCAAATTTGGCTCGGCGTTGTGACGCATTGTGCGTTAGGAATAGGCTTGCCACCGCACCTCTGATTACCCTGCGCGGTTCCGAATCCAGTTCGCTTATGTGCGAGAATATTGCTGGACTTCTCACCGCCGTAGGGTGGCTCACGTAAACGCTGGTCCGTCACAGCTTCCTCCACCATCGAGTCCATGCATCTGAGACAACTAATCCCGACCTGAACTGCTAACTGGACGAGAGGCCGTGGTTCGCCACATGGTTAAGCCATCTTACCAGCTTTCCTATATCCTGGGATAAATATGTAAATCCTATCCTGTTTGCTCAATTTACAATCTTTTATTCAGCCGTCTCTTCTTCGAGATGAAAGAGTCATCAACCAACTGAAGAATGTTTCGAAGACTTGCAGTTTTGTGAACCCAGTGAAGCATAACATCGATTTGTACAAAAAGATTTCTCCGAGCGCAGAGTGGTATCGCAGATGCAACCAACTCCTTCAGTTTCTACAGGATAAGTTTTCCAAGTAGGTGTTTTCTGGATGCTCTTGAAGTTTGTGCACCAAGATGGCGCACAACCTGAACGTAGTATGTGTACCAGGTTAAAATTATCAGGTTGTGCGCCATGTGGTGCACATACTTCTGAAGCGCCGTTTTCTGTACATTGTGTTAACTGTACCTTTATTGTATTTCTGGCTATGGATTCCCGGCCGATATCACGGGGGTGTGCAAATTACAGCCCGCTGACCAGATTCGATCCACCAAAATGTTTTTTTCCTGCCCATTGCTTAAATTATACGACTATACTTTTTATGGATATAAATTTTTGTCAATGAAAATAACGTCATAATGACCCCAATTGTTACATTGCACTTATTATTATTATATAAACGTTAGCCTAGCTGTTGGACTAGCTGTTGTGAATAAACTGTATGTTTATTCATAGTTTTTCATATTGAGTTTTGAGCCTTCGGCCCAGTAACCAAGTCTTTGGTCCACTGAAAAGTAACTGTCGACCCCTGCCATACTACATACACTACATCCACTACCCCCAGGCACCCAATTCTCATCCCTACTGTATATACTGCATGCACTACCCATACCACATATACTATACATACTATATCTAATATGCTACATATACTATTCTTACTACATTCATTACTTCATCTACCCCAGGTACCCATTCAGCGGAACGATGGAAGAGTTCTCATCTCTTCTCTGGTTATTGTGGAGCATCGGTGATATCGACAGATTGAAGGCTCGTCTCGTATTCTTTGAAGACAGACATTCCTGTGACGATGACGGGGTTAAGGTCACGAGTTTGAAGGTCATCAGAGAGGTAAGATCAAGGTCATTGTTTTACGCTAACAGAAAACAACATGAAAATTATTGATAGAATCTCTTAAAGAAGCGGAATTTTATTCTACATAATGTCCACTGAAGCGTTTCTGAACTTCATGAGTACAGTTATCCCTGAAAGTTTATCTGCCGAACTGCTACTGTTTCAACTACTGAGAGAGAACTACTGTGTCTCTGCTTTTGTGTTAGTGCAGTGGTTGCCAAATGGTAAGGCACGCCCCTCAAGGGGGAAGTAAACAATTTTGTGAGGGGGTGTCAAGCTAATTGAAAATATTCGTTATATCTATATCTTCTTAATCAGCTTCACACATCCTCAAAAAATTGTCTACGCCCCATCGTTTAATAAGAACCACTGTTCTGGATGAAGTGTCTGACTCTTTATCTTTCATATTATTTGGTCAAATATTCGAATTAGAGTCAAAGTACAATGAGCGTTCACTCAAGCAAGGCAAACTGTCCACGTCCCACTGTTTGAGTGCCACTAGGCAAACTGAACTGAGAACATTCCTGTCTTAGTTTTTCAGCGCGAAGCCTTGTTACACTTATTTAAAATGTCACACAATCTATCTATGCCTTCATTACAGCTTGCTGGTCTCCTTGACTCCTCTGCTTATCCTGACTCGGCTAACAACAAGCACATATTGATTGCTGGATGCATCAGGCTCTGCGTTGTTGAGACGCTAAGTTGGCTGACTTGCGCTGAATGTGCTAGCAAGGTAGGATTTTGCATTCTACTTATGCGTAGTGTGCTTAACTACTGCTTCTTTCTCTCTGGCTTTGTGTTAGTTAGTTAGTAATCCAGTTCTCAACCAGTTGGCCATTGTAACTTTTCAGGTGGACCTAATAAAATTGCTAGTTTCATTAACGTCACTTTAGTTAAATTTTGTGAGTAGTAGCATTGAATGATTGTGCTGTTTTTTGCTACTGAGTGGTAATTTTCATTCTATTTATTAAAGTGTTCATTTTCGAAGACTGTTTTTCTTGTAGTTTTTCCCTTGCATGAGAAATTAATGGCCCACAGAATTTTTGTGCATTGAAAATGACCCTCGAGAGAAAAAGGGTTGAGAACCACTGTGTTAGTGTACACGTATGCACTGAGTGCAATGTTATCATGGCCTCTGTTGCTCAAGCCTATTACGTTCAATCAGACTTTTCTTAGGCAAACAGTTGGGGGGATTTTGTTTTGAGCTTGTATCTTGGAAAGACTGATCTTTCCGGTTCGGAAAATCTAATCTGTTAGTTAGACCCTAACCCCTAGGCCATCCCTAATTTCCCATTCTGTTTTCTGATACCTATTTCGCTCATGTTAAGTGCAATACATCACATTTGCACAAGGAATCCCTAACATACTGACCACTATTCATATTTCTAGATGCCGACAGGATGGGGTGACATCTGGGTGTCGATCGCTCAAGCAAAGCTGACGGAGAATTTTGAAAGTTTGAATCAAAACATGATTGAGCAGTTTAAAAAGGTGAGTCATGCTTTAGCATTTCATGGTCAAACATGAAAACTCTTCTTCTTATTAGATTCAATTATTTATTTAAATATGATTACTGCAAATCCACAATTCTGTTAAACATGATCTGACTTACAATATATTTGATATTTCATGATGTATTCTGTGAGGGGTGTTCGGAACTTTATAACTGATTTTATGTGCGTTCAGGTTTTCCATAAACGACCCTTTACAATTCCAATTTTTACTTCATCTATTACATCTGTGGAGGCCAAATAATATATGGTATCGATAAAGTCCCTTTAGAATTTAAAAAAAATTTCAAGACTTCATGGACACCTTATATGTTCAGACTTTCTCTACATAGATCTGAACTCAGAGAGAATTTTGAAAACAAAAACATAGCAAGCTTTATTTAATTGTTGTGAATGCCTAACATCCTTGATGCATTTAGAGTTCTAGTTAATATTATTAAAAATCTGAAATTCCAATTGTTGATTCTCAAACACTTTGGCAGTCTGAAAATATGACAATGTTTCCGATATCAATAAGCGCTTGCCCAGGGGCGCAGTTAGTAAGGGAGGTTCTGAAATTTTTTAGTAGCCAATTAGACCTATCATTACATCAAGCCGGAGGGCGGAAATTGTTGGTTTTCAAAAGTCTGGAAGGTCAAAAAAGTGTTTTGGATTATGGAAAATGCAATGTATGATCGAGAAAAATGCTTTTTTTGCATTTCAAAAGGGGGGGGTAGGTTCCAACCCTCAAGCCCCACCCCCCTGGCCACGCCCCGGCACTTGCCATTCTGACTCGACAGCTCTGGTTTGAAATAGCTAGAATTGCATGGTGTATTACATGAAGGGTTTTGTCCAGTGGTGGGATTCAGATTTTTTGTCAGCTTGTTCCATCACAAAAGTCATATTTTTCAGCCGGTTCTGTTACAGATAGAGAGTTTTTTCAGTAATGCCAACTGGTTCGCTGATCTCATAAAATCCCGTGAGACGGTTCTATAGAACCGGTGCGAACCGGCTGAATCCCACCACTGGATTCCTCCGACTGCTCCACCTATCATGTTATCTTAATTCTACCACCTTTCTCTTTTCCACCCTCTAGTGGTTAAACCAGGTTCCGTTAGACAATCCCAATAATTATCAACGACTGACGGCCTGTCTTCGTACGTTTCTTTCAACCCTCGTACTAACATGGATGAAATGTTCGATGAATCTCGACCGAGTGTATCGTTTACTCATGGATGTATCGGCTGCGATTGCTGGTCAAACATTTCAAAGGTTTGTTGTTGTTTGGTTTGGACCAAGGGTTCTCAAACCAGGGGTTGCGACCCCAAATTGGGTCGGAGTGATGAGTAGCTAGGATCACAAACAGGTCACTGAGTTATGATGCAGAGATGGAGGCACAAAACATCTACGATTTAACAAATCGTGGTAAATTTAGCAGTTTGTACCATAAATGTAGGTGCTTATTGTGACATCAATGTTTGGTTTCCCCTTTTTTTACTTAATACCACCACATGACCAAACTTAAAAGTCCATTGAAAGAAGCTCTAAAGTTTCATGAAAAATATATATATTGACCTGGGGTCGCACTGGACACTTGAAAGTTGTCCTCGATGTCGTCCTGAGAAAGCTGGTTTGGGCTAACTACTTATCCTTCTTTGTTTTTGCACGGATGGTTATAATGTTGGGAGATTGTCGTAGCAATACTCACAAAATACTTAAATATTGTGAAATATTGTATAGTATTGGGTTTTGTAGGGCAGAGCAATCTGTGGCCCACGGCCAAATGCGACCTTTAAGGTAAAATTGTTCGGCCCACGAATGATTTGGAATTGGTTTTGCTTCATTCAAAGAACTTCTTGTTTTCCAGGGATTTTGCGTCATTATCAGCAGAACTCATCAAAGTAGAGAAAGATAAACTGCAGCCCAAGATATTGGAAACAATAGGTAAGAGGATCAAGAATATTTTTGATGGTACTCCCATAGTATGTGTACCATGTTGGAATTGGGCCATAATTTTATTTGATTTTCCTTATTTTATTACGAGTTCTGAGACCGTCTGTGCTAGCCAAGTGAATATACCTTGTGCCCATAGATTTCCGTCCCTGTACACAACTTGAGGTAAAGTAGGCGAACAAAATTACTTACCTCCATATCGGTACACATACTTTTGGAGCACCTTTTGAATTGGAAATCCCAAAACCCTAAAGTCCATACAATCTAATTTTGAAACATTTTCAGAATCTCAACCTCCGAACAATATTCAGATGCAAACTCAGGTTGTGCGTCAATCTAGATCTTCAGTCGACCAAGCACCCGTACAGTCAGAACCTCAACACACGAGGCAGTACCGATCTACGAGCGGGCCTCCAGGACCACCTCCTTCATTAACTAAAAGCAATGACCTCACTCCAAAACGAACGACGACTATGAACGATGGAGTTGCAAAACAAATTCTTAAGAAACCCCCAGAAGTGGAAAAAATTATTCCCCCCACTAACCCCTCCCCACAGAGGGAAGAACTGCGAGCATCCACTGCTGTGATGTCCACAGATGCTTTATTTAAGAAAACACCCACAAATAAGGCAATTTCACCTCAAAAATCAGCATCCACACTAGGGCCTCAAAAAGGGGAATCCCAGAAACCTTCCCCCCAAAAAGATAAATCATCCAATCCATTTTCCTCCCTCAATCGAACAAAAACTTGTCAAAGTTGCGGAGAAACGATAAGTTGTGCGTCGTTCCGTTGTCCAAAGTGCAATCAAGCGGCACGTTCCGTCCAACCTGTGACGTGCCCGGGTTGCGGACAAGAAAATCGAGAGATGAAAGGTTATTCGTGTCAGTATTGCTATAGATCGTTGCTAGACGTACTTTTCCAGGGCGGAGAGGGCCCTCCAGTGTCTTCGGATGAACCTAAGGTCGCGGAGGTCAAACAAAACAAACGTAAAAAGAAAAGCGAAGATAAGAGACGAAAAAAGTCGAAAAACGATGGAAAACCAGAGAAAAAAGATAATCCTCCAGAAAGAAATAAAAGTTTATCGGAAAATTCAGAAAAAAAGGTTTTGCCGGTGACTTTGAAAGTCCAACATAAAACATTGGAAGACTCATCGGACAGCCGACTTGAATGATTTCGTTACAGAAAAACCAAGGAAAAAACGGAAACGTCATGTATCAATGAATTCAAAAGTTCCGCCGTTAAAGTTGAAACGAAAACCTTCTATTATCTCATCACCCCCTCGTGTGGTTGAACCTGCAAACGTCGGCGTTTCGTTGACAGACGAAGAATCTGATACTGATGAAAACGGCAACAATGCACTGATTATTTCATCTGATGAATTCTATGTTGATCCAAGCAAGGCAATCACAGAAAAAACTAAAATTACGACACAGAAATCCTCCGAAAGTCGTAGTATGGTACCGGCACACAATTCTACTTTGGCATCACCGGAGAAATCACACTCAGACAATATGGGGAAAACCCCTCCCATTCCAAAACCTCAGTTTTTTAATTAATGTGAACAATAAGCATCAGAGTGACGCTGTGTCACCCCCAGAAGGTACGAAATACCCATAATCCTCCTGTTAATACCCATAATGCACCTGCAAAACGAGGGGGTCGGGCATAGCAGCATGATGTCTAAAAAACAGAAAGATATTTTGAGCCGTATTAAAAGGCCTGGTATGGACCGGAAAGTTTCAACATCAACCAAATCACCCCTCCAAATTCATCAAATAAAGACATTATGAGGTCACCATCTGGATATAAACGCTCGTCCCTGGACAATGGGCCTATGTCATCCCCAATACGCGGGCAAAATGAACTAACATGTAACAATGAAAAGCAAAGAAATGATTCAAGTTGCAGCAGTGGCTCTGTCAGTAGCTCAGCGTCTGCTCTCTCCTTTGGTTTAGCGTCTGTCGAACAAAAAAGCCGACCAAGGAACGTGGGCCACAGGACGGGTGGCCCCCCCAGTTCAAAAAAATATGAGACCAGTCGTTCAATCATTGATGAAAACGTTGCTTCGAATTCGAAAAAGACTTTGTTCCCAAAACCACTGAACAGCAAGGATAGTAAATTGAAGAAAAAGAAGAAAAAGAAACACAAGGATCGACCGACGAAAAAAATAACTCTAACGGAACGAAAACTTGATTCGATGATCTCAAAGCGAAAACCAGGACCAGCGAGTCTGACTGGCTATCACAGGTTACTTAAATTATCTCACAAGTTAAAGAAATTACAGCGTACTTCGCCGCATAAGTTGTGGCGCTTGTCGTCATCGGTTACGTTTCCTAGCAACGCTGATTTATCTCGATACGCTCGTGTGACTCTGACCTCATTTCCTGCGAAGAAGTTGATTCGTATTCGCAAGTTAGTTCCGAATTATTCGATTGAAGATTTATACGGCTAAGTTGCTAATGCATTAGCATGGGATTGCTGGAAATATCAGAATACAGCAGCTTTGGGTCCGGTGTCAATTTACTAGCGGGCAATGCACCATCGTAATTATATATATTTTTCAGTAGCAGAGGCGAGCGTACTGTTGCTCTGAGTTTGGTGCAAATTTGTCTATGATGTCTGTAACCCTCTAACTCCCGCATAGACTGATTGAGTTTGTGGGCAATACACCATAATAATTCTATATAGTTGAAGTTTCTCTTGACTGCATAGCTGAAATCACAAATGTGAAGGCATCAGTCTCATTTATTTCTGAGTGAGCGCATGTTACTTTGCAATGTGTAAATTCCCCTGATAAACTAGTACAAGGTTCCGTAAGAAAGGTCTGCAGAATATATTGCTGACTGAAATCTGTGCTACCTAAATTTTGTATCTTTTAGTGATTATTTTAGAATCTTCCTAAAGTGTAGTTCTGGGGTTTCGTACAATCTTCTTAAAGAAAGTCCGTTTCAAAATTTGATCAGTAATAATTCGAGCTGGAAATTTTACTTGTTAGATTCATTCGATTGATTTTTTCTATTGTACCAGTTTTCTAATCTTTGTATTAATGTTGGGCTTCAAGTCCAGTTTATGATATCTCAAACCCAGTAGCGAACCAGTTTTTGTTTTTATGTTCTGCTTGGTTTTCTGAAGTTCAACGCAAAAGGGAACCTGTTTGAATCACCACCACACCACCATTGCTTAATCCCCACAACTTTGTCCCTCTTCGATATTGTTCATATCAAAAGCCATATTATCTTTACGGCTTCTGCTGTTAGTCAATTCTACGATAACTCGTATTAATCCAGCATAGGAAATACAAAAAATTTTAACATTAGAAACTATGGTGCATCTCTGACTTTAATTGGCCATTAAGTAGGCTTTGTCAGCCCAAGTTGGAAGTTTGAATCCCATCATTGAATGCCTGAAACTCCGGAATTCACAATTTTGTGGCTCTAATTTCAGACCTCGGAGTTTTGGGACAACCTATTCATTTCAAACATTGGCCAATGACTCTCAGTATTTTCTCTCTCATTGGTGTAAGAGTTTAAAAATACAACTCTGACTCGCCAAACTGCGACTGATTTCAATAATTAGCCAATTCGTTCATTCTTGTAATTTAGAAGTTTAAAATTTCGACTCCCGACTAAGGAAAGTTGAGAAATATTGCTTGGACTCCAATATATCTCAAAATGCCCTCATTTCAAGGGTTAGAGACTGGATTGAATGTCTCTCAGTATCTCATTTCAGTACTCCCTGTAGTGTGTTTACCAGGTTAGGGTTAGATCATAATTTTATTCCAATTTTCTTTATTTTAGTTCCATCACGAGTTCGGGGACTGTCTGTGTTAGCCAAGTAAATATACCCCTGCCCATAGGTTTCAAGTCCCTTTAATGTAAAATTGGCAAACAAAATTAGTTACCGTACCTCCATATTGGTACACACACATCTGGAGCGTCCTTCCTTTGTGTAACTATTCAATGTTTCTCATCTGCTGACTTTTGGGGAGTTTCAGAAATAAGACTTTGAATACAATAATGCATGGCAAGAGGTCACAGCCCCACTCATTACTCGCAGTATTTATGTTTCAATGTTTACCGTCTCAACCTTTCTGCATCTTTTATTCTAAAATGACATAATATCTTTTGTAAATACTGTTTTACCGGTGCGTTTCATTCTTTCTCGTCAAATTGTAGCAATATCGAATTCTGTTTTTTACCGATTTTCCTTGTGAATAAATTATGATTGGAAGTAACTCTTGGACTTGGTTGTTAAACATCTGCTGGTCTCTCCATCGAGAGAAGCATAAATAAGTTTGATTTATTTCCGATACAAGTACACAATACAATAAGCATGAGCAAATAACAATAAGCATAAAAATGGATACGGAAGGGGACTGGCAAGACTTCCAAGGTCAACAAGGTCGACCGACCCCTAAGGTAAGATTCTACCAAGACAGGACACTCTAAAGCAGGCATCATAATTCCAATAGAAGAAATATAAATTTTTGAGTTTTAAGCCCGGTTAAGAGGCCCCAGAAATCAATTCCCCGAAAGTATTGGAATAGAAATAAAAATTACAAGGAACAAGAACATCACATGATTACGCAGATCATGTTTTTAATAGGAATTAAAAATGCGAGAAAGAATAAGGAGGGCGACGGGCTAATTACAATTAGTTATACTTTATGTTAGACACGAATCAAATCGTGAGAATGAGGCAATTTCTATGAATAGGTGAAAAAATTAAAAATACCATACTTCCCAAGCTATATAGTACATATAATTATTACTTCAGACTATATATAATAGCATCTTCAATAATTTTCACAGAGACATACATCTATAAAATGGTGATTTCCTATCCATTTTATGAATCTGATAGCATACACTGAGATTTGAACGTCACTGCATCACATTATAATCCGCTAATAAATGTTGTTTTAGTTTGCGATCAAATAATTGTGGGGAACACTGTTTCATACTTTGTGGAATACTTTGCCATACATTAATACCTTCCAGCTTGAGCGATTTCTTCATGCCTGAAGATTGATACCGCGGGGTGAAATACAACTTATTTGATGTACTCCTGGTCTCATACGGATGGATATTTGAAATTTTTTGACAAAAAAGTTTTGAAAATACTCTGGCAGCAGCACATTTTCATAACGATACATAAATTTTCCCACTTCACTTATGTAGAGTTCCTTCAATTGAAGAAATTCACAATGATGATACAGTTTTGCATTATTTATACGTATTTGTCTAGATCAGTGGTTCCCAAACTTTTTTGACCATCGCCCCCCTAAAGTAGTTTATGCAACTTCATCGCCCCCCTGCACTACAAAAAAATATAAAGTCGGAAACGAATATATTACAGACCAAATAAGAAGACAAATAATAGTTTATGGTGTTTTTTAATGAAATTGATAAGCTTGGTGTTCTTCAGCGAGTTATTTATTATATCTAAAATTACCTCGTTTACTGATGGAAAGGTGATTTCGTTGTTTTAATAGCAATAGTAGCACGGCTGAAAACCCCTTTTTCACCATAAAATGAAAGAATCCAGGGTTCTACCACCTCAAAAACCGCCGTGTACTCTTGCCTTATAGCATTTCACTTTCTAAATTCACCCCATTTCACATTAAAATAATAAAAACAAAGTTAATTTTTCCCAAACTTATAATAATGATTTTCGTACATCTCATTCATTCGTACAGCCTGATGACCTGCACCAAAATATTTCGGAAAAATTCATCCCTGATTCCTCATCCTATCACGGCCTCCAGTCCGATCACCATTCCACAATTAACCAGCCATTTGTTTTTGATTCATTGACTCGGATGTGGAAGAAGCCGTGACTGACTATCGGCTACGGCCCAGGGGTCGGCAAATTTTATGTCGCTCGCAGGACAAAATTCAGGGTTGCTAGTCTTTTGCGGGTCGCATATATTTTTTGGAAGTTAAAAACGGAACAGCACGCAAAAACTGCGACAATTCGTGAACTCAACTCAGTCGTCTTATTAAAAAAATATTACAATGATATTTAATGTGACACTGTCTCGTTGCTGCATCACGCTGGATAACTTTACGACGCCAAGATTGAAACATTTTCTAAATGGGCATCACCAAACCCACTTCTTTGCTTGTTCTTTGTAATGTTCATTTTCGAAAATGATGATTTGCACAAATATGTACTTCCAAACATCGAAGTGAATATTTTCGCATGATTTGTGTAATTTTGATAAATATTTTCTCTCTAAGAAGATACATTCTTACAAAAATTGAGCAGTGATGAATCTCTCGATTGGAATATGAATTTTATTTTCTTATTGCTTCGCAATATATTCGAATATTTACTGCGCTATTGAACCCCTGCACTCGGCATCAACTTTTCTGCGTGTTTTCATTTGTCTAATTATAATTAAATTGTAGGCTCGTTAAACGAGTGGCTGTTCACTAAATTGTTAGGATATAGTATAATTTAGTCTGAACGTGTCTCACGATAAATTCTGTTACGTAAAAAAAAGTAATTTACTCCTCGAGCGTATATTATAAATAAAAAAATTTCATCGTCACAACCGCCGTTTGGATATTTTTCTCCGGGCATAGACTTCCTTGTTTACTTCGTGACATTGGCCAATCAGCAAGATGCAAAAAAGGGAACAATTCCCCCTTTCGCATCCGCTCAGGCGCTCAGACACTCTCACTCAGACAGATTTTCAGGCGTGGTCGTGAACACTACCTCATTTTCGCATTTTTGAATTATATTCGTTAGTTTTTAGTTGTTTTTCGGAGATTTAAATATAAATCAAATAAGTCAATGATTACTTTGCCTTTCCATGAGTTTCAGTTAAATTACAGGAATCAAAAATTAGTGTAGAAATAGCTGTGATAGACTAGGCTAAAATTCTTTATCGATACTTTTAAAAAACAGATTGTTGAATGGTGTGTATTAGAATGATAGTTTGAAACAAATACCCCAGTTTACAGGCAACAACTCGCGAAACCACACTTAAAATAAACACCGAAAAATTTTAAAATGGTGAAGTATGGGAAGAATTTTCCGCGGTCAAAGGTCGGGGAAAGGTCCATTCAGTGAATCGTCCAGGGCCAGATTATTTTACTCCGGCCGTATTTTGCCGACCACTGGGATACGCAAACTACCTTACCTTACTGCGAAGACGAGACCAGAAATCCATTCGCGTGTGAATATCGCCCACATGATTCAAGCCTGCCAATGCACACAGAGTACAGAATGAAGTGCGCCGAACATGAAACAGGTTTCGCGAAATCGCCCCCCCCTATCGCCCCCTTAGACTTTTTCGCCCCCCTGTGTATCGTTTTCGCCCACTGGGGGGCGATATCGCCCACTTTGGGAATCACTGGTCTAGATGACTCTCGGTACATGATACATCTAATCATCTTATTTTGTAAAACGGCAAGGGGTTAGGGTTAGAGGGGGAAAGGGGGCAGCGCAGTACGTTATAGGGGTGGTTTGTTGTTTATTTTGATGATTTACTTGACCTTTATTTATTTATTCTCATGTATACCAACATCCATAATTTGTTCATCCCCCAAATTAGTTTTGAATTTAGGTATACTCGCCCAAAAGTTGACACTGTTTACTAACATCGCCACAGCTTCATTCAAAATAGGTTGTTTTATACAGAATCAGATAATTTATTTTTGTAGTGCATGATACATTGTAAGCACAAACAATAATAAATCAAGACAAAAGAAAAAAACAAACACACAATGTTTGTTTCTATTAGTAGAGGTTGCGCGAGACTAACTAGTGTGTTATCAATTAATCAATTTTATTTGGTCACTCTGATGGAAACAACAACAAAATGACCTGGAGGACGGGCATAACTTTAACACAAATATATTACTGTAACGAGGTTTTGGTCAGACGATACGTATAATGCAAGGATGCTGTAGCAGAAATAAAACTACCAAACTATGCAATTCAAGAAACCGCACGATTGTTCTCTCCTTGTCATTGTTATAAACTGCTTGTCTGAAGAAGTTTGATATTCGTCAGACGAAACGTACAGAAATACATTTGTCTTAGTGTGCTTTTATTCCGACTGCAATTGACGGGGAGCCGCAAAAGACAACGATGTATGATTAGGCTACATACACTCTTACCTAACACCCTGGACAAGGCTTGATATTAGCAGTTCCTTTCAGGTGTTTTATGATCATGGACGATCGCAGAAGTTTGTTTTTTAGGAAGGTCATGATAGCCCAGATGACAATTAGAATAGGATTTATTCCTGTGGAAATTCGGGATAGCATCGTATCGGAAGCTCGAAGAGGAATCTCTGGACTTGTGAGATAAGTTACGTTGTCTGGGACTTCGCCGTGACACCAGAAATGACCAAGCGCAAGACGCAAATTCAGGAAAGTTTTCAAATGGGGACTTGAATAGCCAAACACTCACCCGCTGATTACCAAGCATGAAAGATGCATCGTACGATTCGCAAGGCTATTCAAAATAAATATCAGATAAGTTAATTAATCGCTTTCCAGTGGTTCAAATTTGCAGCAGCAGAATGACGGTGTGCATTATTTAAAAGAATTGTGGATTGCCCGCTGATTGACTTGCACGCAACAAATAAATCAGACTTCCCAACCTTTTTCGATAAATTCCTCCATTCCAGAGGTAAAAGAAACTCGTCTCTGAGCCACGTTACGGGCACTCACTCAGAAGTGAAGGAGACTCATCTCTGAGGCAAGTTACGGGTACTCACTCAGAAGTAAAGGAGACTCGTCTCTGAGCCAAGTTACGGGTACTCACTCAGAAGTGAAGGAGACTCATGTCTGAGCAAAGTTACGGGCACTAACTCAGAAGTAAAGGAGACCCATCTCTGAGCAAAGTTACGGTCACTAACTCAGAAGTAAAGGAGACTCATTTCTGAACAAAGTTACGGGCACTGACTCAGAAGTAAAGGAGACCCATCTCTGAGCCAAGTTACGGGCACTGACTCAGAAGTAAAGGAGACCCATCTCTGAGTAAAGTTACGGGCACTGACTCAGAAGTAAAGGAGACCCATCTCTGAGTAAAGTTACGGGCACTGACTCAGAAGTAAAGGAGACCCATCTCTGAGTAAAGTTACGGGCACTGACTCAGAAGTAAAGGTGACCCATCTCTGAGTAAAGTTACGGGCACTGACTCAGAAGTAAAGGTGACCCATCTCTGAGTAAAGTTACGGGCACTGACTCAGCAGTAAAGGAGACCCATCTCTGA